GGCGGCGTGGTCACAATTGGTTACTTTGCGGTGTCATTTATTATCACACAAAAGCCAATTACAAATTTAGAGTGTTCAGGAGACGAGGGTAAAATGTGTGTGGTTATCTTGAGAGCTGGAGCGACACTGTTTAATTTTCACAATTGTGCAAGAATATCACACAAAAAAGACGACGCTAACTTTACAAAAGCACTTCCTCCTCTCGACCAATCACAAAAGAACACCTTGAAATTTAATTAAATTAAAGAGGAGGAGAGGAGAGGTCAAAACTTCAAAAAAAATACACATTGAGAGAACAAAAATGTGAACAAAACTCAATTATCCGTAGGCAGACTGGAGCCGGTTCAAATTTCCCTACCGGACTCCAGTCCCAAAACCATACAAAATCTCATATTTATCATGTCATGCAAATTCTCATTATCATTAAAGAGGTCATATATTCATAAAAAATAATTATGTAAATATCTCGACGACAGCGGACATACATATTTGCATACAAAGTGGTGAAAACGCGGGGTGAAGTTAACAAATTATACATTTTTAGCCCGAGTCAGGGCTTATGGAACCATCATGTCCGTCCGTCCGTCTGTCCGTCTGTCCGTCTGTCCGTCTGTCCGTCTGTCCGTCTTACGATACCTCTCGTTAAACTCATCCTATCGACTTGAAATTTGGTATGCATGTAGTATGGGGCAAATGAGGAGTTAAGTTCGAAGATGGGCGAAATCGGTCAAGTGGTTGACCAGTGGGGGTCATATAGGTGGGTGGGGTATTATGCATCAAAATCTCAAAATCGTCATAGAAGGCAGAAATTTGGCACTGAGGTTGCTAATGGTGTCTAGTGAAAGAGTATGAATTCAAGTTTGAAAAAATTTCATTTTGAAAGACCCGAGGGGGTGACCCATACTGATTTGTCAAAATCGTCATATCGAGTTGAAATTTGGTAGATAGGTTGCGTATGGGGTTTAAGCAAGAACATGAAATGAAATTGGTCAAATTTTTTATCTGGAGGGACCCGAGAGGGTGACCCATACCGATTTTTGAAAACCATTTAATTGAGCTGAAATTTGCCGTTGCGGCTTAAAAAGATCTTAAAAAGATGAAAATCTTAAAAAGATGAAATTCGGTACGGTGATAGATACTTAATGGTTTCGTAAGTATATGAAGTTAAAAGCGAACAAAGTGGAACCAGAGTAGCCTAAAGGGTGACCCATACCGTTTCTAAATTCATACTCTAAAAGTCGCTATTTTAAAAGTTGGTAGCTGATATTCGGGAAATTGGTCATACTTGTGTACTAAAGTGAAAGTGCAATGTCATAACGACCGAATTACTATTTTGAAGGACCAAGTAGGGTCACCCCCAGTGTGCGCTAGTGTTTCTCACGGGTTAACCCGAACCATTACTATTAACATTCGGGTTTCGGGTTCAGGTTTCGGGTCCCATGTTAATAGTAATGGTTCGGGTTAACCCGTGAGAAACACTAGTGTGCGCAGAGCAAAAAGGCAGGCAGTACCTTTTTGCCCAACAAAAATGGGTGCCTTTTTGTCCTTTTGCTTATAAATAAAATTAAAGTGAAAGTTATTCATTGCGTTTTTTATACATTTTGAAAAGGCTGCCTTTTTGCACACACTGGTCACCCCCACTGGTTTGGAAAACGGGCGTAGACGACTAAAAGTTGGCGTGATCCTGCAGGGTTAAATCAGCTTAATAAATGTGAAGTAAATTTTAAGATTTTTTTGCCAGGAGGACCCAGTGGGTTTTTGGAATTGGTTAAAGAAGCTGCAATTTTGCATGTTGGATTTTGGGAAAATTTTTGACGATTGCGAATAATTCGCAATCGTCAAAAATTTTCCTATAATGACGGTACTACTATTAGTAGTTGGTACCGGTCACTTGACAAACATTTAGAAGCGGACTCAGTCCCTGACTCGGGCTATATAAACACTACACACTGTAGGTTTTATAATTCACTGCTCGTTTTTTTCTTTTTGGAAGCAGATATCTTTGCCATTTTCAGTATTAGAAGATACTTATTTTTGAAAATACTATATTATCCAAATAGGTGATCGATTTAAATTGATTTGGTCAAAATAACAGAGCATACGCTGGGTGATATCTAATGCTAGTACAATACAAAATATTCATTAATTTCGTCGTCGCTAATTAATTTCAACTTAGAATACGCAAAAATGTTACGAAGTATATTTTGCAAAACACAAAATGCAATAAAACTTCATTAAATCAGCTTCATGGACACGATAATTTGTTAAAAAATGACCAAAAAATGAAGAAAATACTCGGCCGAGTGGGAGACAGTACTCGGCCGAGTCCGAGTAGTAAAAATACACGCCGAGTCGGCCGAGTACTCGGCATCCCCAGTTCGCACGCACCAAAATAAAACAAAGTTCGCAAAAAAATTTGGCTAATTTATTTGCGAACTTGACATCTCGAAGGCTACTGCGAAAATTAGAATATGTTAACTTTAGCAATTTTTTGCAGAAATTATACTGCGATACGAACTTGCTAACTGACCCCCATTAAAACAGTCCTGCTATCTTATTTTAATTTTCATTGATTATCTTGAATTTCGATGGTCCTAATATTTTTTCACGTGGCAGTGAGCAAGCGTCATCAATGTTGTTTCTTCTTTATTTCATGTTTATCAGCAATCGCGAGAGACGTGGCCAATTTGTCCTGACAAATGGACACAATATTTTCTTGACACGCTTCTCGCCGGGTTTAAGGGACAGGAAGCAAGAAAATGGGTAAACTTTAAACTTTATTTCAATTTAATAATCATTTACATTAAGTAAATAATTAATCAGTACTTTGTTAATATTATTAACTAAATTATAACTACCTATTTCCGATTTGCTCCCAATCTAGTTTAGGGAAGTGAAGTCGCCACCGTCAGTTTATTTTGATGAACAAAACAAATTTCTTGTCTTATCAGAATTGATTGGATTACATGTGAAAGAGGTAATAATATTCGAGGAAAATTTAAATTTTAAAAAATTAAACGAAAAATGAAGTTTATTTTTTTCAATTTCAGTTATCCATGATTTGGCCTTCACCAAAAGATGTCGCATACTTTTGTGAAGTACTGAGCAAATTTACTAATCTCACTCAACTGGAATTGGTGGTCACGGTTCCGATGGATACAGCGGATTTTGATAATGATAGAAACTTTTCTCCAAGTGACCCTCGACTTGCAAGTTTAACAACCAAATTTCCAGCCGGATTCGTTCTGCTATCCGTGAAGAGATTGATGATCAAATTCGACTATGATCCTTTCAGCGAATGTGCATATTATTTCATCAAAGAACAAATAGATCAAGAAGGATTGGCCCGATCTATTCTGGAACTTTGTCCAAATATGGAATACCTTCACTTAAACAGTTACGGCAAAATATTTGGACAAGAAATTGGCCGTGACGCGTCCCGTTTCGCAAAACTGGGAGAAGTCAATTTTGAACTTTTGGATGATCACCAAGCCGGAATTTTATCGTTGCCATGTCCTCTTCGCGTCATCCACGTGCACTTTGAAATGGCCAGCGGGTTGAGCGGATTGCAAGAAATTTTTAACAAATTTTCAAATACTTTGGAAGATTTCAAGATGGAGGTGAACATGGTTCTTTGGGAAACTGTGGAACCACAAGCGGGGCTCCAAGGTTTGAAGAGATCAATGATTCTTATTCCAAAAATGCCAAAGTTGAAAAATATTCATATCAGCGTTGGGATGTCCATGATGACTATGGAGGTGCAACAATCGAAGTCACCTGCGCGAACAAGGTACGATTTTGTATTTGAGACGGCCGCAGGGAACCAGAAGATTGACTATGATTTACAGTTCCCATCCTTGACTACGATTGTGATTAATGGAGGATTCCGTTTCCGTGATGGTCAATACAAGCACTACGTTCTGCATGATTTCTTCTCTCCGCAAATCGAGCCTCCTTGCACTACAGTTCGATATTTGGATATCGACTATCCCGACGAGGACAAGGAATTTCTTGATCGGAATCCAGATTGTGCGACTGGATGCGACTGCTGGATTTGGAAAAATGACATCACTCAATTGTACAAAAGGATGGCGGAAACTTTTCCGAATGTGAAGGATGAACGGTTCAATCCGTTTCGCAAGTAATGGACTTTTAAGAACGAACGACAATCGACATTTTTGTTTTACATTTCATCTTTTTTCGTTATTAATTGTTATGATTTTTGTTACAAACTGCTCCGCCTGGATTACTTATTGAATCCATATTTTTCTTTACCTCCAGCTCTTGCTGTTTTTTCATGTAATAATTAAGTTATTCAATAATTTAACTTGGAAAAAAATTAATTACGTCACAAAATGCAGATATCAGATCAGATTGCTGTGAAAATTCTTGTTGAGAAATAATTTATTATATTTGTTACAACATTTAAACATTTAACAGCTGATTTAAATACAACATTGAAAAGAGGATATGCTAATAAATATCTGAACATAAATGATTCTATCGACTAATTAGGCCTATAAAATACATATACTAAAATTAAAGTTATTTTTACTTTGCACGTCAGACTTCACGAGTTGAAAAAAATTACGTTTCTATTAAAACATGTACATATGTATACATACATGAAACTCGTACATATTTATGTGCATCCAGAGCGAGACTAAATACCCACAGACAGATCACGGTATCATTCACGGTAGTGATCTGTATTCAGGGCTAAATACCTATATAAATATGTATATGAGTCACATGATATAACAAGTATAAATATATTTCTTACTATTGTATTCTTTTATTCGTATATATTTAACTAGAGGATAAAGCGATGGATTTGAAGAAATTGTATTCCTCCTTTGTTAATTTTAGCAAGGTGTATAAATATGTATGAATTAATCACAAGGCGATGGTAAGAACTCGAAGAATCCGATTTTCTTGAAATTTCGGAATTATTTAGTCAAAGTATGTTATGCGATTCGGTAACAATTAGACAGAGGTCATACATATGCAAATACGTTTTTTGTATTTATTTCAGATTTCTGAAAAAATCTTTGCAAACAGCTTGAAAAAATGGCTAAACGGTCAAATCTTGACATTTATATTTCATGAAGAGGGGATGATAACAGGGTCCCTTAAGGTATCCGGGAGAAGCAATGAATTTCTTGATTTGCGGAATCTCCTCGAAATTGCTCTTATACTTCAACAGAGCTGGATACCGTTCGAGATAATCCGCATCGTACAAGGTGTACTGGTACAGCATTTCGTACAGCATGAAATCCACGTAGGAGATCTATTTAAGAAATTTATAATCTTCAAAAAAAAATAATCATAATTTTTAATCGTAAAATATTCACCTTATCTCCAAGAATAAATTTATTGCTGCCCAAGAAACTATGCAGCATGTCCCACTTTGGTGGACCACGTTCCTTCAGAGAAGTGATGAAGGGTTCCTGCAATAATTACATTTGTTTAAATATTTTGTGTGATAATCTTTTTAAAATGTGCGATATCAATTAAAATTGGATTATATTTTTGAAATATTACTTTACCAACCAATTACACAGATTTGTGTGGCAAAATTATTTCTCTTAATTAGCTATCAATTACACATGAAATCGTGTAGTTATGTAAGTATTTCGGGGATTAAAAAAAATCTGGTAGTTAATAAAAACTTCGCAAATATTAAAATTCGGGAAAACGTAAAATTTTCAAAAACACCTTGGCAGACAAGTTATTTTTAACAGTACACAAACGTGTGTAATATAATTAGTACCCAAAAGGTTTGACTTTTTTAAATTTAAAGATTGTTATGAAAATTTCATAAAATTCAACACATTCTCCAAAATTCTTACGGTGTCATGGAAACATCTCCAAACCAAGAAGTACCACACGTCCCATAAGAAATTCTCCATCATTTCCGCCTTTGCCAAAACGATGGGGTCGCTCGGCATTAAGACGCCGTTTCCTTCCTTCCGCGCAATGTACTTCAAAATGGCTCGAGACTCGGTCAGGTTGATGGAGCCATCTTTCCAGTACGGAAGCTGAATAGAATTAAGATCAAAATTTATGCATAATTTGTACCATCATTACAATATTTTGAGATAGGCTGTTAGAAATCAGGTATAGTCTCGCAGGTACTGATTTCTCAGTGTTAACGTTGGTACAGCTTGGTATGTAAATTATACCGGTCACTATGAAATTTGCTACTGATATGGTAAAACTTTAATACCGAACTATTACTTTACTTGCCCGTATTACTTATAAATACAACTTTATATGTAGTAAAGTCATACATGAATACCGTTTGGAATTATTTTAATACCGGATTTCTAAGAGTGTACGAAATACTTGAGTTTTTTATTACATACGTTTGGCAAATCGAGGCCTAAATTTCCCTTCTCTGCCCCATATTCTTCCAAGCCTGCCTGACTGAGAGGATATTTCTTCTCTTCGTAGTCCACTCCTAGATAAGCCAATGCCCACTTTACCGGGTACGCGAGCTGTGAATGATTGTGGAATAAAACGTTTAATGTTAGCACAATAAAAATTAATCCAATAATTTATCATCTCTCACCCCTCGCAAGTCATGATAGCCCAAGAGTGGTTTCGAGTTGGACATTTTTAACTGAACTAAAAACAGTTATATTTCTGAAATTTTAATGAATATCGACACCAATTTGGAACCGGCTGCACAAACGTTTGTGGCAAGAATGTGTTGCTATGCAGTGGATGCAGATATTGATATGTTTGTGCTTAGATATGTATATACATAAGTATCGTCATCCATAAGGAGATAACATTGTCAAGGTTGACTTGTTGGTAAAGTGTTATACGTATTGTGCCATGCTTTTTATTAGCATGACACCACACCGATTTCAAGTCTCGTTTCTTATTTCTAAATGCGTGCATATGCATCTTTACAGACATGCATTGCTGGAGGGTGCATAATGCATTTTTTGCTTGGACACCACAGCTTGACCAGATTGAGCGTGGTGCATACATAAGAACATTTGGATTTTTAAGTAGGTGTAATAGTGTATACATACATATGTTATCATGCACATTGGAGTATTTGAGGCAGCAATATGTAACTATGCACACATGTCTGCATTTAGGTAAACGAAAGTCATCATGATGAGATACTAAATGCAAACGTTCATATTGGAGTCTCCAATTTGGAGAAAACAGCATTCCACGATTTGATAACACTGATGAATCTCAAATGCGATTACAAAAGATAAGTATGCATGCAAGTGCACGAAAACGTTACCACCTGAATATTCACCACATGACATACGTATACTCACTCGTTAGAATATTTCTATCCCTATAGCGATAGTACTACAGATGAATACTTTCTATAGTATGTCCATGGACAAAGAGCATATTAGTTATGTAAATCGAACTTGGATATTTTCATGCACTTACCTATGTATGTATATATGTACATACCGCTAGTCGCTTATTTCCCATTAAACATCTACAAACATGTTTCCAGGATACAATTTACGGAATTGTGAATTTTCATGGAATTTGGAAATTTACAGATTGGGAATTTCTTTAATGCTTAATTCCACTGGCTTCATATGACAGACATATGAAATCAGGTTGCTGCTTACGTACATGAGACAAACCTTTTCTAAAAATTGTATTTTACCTAGAAAAATTTACGTAAGTGCATATAGCCGACAAAGGCTCGATTTACGTACATTTATCTTATACACAATTGAAACACTGGTCAAATACTGATAGTGGTTTACATGTTGGCAATTGACTCTTACGAGACCTTGTGTGAAATTTGACTGATTACATTTTAAATATACATTTTTGGCTACACCGTTCAAGAAATTACTTCATTCATCGATACCTACATACCCAAGTTCAACTCTGAAATTAATATATGTTCGGATTTTAAAGTCCTACATTCTAATCGACTCGGGAAAAAATGTGGTCTGGAACATTACGTAACTTCGTTCTTTTCTCTATAATTATAGTTGCAAGATTATCTAAATTAATAAAATGTGAACCTGTCACAAGCCTAAAAGGTTATTGTCCCCAAATCCCTAAACCAGAAGATGATGAAAATCTGAGGCCACGTGAGTTAAATTTATGTAACATTAAGAATTGCAAATTAGGGTTTAGCATTCAATTTTTACGCAACGGCTAAATTTACCATTGGCCTAAATGCGAAATTTTGTGGTTATGAGAGAATTTAGGGCAAAAATCCTTAATATCCATACATATTTACCATTTGGGTGTGTTCACACATAGCGTAATTAACAACGCAAACGTAGTTGTAGATAAGGTCTTATTTTGGTTGCGCTAACGTTACGTGCAAAAGCTTGGGTTTTCACGTACAAGCAACATATTTAATTTAATCTATGTAAAACGCAAGAGCTTGGCAAATTTGAACTCTTTGTTCACAGTTTTAAATAAAGCTTGCACCATTTTTCGTTGTACTCCAACTTACTCCAAAATTAATGTATTGAAAAATAAATTCATGAATTAGATTGAATCAAAATTACAAAATTAGCAATACATTCTGCACCTCGAAAAATTACAGCTTTGGCAGAGGAAGCCTTTGGAAATTTTGTTAAATGGAAACTGCTCTGTTTCCACACCTGGTTGGTTGAAACGAGACGGTATACGGAACCTTACATTCTTCCCAAGGAATTATTTTTCAACTTAACAGGAGCAATTTATGAGATGGAAGCAATGTTTGGGTATTCATCATTTTCAAATCGGTAGTATTTATCCTCTGAGATATGCTCTAGTTAAATATAAATATGCTTAACTTTAGAAATGTCAGGGGTTCCGGCTTGTTGAATTACTTTTCGGACAGAAAAAACCCTGGCTCATTTCTTCCCGGTGGACCAGACCTTCATCACGGCTTCTTCGATATTCGCTTCACCTCTGAAAAAAGTCAAATTCGAATTGATGGTAAAATAATTAAAATTCAGCATCAATTTCGTAGATACCTATGTTCCATTTGTCAATTACTGAACAAGCAAGAACCATACAGGCAATTCACGCAGTCACTGGGTAACTTTTAAAATACGTACGTTTTGCGAAATACCTAATTTTAGACTTGGACAGAATAATGAGACGCCCTTGATCAGAGCAAGTTAGCAAAAATGCGTAAGCTAATTTTCCATAGAAATAATTGCAAAATTTTGTAAAAGTTGATAGAATTTACGGATTCTACAAAGTTACGAAAGACGGCGTGAATTGCTTCATACTTTCGATAAAATTTACGAAACAAAAGTCTATATACGAGTCCGTACTGTGGGATACTAAACACTTGCTTGATTCAATTGTCGAAGTAATTTTATTAGTCAAATTAGTCTAATACTGTTATTAGGACGCATCATCTCGAAAGGTACCGTTTTAGTGTTTCCCTTCTTCGCACCTGGCGGAACTGCGAGAGTTTGGACGGACCGCGTATTTGATTTCTACGGAGAATTTTCCGCTATCAATGGATTCATCAAGCTGAACGCGTCCCGTTGTAAAACCGAATTCCAAACAGGGTCAATCGTTACCACTAATATAACTAATTTCCGCCCCGACACTGTCCCATCGGAGTGGATGGAAGCCGTCGAAGGGGAAGTTTTTCCACAAGCTGGGGAACGATTAGCGAATTATTTTACCACCGAGATCACGGATTTGCTCAACAGTGCGATCTATGATTACTTGACGATAGCTTTTAACGTAAGGCATGCAACTACTTATAATTGTAAAATCATAATCTGAAATTAAGCCTTTGTGGTTGACCCTGTTTTGCATAGTCTGGCAAAAACATTTGTCCCCACTGTACAGCCTGTATTAATTGTTAGTGATTAACTGTTAGCGACCAAATAGCATTATTTTCACTCCCTGGTTTTTGTAGGACACACCCGTCTCAGAAATCATTAAAACACCTGCTCCTCCTTTGGAAGAGTAAGTTAGAATAAAAAGTAAAAATTAGTAAATGTAATACATACTTCGAAAGATTTTAATGTTTCCAACTCGGTTACATCAGTAATGAATCCACCACCGAGGAGACACAGCTACCCGAGTCTACCCGCCCATCTCAAACTACTACGGAAACAACTACAGAATTCTCCACAAGCCCTGCTAGTTCAACCTTCAAAGATCCACTTTCCACTACAACAAGATTTCCTGAAAATGAAAGTAGTCCCGAAGGGGAAGGACCAATGCTCGCGTTAATCTTGGTGGGGGTCATTCTACTGTTGATTTTCGGTCTAGGATTGGTCATTTGTATCGTTAGGAAAAGAAGCCAGGTAAATGAAAGATGAACCCGTGCACCTATTAAAGCGTAGTGGGCCTATTAAAGCTTTGCATACAAAAATGCCGCGGTTTTACTAGATGAATCATTACATAACAAGTCTAAATTGAAAACAAAATCCTAGACTTCGCCAGACTACAGGAAATTTCAATCATCCGAAATCCATGACCCCAACGAACCAGTCTACTTGCCAGCGATCAGCCATCATCCCCACATTCTGGACGATAATGGACATAAAATGTATCAAGCCGTTCAACGCCTCCCTTTACCCACACATTTGCACCTTTCTCCCAAGAGATTGAAGGTGCAGAAATCCATTTTACTTGGCAAGGGCGCGTTTGGTGTAGTTTTTCAGGGGTTACTAGACTCCAAAACGGTCATCGCCGTGAAGACGTCAGCAGAAAATGCGGACGAGACGAAGCAAGCCGCCTTGTTGGCCGAGGTGAAGATCATGAGCTATGCTGGTAAACATCCCAACATTGTTGAGCTTGTTGGAGTTCAATTTGATAAAGGTGGCAAAGGTAAATTAAATAAATTACATGGGTACAAATTATGTACATACATGCTAGGAATGCGTATGCATTAAGTGGTTTTCTCCTATTTGGACTAGACTCATTTTAAATTGTTCACACCCAGAAATAAGCGGGACAGGTTTCTGCATTTTTCCTAACTCGCATGTTTTGGCTTTGGCCCGTGCCAAAATTCAGATTTTTTAAAACGCTGACTTTTGGCGATATTGTGAATTCAAGAAATAAAAATGACTAATTGCAATTTTGAAAATTGCACAAATTTTTTAATTGTAAAATTTGTGCTAATCCTAAGTGCAATTCCTCATTCTTCATTCGTCATTCCTCCAAGTTTATATATCACTGTACAAATTGTTATTTATTCGACAATTCCGCCACGACTAAAGATGCATGCAGTAGGAAGAATTCAAAAATGCGACGACCACAAGCATAAGTATTGGTCTCTTATTTTCGGGCTTGAATAGTTAATCATATTGGCCAAAATCTGAGAATACCCCTTCATCCCTACGTATTTTGAGAAATTATTCACAATTTTCTCAATTATAATTCCACATAAATATTTTACTCTCTAAATCTAGTTCCGCTAATGGTTGCGGTACAATTCTGTTCGCGAGGGTCATTAGAAAATCTTTTACGCGAAAGGCGAAAACAGCTGGCGACGCCGATTTTAAATTATGCCCATGCAGATTTATGGTTTACCAGGTTATCTCGCCCCCACCGAGATTGAGACGGTTAAACCGTTTGACACACACACGCTATTACTTTGGACAAAACAAGTTTGTTCAGCTATGACGTTTCTGTCTGCAAAGCAGGTAATAAATTCGTAACGTAGAGACTAGTACTATATTCTTTTTTGATAATTAAGATAAAAATTAACTCCGGAAGTTACGTGCAGATAATTCACGGAGATCTTGCCGCACGGAATGTACTCGTTGATGAACACTTTGTCGCGAAAATTTCCGATTTCGGCCTCTCCAGACAGATTTATGACCAATACAAGAAATATGTGTTTGCCAAAAAGGTAATTATAAAATTTGTTGGGTTGCATTAACCTTAAAAACCTTGATTTCCAGAATTTTAACTCTGATTAATGCATTTAATAAATTTAATTTTTCGTTTTTCATTATAAGCTGAATTTTTTAAAAGCTAGTGAAATAATTTTCAATCTGTTTGTTACCACCGCTGTTAGTAATTTCTTACTTGCTTTTAGGAAACTCAGCTCCCATGGAGATGGCTTGCCATTGAGACGCTAAAACATTCTAAATTCTCTAGCGAGTCAGATATCTGGGCGTTTGGGGTGTTCATGTGGGAAATGTTCAGTCTGGGGGATACACCTTACACTGCCGGAAGTCAATGGGGACCAGAATTCGTGTCCTTCCTCGACCAAGGCTTGAGACTGGAGGCACCGGAATACGCGCGACAAGAAATGTATGAAAACATTGTAATGAAACATATTTTTTTCAAAATTTTATTGGTTTACGAAAATATTTCTCACGTGGTGCAGTAAGCGTCATAACCTGAGAAATTAATATGTTTTTCGACCTGCTGCATATGTAAATATGTAGGTTTCATGTTAATAGATATTTATTGATGAGGAAATGCTGGGAGGCGGATCCATCGAGAAGATCTCGATTTCCGGAAATATCCTCCAATCTGGATTTTCTACTTGCTTCTGAATATGAAAACCGTATCATGCCGAAAAAATGACCATACGTATGTATTAACTTAATCCTTACGTGTTCATTGATTACGCATATACTTATTGCAGTACCTCAAATTTGTGATTGCCCTTTATTGATTTTTTATTGTTGAAGTTATGCTAGTTTGTATCGCTTTAATAAGGTTATAATTAAATCATGTGTCTTTAAGATAACACTATTTGAAAGATTTTTTAGCGTATACACATTTGGTCCATTTATGAAAGTGGCATACGTGAAGTTGTATTTTTTAAGTGCTTTAACGAGTAAATTACATATATACCCGATAAGATGAGAAGGAAATTCAAGAATTTTTACAAAATCAATAAATCAATCTGTAAATTCACGAGTAATTTAATTTAAGAAGTAATTTTTCATGATTTTAAACTATGAAGATGCAATGAAAATTTTTAATACACTCTTAGAAATCCAATATTAAAATAATACCAAGCGGTAGTGATATATAGCTTTGCCAAAGTGGTATTGATAAGTAATACTGTGTAGGTGGTAATAGTAATAAATCGGTATTAAAGTTTTGCCATATAATTTTTACTGACCGGTATAATTTTAATACCAAGAGGTAGCAAGTTTAATACTGATAAATCAAAACCTGCCTGACAATATCAGGTTTCTAGAAGTGTATTTCAAAGAGAGAATTATAAAGCACATTATTTGCATATTTAACCCACATTTGTAAATACATGTGTGTTGCATACATAAATATGTGCACGCGTAATTCTGCAAGTGATACATATGTACATAAGTATATATGTATGTATGCCACGAAGATGAAGATCAATGTGTGTGTCACATTGACATGCGGTTTAGCAATTAAGCTTAATTGAATCTGCTTCCCTTTTACTCTGTATTTGTATTCACGACTTATGTGAATTATAAATTCTCCTAAATGGAATACCAGATAATGTACTGGTTAATCTTAAGCTAAAATCCTGTTATTGTAAAGTATATGACAAATTGATGTTTTCTTCCAGATAAGTTGAATTTCAGTGAAAAAATACTATCGTCATTTCCGAATTATGATATTTAACTACTTGTAAGCAATACCGTGTATGTATATATGTACCTAAATAAATTCGATTCAATGATTCAATGAATTTAATGCGTATACGTACGTGTACAATATGTGCAGTGGAATTATTTGTGCGTGTCACCTTATTTGCGTAAATCTCACTATGTCAATTTTCGGCGATACGGGTTTTACATGTTGAATATACCCTCTCTCGCGAATGAGTTAAAATATGCAAATGAGGTGACTAGCACAAATAATTCCACTGTATTTGTACTTATGTAGGTACATGTCATACGTAGTATGTACATAGTTGGTACATATGTTTAGGTATTCACGCACGTGTTGGATTCCCTGTTTTTTCCGGTAGTTGTTATTGCATGTTGCATACATATATAAGTTATTAGCGACACCATGGCTTAAGAAGTTCTAATCCTAAGTACTCCGTAAATGCTACGTAAGGTTTGCCCTTCCAAGAATTACCTTACCAGATTAATAGCCTTATCCGGTAGAATTCTATTAATTTTTTCGTGTCTCAATGACGCAAAAACCATGCTCAGAAATATGTACCTCTTAATCCAGAGGGTTACATGAAATTTGATAATGATTATGCGACTAAAAGTGCGAATATAAGCGCCACAGGCAATCATCTTCAAAAATCTCAAGTTTTCCAAAAATGTTCGACATGACGCCACTCCCCATACTTCTCGTCGCTCTATTGGCATTTTGCCATGTCACTCTCAGCTACAAGATCGACGACTCCCTTACCTTCACCCAAATGGTGGAGAGGATCCCGGTTGCTCAATATTTCAGAAATGCCACCCTTCATCACCCCCTTCACGAAGCCCTGGCTAAAGGGACCCTTCCCCTCATAACGCTTAAAGCCTTGATTCAACAAGACCACTTATTTTCGGAAAACCGTCTTAAAGCGTTTGGAATTTTGGCCAAACGAGAAATGGATCCCAACAGGAGGAAATATTTGCAAGGGGTTGCCCGCCAGAATTATGGATCTGCCTGGGAAGAGCTTTATGTCCAATTCAACTTTTCCAGAGGGGTTCATATGGTCCCCCCTGTTTTGGGTAAAAACAAATTAATTTGAAACATTCAGTGAAGCAATTCGTGCTGTAATTGGTAACTTATAAAATCCATAAGTTTTGAAAAATACATCATTTTACAAGCTTTTACAAAATAAAATGACGCTCTTCATCGTAATAAGTTTACAAAAATTTGTAAGCTAATTTTCCTTAAAAATATTTGTGCAATTTTGTAAAAGTTTTACAAATTGATACAGAATTTACGAATTTTATAATGTTATCAAGGATTACGTGAATTGCTTCAGTGTTTGATTTCTTGAACGTTTTCTGAACTTATTGTTCTTCAAGAAAGTGTAAGAATTTATCGCTAACTAGCAGCTGCCCTTTGTAGTACAATCGGGATAGTCTGCTAGATGGTGCTGTTTTCTTGCATTTCTTGAGCCTTGCATCGCTTTAAGATCATATTTAACCTAAAAACAGTTTCTTGGAGATATGTTTTATGATCCAAAGTTAATATATTTATTCCCTAGAATATTCCGTTCACGACCTTAGCCTCGCAAAAAATGGCGAAATTGCCGTCGCCCTGGCATCCTTTTATCCTGCTCGTGATATCTGGGGCCATGTTGCCTCTCGTGTCGCAGCCATCGCAGATCTACCCAACAATCCCAGCCATCCTCATTTCACCCCCATCGCCCGCACTTCACGAGGACAAAAGACCGCACAATTTGTCACCGTCTTGAACGAGTATTACGCCCGATTGGGAAATGATACCAAAACCAAGAAGAAAATGTTACACGCTTACACGCGAAGTATTCAGTATGAGTTAAAATTTGCCGAGACGATCTTAGCCCTGCAAGTTGAATCTATTCCCGCCCCGAATTTTACTGACTTGGTGGACTCTCACTTCACCCCTGACGCCGTGGCGGGAGTCGTGAACCATGCGTTGTATCGAGAAATTGGGGCTGGGACGCTTCCTTTGGATCGATTTGCCATTCTGATGCAACAAGATCACATTTACATTAATGGATTTTATGGCGCGTTCACTGCCATGGAGGACAAAGAGACGGATGCGGAATTGAAGCATCGCCTTCACAAGAACTCGGACAACATGGTTAACTTCTTTAAGCGACAGTATGAAAATTATGACTTCCAAGAAGCATATTTCGTTGAGAAGTATACACTAGGTAAGTATTTTTATGAAAAAGGCTGATTTTTTTAATATGGCGAGATTTGCCTGGCGCTAATACAATTTCGTAAAGACATTGGGGGTATTCACGTCACTCAAAATGCCGTTTCTCAACCGTAGATAAATATGTAAATAACGTATGATAACGTATACTTAGATAACCGGTCTCCAACGCTAAAAACTTTTTGTGTGATTTTTTGAAAAAAAATATAACATTTTAATTGGTTGAAATTCCGCATCCCAACTTTTCACAAACATCACAAAGTTGTGAATATACATAATCCGTGAAGCGACGTTTATGAAATTGACGTGAATATCCCCATCATAATTTCTCATATTGCCAAAAATTGCAAGCTAAATTAGAATTTAATGATTTTCATTAATTTTGCAGCTTACGTGGACCACATAATTTCCAAATCGCACCACTCCTCGATCCCTGAAGGTCTCGCAGCCTTGTATCCGTGTTACTTCATCTGGAACAGGATGGGTCGTTATATGAACAAATTGGCCCAAAATGTTATCGATCCACACCCGTACGGAGATTTTGTCACGTACAACAATCCTGCTGAGAGCGGGAGTCTTGCAAAATTTCAGGGTCTGATTAACACTTACTTTGATCGACTCGAGGGGGATTTGGAGACAAAGTTGAAAATGTTTCAAATCGTGGGGGAAAGTGTCTTGTACGAGGAGATGTTTGCGGATGCGGTGTATAAACTGGGTCGGCCACAAGGGTTATAAGTCAGACATGCATACTTACATACATAATTATATAATTTAAATAAAAGTTGTGCTAAATTTACCCAAGGTTAAGTACAAAGAGGATGACACAACAATTGTGCAAAATTTATCCAACTTGTGCAAAATTCACCCAAACGTAGATTTAGCCAAATTGTTGCATGATTCTCTTCTTTTACTCAACCTTGGGTTAATTTAGCACAACTTTTATTTAGAGTGTACTTATGTATACACTTAAATATGAACATATGTACGTATGTACATATTTCCACTCTCTATTGATTTAAGTGAAACAGTAATAGTTAAATAAATAAAAAATTCAAATATTTCTGTCCTGATTTTAATTTGGTTTCTGAAAAGTAAATCTTACTGTGCGATAAAAGATGTGAGTCCGTTTTTTCTACCTTTATTATTCCACTTACCATAACTAATCCTAAATGCATGCTCATCTTGTGGTCGTTGAGATTGAAAATGCGTATAAAAACCACCAGTGTGTAGGATTTGACAAATCAGTTCATATTCATTGCGATTATGCAGAATGTTATTAAGTATGTTTCATACTGTTAGCATTTGTGCCATTTCATGTAATATTTATTTTCACTTTGCTAGACAATATTTTGACATTTACAAGGAGTATAATTTCCTACATATACATGTGTAACACACGCGTCATGGCATTGTAAGTAGTTTACTAATATAGTTGTAAATGTTTCCTGCAAATCCTTTCCTATTAACACATTTTAAATGATATCGCATCACGGAAACCCTTCATATCAGAATTTTTCTGATTAATGTTAAACATAAAATAGCCATCCTCACAATTATAACCTGAATAAACTGACACACAGCTTGTTTCCGACGGGAAATTTTGGAATGCAATATTTCCCATGCATGAAATCTTCAAAAACTGAGATTCTCTGTGGTTAATCGACGTGCATAAATGGGGAAACAACGGAACCCTGTGTTCGTACTTTATATTTTCATCAATGCAAACTAATTGGATTCTTCCTTTAAGGAAAGGGTCATCCCTGACTGACTCAATGCCATTCATAACATCGTCGCCTGGACACGTTCCATGCAAAAGATTAGCCTCCACTGTCGCCATAAGCTTGTTTGCATTTACCTTTTTTTTGCTTATTTAGGATAACTAGTTTTTTCATAATGTGGCCGAAAACTTTGACATGTTCAAGGTTTTTTGCGCAAGCTATGGCCCGTTTGAGTTTTGTATGTTTAAGGGTATCCTGTTTGTCAAAAAATGTATCTATACTTTCTAGCTCTCCGCCTATTAAATTTGCTTTGATATCGCTTTCGCCGGAAATCGTAGATTTATGGTATGGTGCTCCTATTACTCCTAAGCGAGTTATATAGCTTTCTACTAGTTCAAAGGGGTCTGATTCATGGGAAAAATTACCAAAATTAGATAGTAATGAGGCTGGAATATCCCAACGGGGGGTATTGTTCCGCTGCTTAAAAAATAAGGTTACATGCTTGTAATTTCCAAATGCGGCTTTTTGGTAGACATGCGAACCGAATATATTTATAAGTGAGGTTGCATATTGATTGTCTGTTTCGTTGTCATTGTTAGTAATTTGCTCGAACATGCTTCTTGCCTTTGGGGATATGGTGTGCTGGATGGATTGGAGCGAGACACCTGTGATTGGCTCTGTGTAATCCATTTCCTAAAAATTCGGAATAATTATTATTATGTTAAAGTATTAAGTTAAAGATAAAATGAAATATTTATTTATTTTGAGCATAGACAACGTCTTATTTCGCATCGCATCTCATTTAACAAAATTGCGAAGATAAGAAAAATTTTATCATGAAGTGATTCGCTAAATATGTATGACTTCGCAAATCTGTTATGTTGATATGCTAAATTGGCGAGATATGTGAAGGCTGATGTGAGTACGCTTTTTTGCAAAATTCAAATACCACTGCATGAAGTGAGTCCATACCTGTGCAGCTTCACTCAATTTACCTAAATCGAAGCTTCATTCACGATGAGGGAGTGAAGGAGAGTGAAGCTGAGTGAGGGAGGTGAAAACTTTGATCGAGTGAGTGAAGGTGAGTGAGGGAGGCCCAAATGAGAAATGAGTGGAATGAAGGGTGAAGGAGATGAAGGCTTCATCTCCTTCATCTCTCTCACTCCTTCTCCTCCTGGGAAGAAGGGTGAAGGAATATAGGGCAGATAATTCCCAAGCAACCAAAATCTGCAAATAATGTACCAAATTTGTACAACTGGATTAATGCATATTTTCCGTTAAAATGTGAAGCTGACTTGTGTTTATTTTGTACAAGTCACATTTACAAAATTCATACCAATAATTTATCACTGCAAGTTTACTTGTACCAAATATGCACAAAATTAACACAAACAAATGTGTACGAATTTTGTGTAAATTTGGTGATGATTGACATGCATTAATGAGGTGAGAATTTAGTGCAAATTTAGTGCGAATCTATTACTAATTGTGTGCTAATGGTACGCATGAAATTAATACAAATTCATTTGCACGTATTGCTCGCATTTCAATTATTATTTATTTATTTCACATTCATCTGTCGTACATATTTCTACAATAATGTTAGGTATCTCCAAATACTTAACTAATTAACAGATAATTGCAAATTGGGATACACAAATATTTATCGAAATTAATCGGTAGAATACTTACTTACGGCGTATAGAGAAAGACTAAATTAAAATGAATTCCTGAGAAATGCCTCATTATTCACCTCAGGCTCTTTTTCTGATAATTTAGGGCGATCCCGTTTGCCGTTATCACATGAGTCGATAGGTTTATTCCTTGTATGTGTTCCCAACGTATGAATCTATAAATTAAGCAAAACGTATATTTACATAAATAACCCGAATATATATTAATGCAAAAGTAGCCAACAACAATATGTATATATGTAATTACCGTATTTTTCGACATATCACATGCCATGAGTCGTCCAATCTTTTGAAATCCACGTAGACGGCACAATCTCCACTCATTTGTCGCCTTCAAACTCGAGGAATCGAGGAACTTTTATCCGAAATAGGAATTTGATTTTCGACCATAACTGTCGAAATTTTTTGGTTGGAAATTAAAAATGGAGAAGAGATGATGGAGTTGATGTCACGGCATGGCAAAAAGAATAACTGACTTGAGGTTTGTTTATTTAATCGCGAATAGAGAAATGATACTAATTTAGTACTAAATTATTGCAGAATAATCGGTACAAATTTTGTGTGAATATGCTGGCACCTGTTTACTGCATTTTGAGTTTGTACAATTTCCCAGGTACGAATTATGCATGAATTATTTGGTGCAAGAAATCTCATGAAAATTTAGTGCTAACAAATACGCACTAAATATTCACTTGTTCCTTTGTAATAATTTGCTACTAATTAATTTGTGATAGTTTCGTGGATTTCTTGTGCTAATATATTAGCAGCACAAAAATTGATACAAATTTTGCACGAATCTTGTACAAATTAATGATTACAACTTTTTATGCACAAAAATTGCATAAACTTGCATTGGGATTCGCAGTAAATTCGCATTGAGGTTGCTTGGGTTAGTTTACATACTCAAATAAGCGTTGCAATATTAACATAGTACCGTCTCATATTACCCCATGCAATTTTCACCGTGCCCCAGTCTAATCTCACGTTGCCCCAACCCAGTCTCACAGTACCCCAGTCGAATCTCACATTGCCCCAGTCCAGTCTCACGTTACCCCACTAGATGGTGCCAAAATATTTTAATTATGATGACACGAGGGACTGAATTGAGTGACAGAAAGAGTGAAGGAAATGGATGAGCGAGGGGAATGAGTGACGTGTGAGGAATGAGGGAGTGAAGGGAATGAAGGAGTGAGAATGAGATTTATCAGTGAGTGAAGCCTCACTCAGCCTTCCATCACGCGAGTGAGGGGAGTGAAGGGCAATTTGGTTCGAGGTGGAAATGAGTGAAGTTGAGTGAAGTGAGACTCACTTGCACAGGTATGAGTGAGTCTAATGCTGGTTGGCCCTGAATTATGGCTTCGATAATGCTTGATAAGATCGATGGATACATTCTAGATGAAAACAATGGATTACTTTTATGTGTATACTTGGCACTGATTGATATTAGGAAATCCGTGTCACCGTTTAGTTTGAAGGGTGTACAATAAAAAATCGTACAAATTGCTCAAATTGTATTTCACCACTTTTAGATTAACCTGTAATATACAAATCAATAATTGAAAAAATTCATTTTGCACGTATGACCATGTATCTACATCAATTCTTACCTTGAAATCAGTTACATTATTCAGTTGTAAATTTTGCTGAATTGACGTACAATTCACGATGATAAAAGGTTCCAATTGAATTTGATTCTAAATGTGCAAGACCAATTTTTTATTGTTACAATCTACATATTTAATATAAACTTTGAGCAAGATGACAATATTTTTACCTGTTCATGTACCCCTACGTGTTCCCAATTCGGAGAGGCTTCCTTGAAATCCACTAAATAATCGTTCTTACCAAACGAAATTTGCTCAATTTCATTTGGTAAATTTTCACACGTTCCCGTTGTCACTTCTGCAGTTACAACTGGTTCAAGTTTTGCAGACCTAACAAAAAATGTATGTAATTAGTCAAATTGTGAACAATAATTTGGCCTTAAGATGAAATATGCAGATTTGTACTTACGTCGGATCTATTTTCGATCGGTAGAAGTTAACGTTATAAACCATGTTGCTATGATTAATAACGATTTTAGGTGCCCCATTAGACCTCGAACTGCAACTGGAGAATTTTATTTAAGTTAGCATAATTTGTGTTCCCATATTGTTAAATAAATGTCCACTTACGTAAGGGCTTCTAAAGCCATTAACACAACAATAAATATCCCAAAGAGAGTCATTCTCGGTTAGGTATTTTTGAAGATGTGGGACTTTACACTGTGACTTTATTGTTAATGGAACTTCACTCGTGTACTAATGAAATTGGATTTATTCTGTGCTTGTGCTGTCCAAGATTTTGCAAAAGATCCCGTGATTATATGCATATGTATATATTACATATATGATATTAGATTAATCTTTTACTCTTGCTCGTGGGTTCATGAGCAAACGCACGGTGTGTCAGGGACCTTAAAAATCGAGAAAATTATTTTGCATTCAATAATCCTCTCATGGGTGTGGAAAAGAATAAAAAATTTGGTCCGCTTTTATTTTCGTAAGGTGGTTTGGTCAGGAGAAGAATTTTTAACGATTTTTTCAAAGAGACTGAAATTCTTCATAAAGCCACATCCACTTTCAAAATTGAACGTTGGTAAAAATAAGATATTAAACATGTCCGTAGCTCTTACCATTGTCTTGCAAAAAAAGACATGTAACGAAGGATCGGTGTTTTTGTGAAAATCTTCCAATTTGAAGGACTCCAATGTCCTTAAACCTCAAAAACGCTCGGGAAAATCTTTCTGAAATTTGAAATACTAACATGCAACTAACATATACATATGTATAATGACCTTGGTAAAATATGGGGGTGGGGGGGGTGCTTTTTTCTTCGAAAACCAAAATCAACCACATTTTTATGCTTTTCTACCATCATGGGACGATTATGTACGTAGACCTTGAAATTATTTTGCCGTTTTGTATGGTTCCCGGCACACTGTGCGGACTCTGCAGTGCCGAGTAAAGTGTTATCTGTAATTCATCTTACGCTTCGTGTCAAGACACAACAAGTTTGAAGTCCCGTTTCTTGTTTCTAAGCACATTTTGCATTGCTGGAGAGTGCAAAATAATTTTTTTTGCTGGGACACAATGTCCAGATTATTGAGCTATGGATGTGTATAAATATGTACAGAAATATGTGATTACATTGAAGCATTTGATGCAGGAATAACTACATATGTATATCTGCGTTTAAGCAAAAGTCGTCAGGAGGAGAGAGTAAATGTAGACTTCCTTCCAAGTGTGCATACCTTCATATAAGTATTCACTGTCGGTTAATATTAGAAAAAGCGTAAAATTCCATGAGACACACATACGTATCATTTGATGAAAGTGATAAATCCTAAAACGAGTACAAATGCGATTATACATAGAAAACATACATTCCTATAAACAATTTTTATTCATTTAAGTTGTTAACATGCTTCATAATGTTTGCATTTGTGTTATTTCATGTAATATTTATTTTCACTTTGCTAGACAATATTTTGACAGTTATGTACAAGGAGTGTAATTTTCTACATATGCACGTCTAATACACGCGTATGCTAAATTACTAAACAACATCGCTTTATGTATTGCACTAATTATTAACTTCTTTAGTACTAAAGATTTTTTACTAACATTTCGCTCCATTATAATGTTTCTCTCATGTTACATGCATACACCAATTAAAATTTTCAACCAATTTCCAATTTTTGACACTTTTGACGGAAAATAAAAATAAATCCACCTTTTACATTACATAATTAGTATAGGGAAAATTCCAAAATTTAGGAATAAAAATAATAAAAAACAACACTTTTTACCATCGAGTTTTCCCAAAAAATGTTCTTATTTTGAGAAATTTTAGTACCAGGGTAATTTATGCAATACACAAGACGTCAACGGTAAATAAAATACAAGACCAATTTGTGTACTTCGTCGGTAAAAGGTTAACAGTGTCATAAATTTACAGGAGGATAGCCGAGATTATGTATAAAAATTGAGATTAATTTTCTGATTCATATACATTTAGATTAGAATAAATTTCATCGTAAACACACAAAATAGTAATTTATGATCTTAATTATTTCAAATTTTTAATTTGTTGCCGAACATGTACACTTTTTGCACAATGTTTGCTGCAAATTCTCCCCCCCCCTTAGCAAATTCTAAATGATCCCGCACCACTAAAACCCTTTACAACAGAGTTTTCTTCATTAATATTGAAAAGAAAATCACTCTCGTTGCAATCATAGCCAGAATAAACAGACACACAAGAATTTCCCAATGGGAAATTTTGCAATCCAATGTTACACATGCATGAAATACTCTTAAACTGAGAATTTTTAGGATTAATTGACGTGCACATGTGCGGAAACAAGGGTACGCTGTGTTCATACATTATGTTTCCGTCGACACAAATTACTTTGGTTTTACTTTCAAAAAGGGGGTCAAACTTCAACAAGTACGAAATGCCATTCATCATCCCCTCGTCAAGGGGACATGTTCTATGCAAAATCGTGGATTTCACAGTTGACATAAGTTTTGTTGCAGTTAATCTTTTTAGGTAAGTTTTGAAGAGTACTTTCGTCATAATATAATCGGACACTTTAACGTATTCTAGCTTTTCGGAGCAAACTATTGCACTTTTTAGTTTCCTACGTCTAACAGAAAATTCATCATTCTGGTCGAAAAAAGTTTCTATACTTTCCAGTTTTCCGTCAATTAAAGGGATTTTGAATGATTTCATGGTCTCACTGTCATAAACTTTTGTCCTGTCTCGGGGATCATGTTCCGAGTTCACTCTTTTATACGCAGGGTTTCTGCCGATTTTGGTTGTTACGTAACTCTCCACGAGTCGGGGAGGATTTGGGGAAAGTTTATATTCTGATAAAGAATCTGGAATATCGACGTTCTGACTTACATTTTTAAAATATAATGTTGTGTGGCTGGAATTGCCAAACATGGCATTTTTGTATACATGAGTCCCAAATGTATTTACGATAAGGTCAGAGTATGGATCGCTTGTTTTAGGGTCAGTGTTGCTAATATTGTTAAACATTTGTCTTGCCTTGTCTGAGATATGATAGGTTGATGGAAGTGATACAGATGAGACGGGCTGGGTGTAATAAATTTCCTAAAATCAAGTCAGAATGATTTATTATTCTCCGGTTTTGACCGATTAATTTTAAATTGTTCAAGCTAGGAAACAATTTTTGCTCGGCAGCTTTTTCTAAAATTTATTTTTTTTTAATTTGAAATTATCACGCGAAATATTTTTGGAGTTATGAAAATGCAAAAAAAAGTTTATACTTTTGGAAATTAAAAGTTAAAAAATAATACTTTTTATAATTTTAGTAAAGTAATTCTGAGCAAAAATTTTGTATTTTGAAATCGAGACCAAATTTGAAAAGTTACGGCATTTTGAAAAATCTAAGTTTTGGCTGAAAATATATTTAAAAATTTCGTCCATGCGAAAGAAAACGCAAAAATACATACGAGTTCACTTGTTTCTGAGCGTTAACATTTTGCATAAAATAAGTCCGGTAAAAATCGGAGATAACTACCTCACACCTCATCATTGTGAATATTAAGTTAAAGGACAAATAAGATATTTATTCTATAAAATTCAAATATTTACATACCACTGCAAGTGAATCGATTACTTGATTGTTCCTAATTTTGGCTTTAATTATCGGTGATAGGATCAATTCACGAATTCTAAACGAAAATAATTAATTAATTTACATGGTACTGATAGAACTTAGCAAATCTGTTAAATGTACTGATATGCAGGCATGTATTTTTATCATGATTTTGTGTGATATGAAGATTGAGAGCATTGCACTTTATGTAAGAGACAGTTTTCATAGAGTAAAGTGACCGGCTCATACGCATGTAAGAATATGATATATTTTATATGAATATTATTGTGAAGGTTAAGGTGACGTGGAAGTGCCACGACTACATAAAATCCAGTTTTAACCAGAATTAATGGTAGGCGTTTTTAGTTTACATTTAGCTTCATAGTTAACTTTAACAAAAAGTCCCGAAGTAGACTCACAAGGAGAAGCACCTCAAGTCAAGAGGTCTCCTCATAAAATTATTAATTTGTGCCAATTTTATAGAAATAAAAGCTTCACTGCAAGCAATAGTTAAATTAAATTGGAATTGTAGTTGTCAAATAAGTCTTCACATTAATCAGCGACACATTTGTGAGTTATATCGATAGTCTGGTAGATTTTCGTGATACTCAACATTTTGGTGACCTCGACGTGATACGTCTGAGGAAAAGTGAGGACAGAAATCCTGCCTTGTGCCCAGTGAGACCTAGTGTGACCTGGCGAGGAGGACGAGGACAACAAAACTTAAGAAGCCCTGCCTTGTGACCAGTGAGACCTTGAGTGACCTGGCGAGGAGGACGACGACATCAGAAATAGGAATCATCACATTTTGCCTCTTTGAGGACCCGACCCTGAGTATTCGGGGGTCAACCAGGTGATAAATTTCCATATTTTGAGTATTTCCTGTCCAAGTAACCGGAGGGGACCCTGTCGCCACATCCGTGAGGAAGGAAACCGTTGCAGAAAATATCACACGTGTGAATTTTGCCTCTTTGAGGGCCAAATCCCGAGCATTCGGGAGCGATTGAGGTGGCATTGATCCGATTTGGAATTGTAATTTGTCCTGAACTAATTTTGTGTTTTGTTGGGTCTGTTGATTTACTGAGATGGCTCCGACCCTGGAACGAATCACGCTGGCGAGGGACACCGTCTTAAAGCTGGTGAAAGAGAGGATCGTGAAGGTCAACGAGGAAGTGGAGAAGGACGACACAGACAAAGATGATTTGGAGCTTACCTTCACTCTTTTGGAGACCACAATTAAGGAGTATCAAGAACTGAGCTACAAAGTGCTTGAGAAATGTGACCCAGCAAATTATGAAAAGGAGAGAAAGGATGTGGATGCAGTTTCACAGAATTGGATTGCCGTCGTTCAAAAGATGGAGAAGATGAGGCAGAATACTTCGCCAAGTCCACCGGGCAGTCTTTATGGCACGGAGGACGACCGATCAGTCAGTTCAGGCTCATCCGGCAAGAAGAGAAGTTTCAAACTCCCCAAGATTGAGCTGAAGAAGTTTAGTGGGGGTTTGATGGAGTGGCTCGGATGGTGGTCACAATTCCGAAAAATAGATGAAGATGAAGATTTGCACACGAGTGACAAATTTCAGTATTTGTTACAATGCATGGTGGTTGGCTCAAGAGCTCGTGACGTAGTCGAAGGCTATCCCATGACCGATGAGAATTATCCAAAAACTATCAAAGCTCTACAGCAACGGTTCGGGAAGCACAGACTGCTAAAACAAATTTATGTGCGAGAATTATTGAAGCTCGTCATCAGCAACACAAAATCAAAAGAGAAGGTGCAACTTTCAAAACTCTACGATAAGCTTGAATCTCATCTACGAGCGTTGGAGACCCTAAATGTGACCACTGAGCAGACGGCTGAATTCGTGTTCCCAATGGTGGAGTCCAGTCTTCCCGAAGATATATTCGTGGCGTGGCAGCGCAGTCCCCTCTACGGTCAAGATGGATCGCAATTGGATCCGCCCCGAACAGAACTCTTCTTTCTCATGAAGTTCCTGCGAAAGGAAGTCGAAAGTGAGAATCAGCGGAAGTTGGTGAGGGCGGGATTCGAGTCGGATTCAGCCAAGGACAAGAGGAAGGACAAATCAAGTCACAACAACAATAGAAAAGAGGAATGTGCCACAGCAGCGAGCATGTTCTCTGCATCAAGTCAAGGGTGCGTGTTTTGTGACCGATCTGGGCATGCAAGTGCAGACTGTTTTAAGGCCCAAGTAATGACATTAAAGGACAAGAACGAGAAGATACGTGCGAAGAAGTGTTGTTATTTATGCTTCCGTTCTGGTCACTTATCAAGAAACTGTAAAGTAGCAGTAAAGTGCATCGTGTGTAGCAAGAAGCATGCTGCCGTAATGTGTCCCGAACTTGATAAAAAGAAGATGGAATTTGTCCCGAGAGAGAGAGAATCACCTGAAAATTCAGCAGCAATGACAAATTTCCAATGTTCGGGAAATGTGCTTTTACAAACTCTTAAAATTCGTTGCTACACAGACGACGGTAGCAAGAATCGAGTTGTGCGACTTGTCTTCGACAACGGAAGTCAAGGGTCATGCGTGAGACGCGACACAACTGAAACGCTTGGACTTCGTGCTTTGGAGGAGGTCTGGTCACAGAAGGTGCTGTTTGGTGGAGCCTTGGCGGCGAAGCAGAAGCACAGAAAATTCAGACTCCGGCTATCAAATATGTCCAAGACCATGTACCATGAACTTGTAGTTCTCGACGAGCCAGAGATTTGTGAAGACTCATCACCGGGAAAATTCTGCAATTGGAGTGCGGAATGACTGCCATCGAAACCATCTTCGGATGGACCCTCAGCGGACGACTCCCTCGAATAGAATCGACAGCAATGCTCACCTTATCGTCAGCCCTGATGTGTTATCAAGCCTCCGTGTCTGAGTTGTGGAGCTTGGAGACAATTGGGATTATGGACTCGGCCGAGGTGAAATGTAAAGAAGAAAGAGAGCGTGAAACTCAACAGCATTTCCAAAATACAGTTTCACGAGGTGGGGACGGAAGATACACTGTTAAGCTACCATGGATTAGCACCGCTCCCCCCATTCCAAGCAATAGGCAGATTGCCATGAAGAGACTCGAGTCGACAACCCGGAAATTGGCCGCAGTCGGAATGATAAATACATACGACCAGATGTTCAGTGATTGGCTGGCTGAAGGCATTATTGAGGTTGTGGACCAGATTGATATTGGATCAGAAGTTGGGCGAGTTCACTATCTTCCTCATCATGCAGTTATCAAGCCCCAAAGTTTGACAACGCCGGTGAGGCCTGTTTTTGACGCCTCTTGTAAAGTGAGCAGGAACCCGTCTCTCAACGACTGCTTGGAGAAAGGTCCAAACCTACTGGAACTCATCCCGTCCATACTGTTAAGATTCAGGGAGAAGAAGATTGGGGTTATCGCCGACATACGTAAAGCGTTCGAGATGATCTATGTATCACCAAGTGATCGCAATTATCTACGATTCTTATGGTGGGAGGACATCGAACAGAAAATCGTGCAGGAACTTCGTCACAAGAGAGTAGTGTTTGGCGTAAACTGCAGCCCTTTTCTGCTTGGTGCAGTGATAGAGAAGCATTGCAAGGATGTCGCCCCGGAAGATGCAGAAATTGCAGCGATCCTTCTCAAGTCTATGTATGTCGACAACAGCGTCATGTCCGTGGATTCAGTCCAAGATTTGGAAGAGTACAGAGAAAAGTCAACATCAATCCTAGCCAGTGCCATGATGGAACTCCGTCAGTGGGAGTGGAGTACTGTGGAGGGTACCGGAATCGGGACCACCACGGTCTGCGGATTGGTACATGACAGTGTCGCCATCCCTCAAGAACTGACCGGAGTATTAGGGTTGAAGTGGAACAAGATCCAGGACTGTTTGGGAGTCGACATACCTAGTGATGAGGTACCGGAGAAGGTAACCAAGCGTCTCGTGTTATCTTTGGTACAGAAGTTCTTTGACCCAATGGGTTATCTGTGCCCAACCACACTCGTTCCAAAGCTGTTGTTACAAGCGGCGTGTGGTAAGAATATCGGATGGGATTCAGAGGTGGAGGAGAATTTGTCCAAGGAGTTCAGGATTTGGTGGAACGACTCTCCTCAATTAAAGAAGATTCACATCCCACGTCATGCATTTGGGAACTCGAGAACTGCTGAGAATTTGCAGTTTCACACATTTTGTGATGCAAGTAGCAAAGCTTACGCCGCCGTCGTATTCGTGAGGGTGGACGAAGGAGGGGTGGTGCGAGTCCATTTACTCCAAGCAAAGGCGAGAGTGTCCCCTCTCAAGAAGATTACCATTCCCCGACTGGAGCTGTTGGGGTGCCTTATCGGATCGAGACTCCGGTCGTCGGTAATAAAGGCACTGTCCATGGAAAATATCGAGTCATATTTTTGTAGCGACTCCAGTACTGCACTAGCATGGATACGGAGGAATGACGAGTGGGGGACATTTGTCGGTAATCGTGTGAAGGAGATTTGTTCGCTGACGAGTCAATCTCAATGGAGATTTGTCCCTGGGGTCATGAACCCTGCAGACCTGCCATCGCGAGGATGCACGCCATCGCAGTTGGTGAAAAGTCGTTGGTGGGAGGGACCGGAGTGGCTCACTAAACCGCAGCACGAGTGGCCATCACCACAAGTAGAATATGACGAGGAGGAAGTAAGAAGAGAAGTCAAGAAGTGTGTCACGACCAGGATGCAGGTGGGAGAAGCAGAAATTCCGTGGTATCTCACCCGATACTCATCTTACACCAGCAATTTGCGCTTATTTGCCTGGGTGATAAGATTTGTGGATAAGTGTCGGAAGCGACATCAAGACCAAGAAGTCAGTGGATTTCATCGAGCTGGAGTGAAGAAATGGGACTTGAGTCAAAAGGAAGTGGACCGGGCGGAGAGGAAATGGTTCCTCAGGACGCAACAGGATGCATTTTCAAAGGAAAAATCAGCGGTCATAGCAGGACTCAAGACTGAGAAAGACGAGGATGGAGTAATTCGGGTCAAAACAAAATTGCTATTCCGTCAAGACACCGAATATTTCCGCCGTCCCGTTTTACTACCAAATTCACATCCACTCGTGGAGCAGCTTATTGCGGAGGTGCATCGCAGCAATGGTCATGGTGGTGCACAATTTCTCATGGGTCGACTGAGAGAGAAATGTTGGATTATCCAAGGACGCCGAGCTGTGAGGAGTTTTATTTCGAAATGCGTGGTTTGCAGAAGGTACATGTCAAAATCGTACATCGTGCAGCCAGCACCACTCCCAGAGAACAGGGTCAAGACCGCCGCAGTGTTCCAAGTTGTTGGGATCGACTTGGCTGGTCCAATGTATTTGGAGGACCAGTCGAAGACGTGGATGGTCATCTTCACGTGCGCTATCTACCGCTGCATACACTTGGAACTGGTGGACTCCTTGAGCACGGAAGCATTCTTGTTAGCTCTCTCAAGATTTATCAGTCGAAGAGGTCGTCCATCCACTATCTACTCCGATAATGGGACGAACTTTGTGGGAGCAGACCACATCATGAAGAATATGGATTGGGACCGCATTACAGCAAGAACAAGGGTGCAACGGATCCAGTAGATCATGAACCCTCCCTCTGCCGCGTGGTGGGGAGGATCGTGGGAGCGCATCATCAGAAGTTGCAAAGATCTCATCAAGAGAATGCAGGGCAACAGTCACCTAAATCATGTCCAGCTTGAAACGTGTTTGTATCTAGTCGAGGCGATTATCAATGAGCGCCCACTCACATTCGTCACTGAGGACGGGGATGACTTGATTCCTCTAACGCCATCAATGTTCATCAAAGATCTGCAGTCGTCAGAGTATCCGGAGGCAGAAGCTGTCGGAATTGAAGGAATGACTGCAAAGTATAAGTCAATGAAGATGCTGCAACATCAAATTCGAGACCGATTCCGTAAAGAGTATCTGGGTCTACTTGTGCAACGAGGGAAGGAGAGGAAATCGACTCCGTGTCAAGTTGGAGATGTCGTTCTTATCGGGATGATGATAAGAAGCGACTGCTGTGGCCAATGGGGAGGATTTCGCGACTCCATCCAGGGAAGGACGGTGAAGTGCGTGTCGCCCAAGTCAAGACGGAGCATGGATATCTTCAGCGCCCATTACAACGACTTTTCCCCTTAGAGGTTTCCACAAGTGAAAGTTTACCGGTACCGGAAGTGGTTAAAGAGGTTGCAGTTGCCAAAAAGAAGAAACAACAAGAGATCGAGCCTGAGATCAAATCAGCACAAACAATTCATACCAGATCTGGACGACGTGTCAAGAGACCCGTGCGTTACGAAACATAATTGATTATCATTACATTGTGGTGTTTTTCCTTATTTCGTGTCCCACTCATAAGTAAAAAGTGGGAGTATGTTAAATGTAATGATATGCAGGCATGTATTTTTATCATGATTTTGTGTGATATGAAGATTGAGAGCATTGCACTTTATGTAAGAGACAGTTTTCATAGAGTAAAGTGACCGGCTCATACGCATGTAAGAATATGATATATTTTATATGAAGGTTATTGTGAAGGTTAAGGTGACGTGGAAGCCACGACTACATAAAATCCAGTTTTAACCAGAATTAATGGTAGGCGTTTTTAGTTTACATTTAGCTTCATAGTTAACTTTAACAAAAAGTCCCGAAGTAGACTCACAAGGAGAAGCACCTCAAGTCAAGAGGTCTCCTCATAAAATTATTAATTTGTGCCAATTTTATAGAAATAAAAGCTTCACTGCAAGCAATAGTTAAATTAAATTGGAATTGTAGTTGTCAAATAAGTCTTCACATTTATCAGCGACACATTTGTGAGTTATATCGATAGTCTGGTAGATTTTCGTGATACTCAACAAAATCCGTGTTACTTTTTGACTTGAACGGTGTACAGTAAAAAAATCGTACAAATTGCTCAATTTGTATATTCCCACTTTCAGATCACTCTGTAATACATAAATAGCTGTAATCTTTGATTCATGCATCATATATATTTACATACATACAATCAATTCGTACCTTAAAATCATTTGTATTATTCCGTTGGAAATTTTCCTGAATGGATGTGCAATTCAGTACTATGAAAGGTTCCATTTGATTCTAAATGTGCAAAATGAACCATATTATTAAAAGCATAATACGAAATTGCACAATATTGCCCTATTTTTTAGGGTTGCCGCGGGTAACGGGTCGGGTACCCGTTACCCGCATACCCGCACGATTCTTGCGGGTACCCGTTATCTGCGGGTAGCGAGAACTACCCGCACGGGTAACGGGTAGTTCAGTTTTTATTTAATTTTCGTCAAAACTCAGTTCACAAAGAAAGTTAGCAGCTAGTTAGTCCATTTACCAACAAAAGCGTCAATTTATTATTTTTCCATTTCAAAATTTGTCATTTGTCAGCAACAAACGTTTATAGCCGGAGTCTCTTTTCGGAAGCCACAGAAGCCTATGCTAGCCTCAAATATATTTGACGTCCAGAAACTGCGGAGCAATTATTGTTTCTCAAGCATAGTTTGCCTGCTCTAAATATAGTAATAATTTGACTTGTATTTGTGTGTATTTATGTATGTAAGACTGACGAGATTTTAACATGTTCGAAGGTGAAAAACCTGAATCCGATTCAAAGCAAAAAATTTATTTGTAGATAATATTTTCGAATGAAAACTTAATTCAAATCAAAATTTGAAAAAATCAAACTAAAAATTGAACCTTTTTCAAGCCATACCAAGATTGCCCAGCGAGTATATAAAAAATTCAGGCCACAAATTAGGAATCGCGTGACACTTATCTTTCCGTTGAACGGCCCCTTCGAAGAAAAATATCGGCGGCAAAGTTTAATTTTCAAGTAAATGTTCCGTATTTTTTCCTCCATTAAACAAATACCATGGTGGACTTTGAACTCTCTATCCCATCCCAATAGTTTCCATTAAACGGGTCATTCAACGGAAAAATAAGTGTCATGTAATTCCTATTTTTTGGCTCAATTTTTTGATATATGTGCATAAATCGGTTTAGCTTGAAAAACGATTCAATGCAAGCCAAAATTGTTGGTTAGAAAAATAACGAGTGATATTTACGAGCAAATTATGGCATGCGTTACTTGCATAGCATTATCTTAAAGTACATATTAACCCAAATGAACAAATAATTGATCAAATCATATTTATTCTGAAGTTTGGTTAGTTTTTAACCTAATTCTCATAACGGGTAGCGGGTAACGGGTACCCGCACGGGTACCCGTGCGGGTACGGGTAGTTGTGCTGCGGGTAGCGGGTCGGGTAACGGGTAGCATTTTCGCTACCCGCGGCAACCCTACTATTTTTACTTGTTTTTGGTGTTGAATTCCCATCGTGTCATCGAAATTGATTAAATAATCCTTCTTGGCAAACAAAATTTGGCCAATTCCGTTCGATAAATTTTCACACCCACTTGTTGCTTCTGAAGTCAGATTAGGTTCAAAGTTTGTAAACCTAGCAGAAAATGTAGTTAGTAAAATAGTGCACAATAATTTGGACAAGACATACATTTGTGTGTGTACTTACGTTTGATTTATTGGCGATGGGAAGAAGAAGTCAACATCATAAATCATGTGGCTTGGATTAATAACATGTTTGGGTTCATGTTGGTTAGACAACGACGACTTTGAACTGCAGCTACACAATATTTATTTATGTTAGTATAATGCTTGTCCCATATTTTTGATAAATGTGCACTTACGTTAGGGCTTCTACAATCATTAAGGAAACCGTAAATAGTCCAAAGAGAGTCATTTTCGGTTTTATGTATGAAATTTTGAAGATGTGTACACAAGATGTATTTTTGATAAAATTAGACTGTTACTTGTTTAATACTGGAACCTCACGCGTGTATGTAAGACTGAACTCGGGTTTATTCCGTTAACATACATATGTACAGCACTACATGGTACTTCCATGAAAAGTTTATCCATTTTGTATACTTGCGCGTGGCTGTACAGTGTGCCAGGGACCTTAAAAAACGAAGCAATTATTTTAAAGTATATAATCGGCCACTGGGGTTAGGAAGCATAATAATGTTGTTCATTTTGATTTTCGAAAGAGGATGTGGTCAGGAGGAAGATTTTATATCAAATTTTTAAAAAGCTTAAAATTTCTTTTAAAAACCACATCCACCTTCAGAATTTAACATGAGTTACAATCAACAATGAAGTATCATACATACGTATCCGTAGCTCTTACCATTGTATTGTAAAAATAAAATGTAGTTGAAGATCGAGTTTTTTTTGTCAAAATTCCTGAAAATCGCTAAGTTTGGAGGGCTTCGATATCCTTAAACCGAAAAATGGATAGGAAAATATTTCTGTATATTGAAGTACCTACTTCCATGGAACTAACTTATATTATGACCTTGGTCAAATGTGGGGGTAGGAACCTTTTTGTGATATAAGTTAGTCTTGTGGATGCACTTTAAAATTCAGAAATATTTTCCTGCGCATTTTAAGGTTTAAGGATAAATATTCGAGCTATTCAAACTTGGCGATTTTCAGGAATTTTTACAAAAACCCATACTCAATTACATTTTATATTTTTGCATGACAACAGATAGTAAGGGCTACGGACATGATATCTCATTCTAACTAGGTGTTAAAACAAAGGTGCATGTGGAGGAAATATGCGACTTTTTAAAATTCGGTAGAAAACCTAAGCACACACCCTTAGCGAAAGCTCGAATAAATTGCTTTAAAATCAACACCCATGTACATAAAGCCTCCTTAAATACACATTTTTATGTTTTGCTACCACCATTGGACAACCATAGACCTTGAAATAATTTATTCAGGTGATTGGGACACAGTGTTATGGCAGAGGAATTCGTACACGCATTGTGTCATGTTTTTTTGTGAGTATGAAACGAGTTTAAAGTCTGGTTTCTTGTTCCTATGCACACTTACATTGCTGTGCATAATGCGTTTTGTTCTTGTCCAGATTTAGCTACGGATGCACACATCGATATTTGAGCATAAGCATGTGATCACCATTGAAGTATGTATGTGAGGCAGCACTAACGATGTCTACATTTAAACAGAACTCATCATGATGAAATACTAAATGCAGACTTCTATCTACATGAGTATGGATAAGCATATTCATGGGTGGTTAATATTGGAGGAAGCATAGCATTCCATGAAAAGTACGTATCAATTGATGAAAGTGATAATTCGTAAGATGCGATTATAGAAAACATATTTACAACAATGTATCCCTAACCTAATTATATAGAAAACGTTACCACTTGCATGTTCACCATACTATTTACATAAGTACATACTCAGCAGAATATTGCTATCGCCACTAATCTAAAAGAGTACTAATATATTTATTTGGAAACAACGTTGCCATGTGAGACCAGTGTTTCTGCTGTTAAAAAACACCTGAACGAGATTAGTGCACAAGAATGTTTTTAAACGTTTACTAACACCTATGGGAAATCCGGAAGAGTGCATGAAAGTGTACGAAGATCATTTACGTACAAATAATATTGTACTTTTGCAGTATTTCTATATTCGACTAATTGAGAAATCAGTGCACTATTGTTTGATATTTTCCTCATTATTGTCGTAAACTTTAAACTGTGTTCACTTTTTAAAGACAGGTGGAATTATAAGTCGGTGATTTTTATGAAGGCTGAATACGGGCTTGCCCTTATTATTTAACAAAACAAATTCATATTTGTAATTATCTTGCCGAGTAATACTTAATTTCCTAGTTTCAGTATTCGAACAGATTGGGGACAGTGGACTTTGTAGTTAGTATATACACATGAAATTAAGCATTCTTTGACTTTTTGAAATCCAAATGTATTTATCAACAAGGTTAGGGCATTTATGCATAATTTGTTTTAATCACTTTTAATCACTGCCGCCGACAAATTTTCGGCGGCAGCGGCGCCAGTTTTTGGTGATCTTTCGGCGGCGCGTAAAATGCATCGGCGTATGGCGGCGCGGCGGCGTGAGATCGGCGGCGTCGACCTCTGAGTTATTTACACATAAAGTATGTGAACATATTGAATAAGAAACATACATAGGTGCCTAAGAATTAGGTAAATTTCTTCGCGTGAATGATCTATGTCGACGCTTCCAAAAGATTGGCACACAAATTTTAATAGCTCTAATTTATTTATAGATATTTACACTGTAATCAAGATATTTACCACTACCGTTAAATAAATTTGCACTAATTTTCATTGTCTGGCATCAATCTCAAAATTATTTACTCATTGAAATGTTTCAATCCGTCTCAAATATCCAACCTTGTATCGTGACGCCCCTCCCAGCTCGGATATCTTTCCCGGTTACAATTATAAAACCATGGCAACACCGCAATCTGCCGAATCCCAGGTTCATCAATTTCATACAATTCTGTCAGATTGCTCATTCTGTGTCTGAAAACTTCAGGCATGGCTGCGAAATCCTTCTCCAATTCGACAAGGTCAGGATCACGATCGACGGACTCCTTAATTTTTGCCGCCATTTTTGAAACATAGTCTAAACTGCTTTCACTGAGTGTAAAGCGTTTCACAATTTGATGCGGGAGATAACCGTAATGAGTTAGATGCATCCCACCAAGAAGGGCAATAGGAGACGCCCCACGCATTCGGGAGGGAAACTTTCCATTTGTCGAAAATTTAACGGCAGTGCTTAGCTTCCAATAGGTAGGATCCCCTAGAGTATAGGGATACCCGGGAACCGGAAAATCGGTACGGATGGCTGTCGCAATGTTCCCGAATGGGAACCAAATCCCAATATCAACCGGGTTCACGGGTAGGTCGCAATGCTTCAAAATTAGTATCGTGTTACGAGATGGAACTTCATCGACGTCGCCAAATCCTTAAAAAATAAACCGTTACAACGCATGTAACCAAGGGGTGAAAGGAGTGTCATACGTCAATGTGAATATCAAATTGTTCGAAAATTTGTTAAGATTGACACTTCTGACGTGTTTTCGACTTTTGTGTCTTATTTGTGTCAAATTTAACAGTTGATAACCCTTATGTGACCTTTATATGACCTCTGAGGTCAAAATGGAGGTCACCATTGAATTCGGGGTTAAATTTCAGTTGAAATTGAAATAGATGTCCTATGACCTTTACATGACCTCTGAGGTCAACATTGAATTTGACAATGGAGGTCACCATTGAATTTGACATTGAAAAATAGTTAAAAATGATGTGTCACATGCACTTTCCCGTCATTGTCTCACATTACCCCACGTCTCATTTTGCCCCGCTTTGACACCCCACCCGCGTAGTTCGAACGTACACGACAATACCTTTCAATAGACACCCCACATGACAAAAGCCATTTTTCGACATTCGACACCTCCCACACGGTCATGGAGTCGTCGCACGTCGAAATGATGGTGATTTCTGAAATCCCCGCCAAAAAATACGTCTAAGACGGTGGTAACAAAAAATTCGACAATTTTCGAATTTGGCGTCGTCTACACGGTCACACGGTCATCACACGTCGAAATGATGGCGATTTCTGAAATCCCCATCCAAAAATACGTCTAAATCGGTGGAAACGAAAAATTCGTTTCCACACGTTTGACCGTTGGCGTCATCCCCGTGGCGCCGTGACCTTACGACCTACAACGCCCATCTTCGAACTCATCCCGTCCCCAAAAATTAGAAACACGTTGGCGAAAACCGGATGTCGAAATTCGAATCCGTTCTAAAGTTATCGTGGATACGGACAGACAGACGGACAGACAGACAGACAGACAGACAGACGGACAGACAGACAAGACATTTCCATAAAGGGGTTTTCACCCCTTAATAATGGGGGTATTCATTACGAGTTCGTATCGTTAGCCACGTAAGCAAAAAAATTTAGGTTTAAATTTAAATTTTAAAAATTAATTTAAAAGAATTACGCTCCTAATACTCCGGTAAAGTCATGCAGGTAATGATTTCTCGGTAATAAGTTTGATAATAATATTTTACCAGGTAGTAAAACTTTATTGCCAAGCCATTACCACATGGTACAACTTATCATTACCACTTTGGTAGAGTCATACTTGTGCTTTTCGGTAATGTTTATTACCAAATTATTAATAGTGTATGTTTTGCAATGCAAACTCGTGATGAATACCCCCAATGTTTTTCAACGCGAAATACAAATAAACGCATTTTTAACTCACCTAATAGGTCATGATCTTCGAAAAAGCGGGTCGAATTATTCCACTGTAAGAATTTTTCCCATCTTAACCTCTCTTGTAAACTTTCTAAAGCAAATGTCTTCACTTTTTCTGAGAGATGAGCAGATTCGGCGTCATCTAACGTGAATGGGATGATTTTATCACTAAATTTCTGGAAACGGGGTTGCAATCTTACTCTTTCCCAGAGTAATGGTTTTCTCACGGTTCGAAAATGTGTTCTAGTAGATTCCAGTATAAAGAACTTGTCCACATTGTCGTACAATTCGTTGAGATGGATTTCTAGGGAATCTACGTCAAATCCAAATTGAAGCATGACCCCGATTTTGGGGACTGTCGACCTTTTGTGAAATCTTGGAGGGCAAGATATATTTGATGGGGGTGGTGGCGGGAAACATGATTTGTTTGTGGGATGCAGCGGCTCTTGAATTAGGTAGGGTAGAAGGATGTGGATCAGTCCAGAAATTACGAGGTCGATATTACTACCTGAAAATTTAAATATATAAATTGCTGCAGCTACGGTTGGTAATCGGATATTACCCGATCCGCTCGTGTATTATCCGATTACCTGAAAATGTAAATACATAAATTGCTGCAAGTGGGGTTGGTAATCGGGTATTATCTGATCCGATCCGATATTACTCTATACGATCGTGTATTATCCAATACGACCGGATTATCAGGCTGCGTACCATAATACGGGTTAGATCGAATATTATCGAATCGGATGGTTCGAAGAGGATATTATCGGATCGGATTCATACATATGAAAAGAATTGGCCGGATAAAAACTAGATCTGACACAATCGATCGGATATTGTGGGATCAGATCTAGCAATCCTATAGCTGCAGTTAAAAACATTTTCTAAAATTTCCGGTGCAACTTAACCATTTGCTTTGTTATAGTCTAGAAACGCGTCCCAATTGAACTTTTGTAAGTCAGTGGTTAGTTTCCCCGTGGTAATTATTGGCATAAATATAATGTTTTGAAATCCTACTTGGTTGCTAAGTATTACCAAACAGTAGAAATTGAATATTGACAGAAATAGTAACAGTAAGATAGTTGACACTTTATGGTTATTCATTTAAGTAATATGAACTTATAGTTTCCTAGTCTATTTGTAAATGTAATAAATAAATACAAGCAAACTACTTAAAATGTCCTGAAAATATTTTTAAAGGGATTGATATCAAAATGTGTTACGCCAGCTTGATTGCAAATGTGCGATGAGGTAAAAAGTGTGTGAAATTCCGGAGTGCAAATATGCAATAATTTGTAACTGTATATCGGAATGTAGGAAAAAATATATAAACTCGAATAAGCATCAGTGCATAGTCATCAATGAGTACACAATGAAGGACAAATATTAGCATGGTAAAAATGCAGCTATGAAGAGCAAGCATTAGGATCCTATTTTACTGCTAAATGTAATTATGTATCAATATCCATTTCGAAAGTAAACGAGTCTATTTGCTGTAACCAATATCTTTAATTGCATGATAGTAATGTACAAAATAATTACACAGAAGAGAATCTTTTATACTTCGGATTAACGTTTCGGATTGGCAGAGGATGAGCTTCCGTGTTGAAAACCCATAAATTCAAGTCCAGCAAGTTATCACTGCTAAAGATTAAGTAGAGGTACTGGAACATAAAAAACATGTTTTGCTTAATCAACTGTTAAAAGTCTGTATAGAGATGTTTTTATTCCTCGGTGTTACAGTTGCTAGTTTGCTACCGCTTGGTATTAAAATTATACGGATCATAAAATTTTCTACTGATATAGTAAAGCTTTAATAATACATACATAAGCAGCATACGCACGGTATTAGTTCCACTAGGTAAAGTCGTATATGAATACTGCTTGGTACTATTTCAGTACTGGATTTCTAAGATTGAGAGTTTAATATGCTACATATAATTAAAAATTAGATATTTCTGTACTTACTTTTAACGTTTCCGCTAAAAAGAACGATTCCTGAAAATCAGTCTTCTCCGATGATGCATTTCGGACATCACTTATCCCAGAATAACCGCCGGTTAATTTGCATTTGCAATGTTTTTCAATCGCAAGCGCGACTTCCCACGCCCACTCGCGATATATCGGATCGCCCGTGACCCGCCAGAGGACAAAATAGGACTCAACAACTTCGGGTCGAAGTTTATATGCGAAATCTTGCGTGATTACGAAATCTTCAGAGGTAACATTGTAATGAGAAAATGTGAATATTTCCGATCCAAGGTGGGTCTCTGTTCGGACATAGTTTTCGTGACATGTTCGTGCCAATTCTTTCGCAAGTTGAAGATCTCTTATTGCCCTGGGGGACTGGCGCTTTTTGTAGGTCAGCGCGGTAGGGTCATGTTGCGAACCAAGGGCTAACATGCCGGCTAAAAGATGTATATAATTTAGTAAGAAATATAACATAAAATTTCTGTATTTTTTTACAATAAATTTTGACAATTTCTGGATAAGATGACACGTGGCGGGCAAAATATAATTGCATGATTTTAATGCTACCTGCGCAGCAAGCGAGGTGATCCATCTTATTATACACGATATCATCAAACATTTCCGAAATGAAGATGAAACCAGAAACAGACTTTTTTATGAGGTTGTTCTTATAGAAACTATCAATTGCTGCGTGATATGCATTGAGTGCTTCTGCATCGCCCAGCATAACATAGCTTTTTAATAAATATTCGTAAAAGCTGTCCCCATATGCGCCCATCGACACACCATCTGTAAAAAAAATCGTAGGGACAAGTGCACATTATAATCATCGGTTTAATTTATACGGTTAAAAAGTTGTGTGTACTTCGTATTGGGTAGATCATCGGATTCAACGCTTTGACAAAGTTATTATACAGTCCGTTCTTCCATGGAGAAATATTTTCCTGTAGAAATCTAGATAAATTTGAAAACATCGCGTTTCCCGAGGCATCGGAAAGATACTGAAATTCTAGGTTTAAAGTGCCAATTTCACTGAGAATGAAATCATTTTCATTTCGATAAGTGGCAATCTGAAAAAAAATTATTTAGGTAGTAGATTAGAATTGATTGAACCTTCTTGTCGTATGTACAAATTCTCAGAAATTATACCCCAGTTTGTAAATTTATGTATGGCAGAGGCAATCCGGGGTTTGACTCATGTTGGAAAACGGGAAGTAATTTGTTGCCGAGAGATAATGCTGTCGATAAGAACACCTCGTCATTTGTGAGACTGTACAAGGCAAGCAATCCTCCCAAGTACCGAATCGTCATTTCAAAGAAGGACACATCGTTAGGCTTCAAAATTAAAATGGCAAAAGTATGTAAGAAAAAATTAGAAATACATACATAAATATACGCATGGAAATTCAGTATTGAAATAATAACAAATACGACTCTATCCAAGTGATATTGACAAGTAATACCAGTAGCTTGACATAAAAGTTTACTGTTTTGGTAACAAATTCTTAGGAACCGGCACAATTTTAATACCATGCTGTATAAAAATTAACACCTAGAAATCTATGCGTGACTAAAGGTACCAGATTCCCAAAAGTGTGATGTTATTATTAATTTTCAAATTCTGCAAACTCACGTAGTTCTCAAACACAAGTTGATTTGCAATCCAATCTTTCCCTTCTTCGTACTGCTCTTCCAATCCCATAATATAAAGCGTGTCTAATGCGTCAACAATTGTTGCACCAGGGCCAAAAACTCCACCCGAATCGCCTTGGCCGGAACAAGGTCGGACGTGATTGTCGCCCCAGGCAAAGTAACGATATGCACCCCAGGCATCGACCATCATCTACATACATAGTCACATAATTTATGTACATGTAAATATGTATTTGTACATAATTCATAAGTGGTATTCATTAAGAGTTCGCGTGTACGCCTCGAAACGTAATTTGCGAATTAAATGCATAGCTTTGGCGCAAGTTGGCAAATTATTGTTCTAACCAATTTTTGCTGCGAGTTGGCGAACTTTGTTGCTTCTACTCACTTTACTAACGATGCGAAATCGTAATGAATGAATACCCACAAGTCCCTCAATATAATCAATTCGATTTTCAGAAATTCTAGCACAAATTAGTCCTCTAGTACCCTTCGAATTGTGTCCCTCCTTCGTCTCATTTTAGGATCGGGGTCGCGTCCTTCCTTAGTCTCACCAAGGACAACAATTTTTTGTTCGTTGTTTTCGGTTACTTGCGTGTCACCCATTTTCTCGATTTTACCCAGTGGTTGGAGCAACAGCATCGGTATTATGAAACCCGTGCTTATCAGGACTATACAAAGAATAAGCAGCGTGGAATTCATTCCGTTACTGTGCAACGAGTGTGAAATTTTTAAGTGTACGAAATTTCATGAGTGGATCAGTATGTTGGGAATGCCTAATAAATTTTATACTGGAAAAAATATGAGGAAGTAAATCTCATTCTTGGGTTTTCAGATAATGCATACACATACATACATATAACAAATTGTAAACATACATATTAAGCAATTTTATATTACGCCAAAGTCACCAGATTGTAAAAATTGAAATACGCAAAATACAAATGAAATAAAATATAAACGATAAAATAAAATCTAATGTAATGATGAGTCAATAGATTGTAAAAATACACCTTAAAAAAATGGGAACCAATTTTATTAAGATAGATATATACAATGAAATAGTGTTTTTTTCATCTTCCAACGATTTTCGAGTTTGATAGCTTAAAATTTGCGTAATTTTTTGTAGATAAAGAATTCGTAATAAAAAAGGGGGGGCCCACCAGTAGTTTTCGAGATCTGAGCCAAAATGTGTGATTTTTTTTGCTAATTTTGGCTTTTGACTAAGACTCGTCCAAATTTTTTGTAAAATATCGCGAGAAATAATTTTAAAAATTATTTTACACTCGAATTTGGCCGCTGCCTCGATTTCGGACCCCAATTTTCCTATGTATTGAAGTTTGCAAAATAATTGCATTTTCCGTATTATTAAGATAGATATATACAATGAAATAGTGTTTTTTTCATCTTCCAACGATTTTCGAGTTTGATAGCTTAAAATTTGCGTAATTTTTATTAAAACCATGTAAGCATATAGTAAAATTCGTTTAACGAGTAGAAATTTCCGGTCGTATTTGTTTACTTTCATTTCCAATGTAACTAAACGATATGCAAGCTATTGCACGGTGCAATTTGCACCGACTGCATGAATAGGTCTGTGGTAAATTTAGAAAATGGAATTAGGATATGTAAGTCATGGAGTATGAAAAAAATTCGGATTATGACATACTACGTATTTTTGAAATTCTGTTCAAGGGTAGAAAGATAAGCTTGACAGGAATGTTGGAAATTTCCATGTTGCTGCAAAGGTTTGAGAGATTATGGTTTTAGAGAAATTTATTTGAATACAAAATCTGTACATTTATGGACTCTTCTTTGTCCTTCTAGAGTTGTAGAATCCTGTATATTTACATGCAAGATGAAATTTCCTAACGATTTTGCAAGAATTTGTTATTGTGCATATTACAAAAATCGTGATCATCATCATTACCAGAAATATGAGAATTTTCGGTGTTGTAAAGGGTGGGCGAGTTAAAACTGGTACACCACCTAATCGAAAACGCTGGATTTGGAATTGTATAAAATCAAAAGGGCTTGAAGAACTTAAATGAAAATTTCCACACTTATTAACCATGCGTAGGTACTTTTGTGTTGGAACCCAGTGTTATATTTTGTCTCATTTGATAATATTTATATTTGGTTTTGTATCAACCTAAATTCTGCAACACAATATTTTTCGCATACCTAAAATTATGGAGTGGCTCATTCCATTTGTAAGCAACACATTTGATCCACAGAATATAGATTCTACCAGAAGAATCGATCTTATGTATTCGAGTGACGCTTATGGAAGAACGGGGAGAGCCAACCAAATAACTCGGTGTACATTTGGCCCACCTGGGGGATGGCACCTCCGCATCATCATCATCACCACATCTCCTGGCATCAAAAAATGATGATGAAAGCACATAGGTGGCGGTGGCACCCCGATTTGTGCACCAGAACACACCTCGTAGAGCACCAAATTTGTGGAGACGCAGCTCAGAATGGTGTGTTCCGGTGCACAAATCGGGGTGCCACCGCCACCTATGTGCTTTCATCATCATTTTTTGATGCCAGGAGATGTGGTGGTGATGATGATGCGGAGGTGCCATCCCCCAGGTGGGCCAAATGTACACCGCGTTATTTGGTTGACTCTCCCCGTTCTTCCATAGCGTCACTCGAATACATAAGATCGATTCTTCTGGTAGAATCTATATTCTGTGCATTTGATCGAGTACCAGGAAATAGAGGTGCTAAACCCTGCTCGCTGGAGGTGGCTGCCTGACCATGTATTTTCCTCTTTGATATGAGAACACCACACAACTTATACTTTGTCAATGTTCCCGGCCACGTAGGAACGCAGAATTATTTATTACTGTCTACACAAGCAGCCCATGTTAATTTTACCTTTTCGAAAAATCGCCAAAACTCCTAGACGAACAAAAATCGCGTGGGGTTTTAAACTTTTTTGTTTCCTCAGGCCCAAAGGCATCGACTGGCTTATCTCTCTATGAGCGATTCTTGTCCGTCTTCTCGATAATTGAGTTTTTCAATACATTTTAAATTTCTGATTTTTTTGAATATTTGAATTTTTGAAATTTTTCCTATCAATGAATGATCAATGAATGAAATTTGTAAATGTAACCTATCCCTTTGAACCAACACTTTGGCGACGAAATCATTTTCAATGCATTTGCAAATTTTCTTGGAACTGATATATATTTGCGAAAAAAATTAATTTTCAAATTTTGATTTTTATGATATGTTTTATTTTATATTATGCATCTATGATAAGATTGTGGACAAGATATCAAATATGGGTGCGACGACGATCGTGTGGGTTCAGATGGAACAAACTCGTTTGTCCTATTAATATCTTTCTCCGTGGGTTTCGCATCTTTCTATGTAAGTAGAGCCAAATTTCCTAAATATCAATTGATTTTGCCGTTCCAGTAATAAAAGTTTACAAGTTTCCGCGTAACGATATTAAGGGTTTCAGTTTATCGACAAGTTTTTGGGGAAAATGTAAAAATTTTCAAACTGGTTTTCCTGCATTCGATAGCTGACACTATTAGGAAAATTCAAAAAAATATAAACAGGAGAAATGCTTATGTATGGGGCAGAAATCCACCGTTCTTTAGTCACCTCAGTTTTACTAAAATGTAAATTTCACGCCCATCGTAATTGATTTTGAGCTCATACTGTGCCAGTTGTTAACTATTAGTATGCTGTATCAAATACATACAAAATGGTAGAAATCTGAGCAATGATACCCAAAATATGGCATAAAAACCACTGTACCAGTTTTAACTCGCCCACCCTTTACAATAATCTGTTATCTATTCTCCGCATGTGAACCACAAGTTTTAACTGCAAAACAACATTTAATCTCAAGGTTTAAAATAAATAGAAATCGCTTCGGGTCAGCGTGCTTCAGAGCCATACCCAGCAGAAATGATCCAATGTAAAGTAATAACAGAGAGCCCGCCAAGTCTTGGAGAACGTACGAACGAAAATTGTGCAGATACGTCCAGTAATTTTTGAAATATTACATTTTTAAATTTGCCTCCATATATGTACCAGTTCTACCTCTCCCACCCTTTATTAGTCTGTCATTGTTCATGCTCATACATTGTTTATTCGCTAAATGTTACATATTACTTTTTAAACTTCCCAAATCACATTCCTTTTCCAATTTCTTCGCAAGATTGTGCATCCTTCTGGAAAGTTCTTGAACGTAAAAATGGGCTTCGGTATCTATTCTTTGTCTTATAAAACTGCAGTTATTCCCACAATCAAAAAATCTCCGGTAATGATGAATATATCCTAATTCTTGTGGAACCACGTATTCATATCCATTAAAGACAGGTTCATCCAGAACGTGCAGCCCGGGTTCAACAACATTCCACGGAATGGAAATTAATTTTGATCTGGAAATTGTTAAATTCAACAAAATTAAATGTGCTAATTAGAATACAACTATCAAAGTACTAAATCAGTTACCTATACCCACTGGAATTAATGGGGTCGTGCCTCTTGACGTAACGGTACAATTGCAAATCGTTTATACCAAATCGTCGTGTTTTGTCAGTCGCAACAGCTGGCGAGGTTTGAAAGTAACCAAAACCAGGGTCAAAGAAGGCCGATGGGAATTGATACACCGCAATAACTCCGGGTCTCGACATAGATCTCCAAGCATTATTCAGAACGTTGACAAGTTGATAGTAATCTTTGGCAAAGGTTGGGTTAGGGATTATGAATTCATCCAAGTCCAATTGCACCAGGTATTTCGAAACACCTCTGTACCTGAAGGAACAATCGTTCAATTGAGCGATTTGACCATTCGTATGCAGCTGAGTTTCGTCATTAATTGGTGGAGTCCATTTTAATACGGTGACTGGAGTCTCTGAAATTTTTAGGCTAGATTTGTTTCTAAGGCACCGACAATTTATATCTTAAGGTGTTAAATTCATGATAATGCGTTGATGTGTCGTAGATTTTTCGTCCCACCCTACACATAATCAACATCTTTAAATGGCAAATTTCTAGAAGTTCATTAATCCCATGAATTTTGATATAAATCATAATAAGTTTTACTATTTAAATGCAAAGTTAATTTTTAGGATTACAAAACCTTGGACTTGAACAAAATGGTACATTTCTTCCCCCTTGTTCTCAATAAATTTCCCATAAAACGTAATAATTTACCTCAAAACTCATAACTCATACTCGTATGAGTTTTGAGGTAAAAAGCGTATTAAGAATTTGCATTTGAACACATTAAATGAGGGAGTCTTGGAATAAAAAATCTAAGGCATCAGCGCGTCATCATATAGCACCTTAATCGCTGCACAAGTATGCGTTGATGCTATTAACCCGCATTAATCGCCGCAGATTTCATGACGCACGATACTCTAGGTCCAATCGACATATTGTAAAAGGCAAAATGGGTAACGCCCATCATTTTTTGAAATTCCACCCACTCCAGAAATGCTTCGACTCGGTCAAAATTAAACGTGGGTTGAACGCAGGCAACAAATTTGTAAGGTTCCTCGTCCCCTTTGTACACTGGATTGGGTATGCTCATCAAGTTTGAAGCAATAGTTCCATTAGAGGTAAACAGATCGGAGTCTGGCATTTTGCGAAAGGGTGAAATTACTGTGAATTTAGCTTTTTTAATAATCGATTGAGTTTCTAGTTCGTTCGGATTCATGTCAAGGTGACAAAGTATAAAAGCCATGCTGCAAAATGTAACAGGAAAATATGAGATGGAAGTAAATCATTAAATTACATACATATATACGTATTTAAATAGATATATACTTTAAAATATTAAACAAAACAAGCACTCCTCACCTATATTTCATAGTGCTACCTAAGCCATACTTGGTCGTGCTTATTATTCCTGGAACCGTAGTAAACAGTTGTATTTCCTCGTCGAATAAATGACAATAAAATCTTTGTCGGGAAAACGATGGCGTTATTGCGATAACCCTCATGAAGTCTTCATTTCTTTAAATATGTAGAAATATTAATTTATGAAATTTATCATGAAATGCATAATTTTACGATGATCCTACACTTACGTGTCAAAGTATGCCGAGTACACAAAAAATTTCGGTTTATTTGTAGCATTGTGAAAGCTGTCAGGCACATTAACTTCTTTCCAATCGACTCCTAGTTTTAAGTTTTTAACGATGATTTGCTTTTCTTGTGATGTTAATTTCGACACTCGAGATGATGAGGGATGCAGCCGTTTAGATGGACAATTTTGTAACCAAAATTGTGCAACGACAAACACGATCGCTACCAGGATAATGATGAATCTTATTCGTAGTATACGTTTTTTAGGCGATTGGTTTAAAATTCGGGATAAAAAGGATTGCCTCATTTTTATATTTACGTTTATTAGTATATTCTAAACCGAGAAAAGTAGTGTTGATAAATGAAAGTGGGAATATGTGGACTAGAAATTTACCACTAAATTATTGATATATATAGAGTGTAACCGGTACGTTTAAACTTTTTAAAATTCTGTTAACCAGCAGATTGATTTATAGCACTGTTTTTTCCTTACTTCGGTAAAGTTGAATAAGGTATGAACACTGGATAGAAGTGAACTACATAAGTGCAAGTACTTGAGCATATAATGAAAACGTAAGGAAACCTTAAATATTGAAGATAATTTTTGTCTAACCAATGCTATCTTGAATTGCAACGACAATTAAGTACGCGAAGCCGCTTTAACATTACGTCTATATGCACTAACTCAATTATGTTGAATTTGTGCTAAAATTAGCCAGTGCTTAAAAAAGTGGAATTTTATGACCAGGAAAGTCAATTCGGTTTAACACCTATTAATTTTGCATATGTTTATATGTGTACTTTTTGGCTACACAGCTATGATTTTAATTGTTGAACAGTAATTGTACCGTTCGCCCGACGAAATTATTGAAAACCATAATGTTATGTAAACCTATAAATGAGCAATTTCGTTGTAAGTTATTTAATTGTGATTTAGAATGTATGTATATATGTACTCCAGTTCCATGCAAGTTTGAACTTTAACAGAAATTGAGAGAAACTACGGCACTGTCAATCTCAAAAATGTTGACGGGGAACTTTGAGACTGGCAGTGCCGTAGTTTCTCTGAATTCTCAATTTCTGTAAAATTTTAACTTGTGCGAATGCAGAGTATGTATATCATTTTATATCTATTATTATATCCAATATGTTTATTTTATTTTAAGTTCAGACTCGCGTGGAATGAGAGTACATATGTATGAATTTATGTATGTATGCATGCACATATATACACCATAAACATATGTAATAACCTTTGCCAGCTTTTGAATGGGGGAACAAATCCTAAAAATCTACCACAAACTCACTGAAAACGGTATTAAAATCAAAGAGTAGAATTCTCGGAAGACATGGTTGTTGGTATGTAAAGCAATTTATTACAAGCTTTCGATGCCACACTTGCATCATCATCAGGTATTAAAATCCTTTAATGTGCCACCGCCGCTAACCTGGATGTTCATTAACAAGTAGTCTGGTCACCCCACAAAGTATATACATATGTACATATATAGGTACATGCATATGTACATATCGAATGGCATATTTTGCAATATTCGCCAAATTTAAGTGTTTTTCTTGGTGAGGCAAATAGCTAACAAAGAAAAAAAATACGAAGTATGCATTTACCCCACCCCAAAAAGTGACCAACTACGATATCTCCGTCATTTCTTAACCGATTGTGATGAAATTTTCCACCGATTATTGTTACGGAATTTAGAAACGATCAGCGAACCGGTTTGGTGAATTTGTTATTTTTGCTCGAGTTATGAGCAACAATGTGCTCTTGGAAACACCTTTTGATTTTGATTTTTAGTTAATTACCGGAGCATGTCCAATATCAATATCAAATATCAAATATCATATCTAGGGTTGCCGCGGGTAGCGAAAATGCTAACCGTTACCCGACCCGCTACCCGCAGCACAACTACCCGTACCCGCACGGGTACCCGTGCGGGTACCCGTTGCCCTCTACCCGTTATGAGAATTGGGTTAAAAACTAACCAAGCATGAGAATAAGTTTGATTTGATCAATTATTTTTTCATTTGGGTTGATATGTATTTTGAGATAATACTATGCAAGTAAGGCATGCTTTTTGGCTTACAATTGGATCGTTTTTCAAGCTATGTATGTGGGTATTCTTAGAGATTTATGATTCATCAAAAAATTAAACCAAAAAATAGGAATTACATCGAACTAATTTTCCCATTGAATGAACAGTTTAAAGGAAACTATTGCGGGGGCAGAGTTCAAAGTCGACCATGGACTTCGGAAAAACCACGACAGCGGGAAACCAGGAAAAAGATACAGAACATTTACTTAAAAATTAAACTTTACCGCCAATATTATTCGTCGAAGGGGCCATTCAAAGGAAAGATACATAAGTATCACGCGATTCCTAATTTTTGGCGTGACTTTTTGATATATGCTCGCTGGGTAATCTTGGTTTAGCTTTAGAAAGGTTCAATTTTTGTTTCTATTTTTTCAAATTTTGATTTAAATGAAGTTTTCATTCAAAAAAATTTTCTACAAATAAATTTTTTGTCTTCAATCGGATTAAGATTTTTTATCTTCAAAGCACAAATTAAAATCTCGGCAGTCTTACATAAATAAATACACACAAATACAAGTAAAATTATTACTGATATTTTGAGCGGGCAAACCATGCTTGAGAAACAATATGTAATTGCTCCGCATTTTCTGGACGTGAAAAATATTTGAGGCCGGCATAGGCCTCTGTGCCTTCCGTAAAGACACGCACGTTATAAACGTTTTTTGCTGGCAAATGAAAAATTTTGAAATGGAAAAATAATAAATTGACGCTTTTGTTGGTAAATGGACTAACTTGCTGCTAACTTTCTTTGTGAACTGATTTATGTTGAAAATTAAATAAAAACTGAACTACCCGTTACCCGTGCGGGTAGTTCTCGCTACCCGCAGATAACGGGTACCCGCAAGAATCGTGCGGGTATGCGGGTAACGGGTACCCGACCCGTTACCCGCGGCAACCCTAATCATATCAAATATGTCCAATATCAATTGCAAACATTTTAGATCTAGTTATTACGTCAATTTTGATATAAATACGACCAAAATTGATTAGAAAATGACATAGTTAATCAAGTTCGAAATCTAAAAGATGGATAGAAATTATGCACTGGTTAAAAAGTAAATGCCGTTGACAACAACATCTTTACGAGCTATGCTTAAAAATTAATGAGGCAATTCACGCCCTCCTTCGTCACTACGTAAACAGCGTAAAATCCGTAAACTTACAAACGTTTACAAACTTTTGCAAAAATTGCCAAGGGAAATCAGTTTAAAAACTTTTGTAAACCTACGAAGCTCACAGGCGTATTTTAATCTTGTAAAGTATTTTGTAAACTCAATTTGGAGGAAAAAAAATTGTTCGATACAGAAATTTGGCATAGAGGTTGCTAATGGCTCCTAATGAAAGAATATGAAGTGAAATTGGAAAATTTTTCATCTTAAGGTACCCGAAGGGCAGGGTTGTTAAACAGACAGTAATTTGATAAGATTTGATTTGATTTGATTTGACTTATCAAATTACTGTCTCTTTAACAACCTTGCCCGAAGGGGTGACCCATTCGGATTTTTCAAAATCTTTCAATCAAGCTGAACTTTGGTATAGAGGCTGCTAAAGGCCCCTAATGGAAGAATATGAAGTGAAATTGTACGGATTTTACGCTGTTTACGTAGTTACTAAGGGTGCATGAATACCCTCAATAATTGCAAATTGCTAGGATATATATTTGTAGTTGCACCGTTGAACCAAAGCCTAGCTAAGATTTCCCTTTTTAGGGACCTTTTCTTGTTAAATTTAAAACCGCCATAACTTTTGAAATCCTGGACGGATTTTCGTAATTTTTTACGAAAATCACGACAAAGAGTTTAACTTTCGTATGTAATGAAGTTTTTGAAAGAATTGGGTTTGTTAATGTGTTGCAAAATTTTCTTATACATCGGGGTTCCTCGAAAAATTGGTAAAAGTATCTCAAAAAATATAAAAATTTATTTTTCCTCTAAAATTTCGACTTTTATAATCATTTTGAGCATAAAATTTTGAAAATCCGGTGTAAATTTCAGAAGTTCTGGTGGTTTGAAGTTGGTTGGAATTGCAGATTTGTAAGTTTGGCGTCATGTCACGGGGCGAAATATGAGTTTAACACGGAAATATGAATGGATCCTTCATTTGGGGTCCTACTATATTAAAAAAAAACATAGTGGGTACCCTGGACTCAACCGACAAGTCGTGAGGTTGTTAGATACACAGTAGATAAAACGTTGCAGGCAATTTCTTAAATGATGCTGTGAAATAAATAACAAAAGAGGAAGGCCGAGTGTACTGTACAACCCCTTTTCGCCTCGATGTCACCGAATTTCGCATAAAAAATTGGAACCTTATATTTTGGTGAAAGGATCAATATAACGTAGCTATTATTAATTTATATGCAACCACACCCCCTTCAAAAATTGCGGAAGAAAATTGGGAAAAGTGAGAAAATAAATGTACACTCGGTACAAAAAGATTTAGACCCCAAGTTGCATTTGACATTTGACTTCCCCCTTGAATACGAACATTTTGATGCATCAAGAGTTTCAAAATTCGAAAATTGGCGGTTTTTTCACATACACATAAATCGTTAAAAAAATCATGGTAGCGGCCATTTTTAGTCTGACAACCTGATGCCAGATTTTTCTTCATGAGAAGAGCTACATTTTCAGCCTTGGTTGTCCGACTAAAAATGGCCGCTACCATGAGTTTTTTGGGGTCAAAGTTTCTGGGGGAGGCGCTTCATAAGGCAAGAGCCGTAGCAAGGCAGCTTATGCAATAATGACATGTATATAATAAATAGCCAAAAAATTTAAAACTTAAGCTTTTCTGAATATATAATGATAATGTGCACTCAAATTTTTACGCTACAGTGCTTATCAGTGCACTTATCAATTTCTAAGATAAGCAAATTTAGTCTGTCCAAACCGCCCCAAATTTAAAACTTAAGCGTTTCTGAATTTATAATGATACTATGCACTCGAGAATTAACGCTACAGTGCTTATCAGTGTACTTATCAATTTTTAAGATAAGCAAATTTAGTCTGTCCAAACCGCCCCAAATTTAAAACTTACGCGTTTCGGAATTTATAATGATACTATGCGCTCGAAAATTAACGCTACAGTGCTTATCAGTGTACTTATCAATTTTTCAGATAAGCACATTAAGCACATTAAGCACATGAATGCATTACATATTACATTAAATGAGATGCTCGTTGGTAAGAAAATGTTCACCATAAAATGTTTGTCAGAGAGAGACAAAGACTGGTGAGTTTCATACGCCCCTTCTGCGAGCGGGTAGTGACACCTGCGAGAATCAGCCTGAATCTCTGTCTCTCTCTGAAAAATGGAATCAGGGAAAGTTGTACACATCCAGTGGAATGCCTCAAAATTTGTTTCCCATTACATAAACCACGTATGCACCAATTGTTATTTTTTAAGTCTAAATAGTATTATTTTTAATTCCTAAACACTTTTATAATAAAGCAATTTTTAATTAATAAGAATATCTCGATCTGATAACCGTCCATAAATATATATAAAAACGTACTTACACATGAAACGTTCATAAAGTACATAACGCTACATTGGCAATTTTTACCCCTTCCTCCCCTACCTTACGGTTACACCCCCTATTTAAATGCGGCGCACGTCAACCTGTTAAGCAACAGCCCTCCGCAGGGTTACGTATTTTATAAACTTGTCTTTGAATAACTCAAGGTATCACTGATACCGTATCAGATTTATTACAAATGTGTATATATACATATATAAATATTACGCAACACAAACTCATAATATCGCGACGGCATAACTACCTTTTGTTTCTCAAATCTCCTATATCGCATTCTTTCTCTAATTTCTTTACCATATTTTTCACTCTAATTGAAATATCTTGGGCGTAGAAATGAGCCTTCGTGTCGATGGCTCGTCTGATAAAAACGCAATTAGCAGGACAACCAAAAAATCGCCTGTAGTGATGCATGTACCCAAAGTCCGGTGGAATCATGTACTGATGTGCGTTAGGGACCGCTTCGTACAGGTAGTGTAATCCCGGTTCGATAACGTTCCATGGAATGGAAATCAATTTTGTTCTGAAAATTGTTCAACATGATTAAATAGAAGTTGAAAGACGCATGTATCTGTACATAGTTATGAATTGATGATAAAATGTGCGGTCTACCGTATTCCATTTTCGTAAACTGGCTCGTGTCTCGTCACGTAGCGGTACAATTGCAAATCTTTTATACTAAATCGTGGTATTTGCTCAGTGGCTAGCGTTGACGAGTCAAACTGTCCAAAATCTGGATCAAAAAATGCAGATGCGAACTGATACACGGCGACTACTCCAGATCTCGACATATTTCGCCATGCCTCGTCCAATACACTGATCAATTTATAGTAATTTCTCGCAAAAGTTGGATTTGGGACGATATATTCATCTAAGTCAACGAGCACGAGATATTTTGACACACCTCTGTACCTAAAGGAGCAATCGTTCAATTGGGCGATTTGGGCGTTAGCATGAATCATTGGTAGAATATCAAAGATTGCTGGGCCCCATTTTAATACGGTGACTGGAGTTTCTGAAATTGCAAGTGTATTGTTTAGGTAGGGGTCTCATTTAATGGGCCAGACTTTTAATTGAAATCACATAACTAAATATATTGAAATTCCATAACTTGAATTTCCAGTACTTTATATGCCTTAAAACAACCTCTATAACTGAATCCATCAGACACGGAATTTCATAACTTATGAATTCATTTATATGTAAAAATCTATCAAAATAGTTACTGTTCAGGTATCCCTTGCTCTTCTAATCAGTGGTAAACCATACAATCATAATCTAGGAGTGCACAGTAGTAGAAATCGGAGACACCAAGGAATTTTGCAACCACTTCACTGTCACAAATCTGGTATACTTGTGCTGGTATTGATTTCTCGGTATTATAAAGTTGCTACCGCTTGGTATTAAAATCATACCGGTCTGTGATAATTTCCTACCGACATGGTAAAACTTTAATAACGAACTGTTATGTGTTACACCGTATTACTTATCAATACCACTTTGGTAGAATCATACATTTATGATAGCCTGGTAATGAATACTTGATTTTATTTGGATATTGGATTTCTAAGAATGTTTGAAACAAAATTTGTTAACCAAAAGTATGGGGCCTAAGCTCCAGGATTCCCAAGTACAAATAATGTACATATGTAGTTGAATCAATCAATGAAAAATGAAAATACTTTTAGAAAACGAGTCCACTGGTGAGCTACATAATGGTAAGCCTCAAGCATATGAGATTCTCGTTAGATTCCAAAATAATGCTCTACACCGAGATATGACCTCGTTCCAACTTTAAACAAACTATGTAGGTTAACTGGAGTATTAACCGGAAACTAGTTCCTTTAAAAGTGAGAAGGGGTGCTGGGGACCGTTGTTTCCTACGGTCTAGGAATTGCAATAATTTGGAATGGTTTCAACGTCAGGAGAGAGGAAGCCGTGACCGTTCCTGTTGGGATATTGAGCCTTCAGGGTCTGCCCTGCTAAGGCCGGTAGGCCGCCTACTTGTTGACAGAATTTGTTTATACAAAAATTCAAAGAAATAGCTCATGTTTTTCTAAGATTTCTAAAGGCAAATCTTCCAAATTGAATAAAATGTATGATTCAGAAAAGTCTGGCAGATTTCAATTTTACAGTTTTTAAATTGAATTAAAGCACTGGAAATTCAAGTTATGCGATTTCAATATATTTAGTTATGTGATTTCAATTAAAAGTCTGGTGGATTAAAAATAACCCTTTAGGTAGAGCTAGTGTAAATATATTCAACGTTAAAGCGATGAGCTTATTTTTGGCAAATATACCAAAGTTTTAATTCCAATTTTTTAATTCTCAAAGGGACTAAACTAAAATACCAAAATTGACCATATCAATGTGTCACTTGAAAAGCTAACAAGCAAATTTAATTACAAGAGCATTTTAGCAAGGCACTTTGGCTTGATGGATTGAGGGTAGGTCACCACGCTGTCCCGCGTTCGATTTCACTAGCCGGGAAGTTATTGCTGTCGGTGTTAGTACCGGGTAGGTGCTCTTCTCAGCGGTTGGGTTAGACCGGCCAGACGATCTGACCATATTAATGGCAAGAGCCCTAACAGAGTCTGTTCTCTGTGTAGAAGATCCAACTCATTACCAGAATTAGAGAATTATGGTGAGAAGGACCGTCACGGATTGAAAACCAGATTTATATCTGATATCTAATGACGTTAAAGGATTAATTTTCAATTTCATTTGTTTCATGTTTGAAAAGTCTAAAATGAAACTTCATGTATAAATGGTCCTCGAGTAATTTGCGATTTGTGTACATAATGTGCATACTGATTATGCACCGATATCAGGGCAGGGCAAAAAAATTAGGAAATGTCGGCGGTAAAAATTGATTGAGAGGAAACCGAATTGAGCAGTTAAATCAGGCCTTGGCGAATGCATTGGTCTTTGGAAGCGTGAACAGAAATCCAACCCATAGCATTCCCTCTACGCTATTTATAGTCAAATTATTTGTGCTAGTTACCTCATATACATATTCTAACGCATTTACAAGAGACAGAGAGTTTATTCAAAATGGAAAGCCCGTATCGGCGAAAATTGGCATAGTGAGATTTATGCAAATAAGCTGACACGCCTAATTAGAGGATAGAACATATATATGTACTCTCGGTTTTAACTAGCAAGATAGATAATTCTCCGTAGGATTTTTCTTGAGCACAAAGTTTGTTCAGCATATTTCGGATACATTGATACCATACGACTACACGTTTCGCGGTCCTAATAGTTTAAATCCCCAGCTCACTTATTTCTGCCGTACAAAGTCTTGTAGCCAAATCTTGCTATTTAGAACAGCGACATTGTAGATGCTTATGTATGTACGACTTAACCATTCTTACCTTCATTAATCGCTGCAGATTTCATGACGCACGAAACACGAGGTCCAATCGACATATTATAGAAGGTGAACTGTGTTACGCCCATCATTTTTTGGAATTCAATCCACTCCAAAAATGCCGCGACTCTGTCGTAATTAAACGTGGGCTGGACACAAGCGCCAAATTTATGAGGTTCCTCGATACCTTGTCGGGCCGGATCGGGTATACTCAGTAAATTCGAAACCATATTTCCACTCGTGAAGTTTAAGTTACTTCCTTTTGAAAAGGGTAACATAGTTACAAATTTCGCCTTTTTAATAATCAATTTACTCTCGATAAGGTAGGGATTTATGTCCAACTTGCAAAGTATGAAGGCCATGCTAGAGAAAACGATAAAATAAATAGTAAAGGTGGGGTTGGAGTAAAGTAAATAAATAAATAACCTTGTCGCCCATAAAATTCAAAAACATGGCAAAAATGCATTTTTAAGAGGTAAAAAATAATTTTATGTTAATCAAAATTTTGAAAAAACTGTCAAAGTTAGTGGTTGACCCTCCCCATAGGTTGAATTGAGTAAATTATTTTTGTGCCATGTCAATAATGAAAAAAAACCTTAGTTATTCTTTTACCCATAAACGAGGCGTTTTTGCATTTTAGGGGATAAAAATGTAATAATTTGTTTCCCACTGGTAGTTATTTTTCTCCCTTTCAGCGATTTCACTAAACACTTTAAACTTTTCATGACGGTTTTGATGCTTTACCCCCCACTATGTCTTCAGAAGAAGCTCTCGCAACTGTTACGAGGCATGTAACTACATACGTTCGAATATAATCGACAGCTCGTCTCACCTGTATTTATAGCCACCCCCGTCTTTTGTGGTGCTTATGTTACCAGGAACAACAGCGATTTGCTGCAGTTCCTCGTCGAATATGTGGCAATACATTTTTTGTCTGGAAAATGATGGTGTAATTGAGATAACCCTCAAGACATTTTGCTTACTAGAAAAGTGAGGAAAATAATTTTCGTAAGACATCAAGCAATATTAATCAGAAGGTAAACATGTAATTATCTTACACATCCAGATAGGCTGAGTAGACGAAAAATCGGGGGTTATAGGTAGCATTATGGAACGTGCTGGCCTCACGGATTTCCTGCCAATCGACCTCGTCCAATTGGATTTTTTTAAAGTTTGGTTGGTCTTGATTTAAAGTAAGCTTAAATGTCGACTGTTGATGAGGGAAAAATTTAGACGGAAGATTTTGTAACGAGAATTGTGTAATTAAAAATGCAGTGATTAGAAAGGCAAGGATACAGAATAATCTAAGCAGGAATTTTGCCTCCCCTTTGAAAATTCGTGATATCAAGGCGTGGTACATTGCTAAATAGATCTCCCTAAAGTAGGAGAATCGATAAATCTGAGCAAATGATAGTATTGTTTAAGAGCGTTGAATTTTGCTAGGCATAACGTATTCCGACATTGAAGTATAATTGAAAATATTTCGAACCTTTACTAGAAATGTATTCGTAGCGTAATATGACTTGGTAATTCTGTAAGCAGGTTGTGAGTAGTATTGTTCAAAAGATTAACACAATATTTAATATGATTTCTACAGCTATGTATGTATGTATACTGTAAATAATGTGTCGGAAACATGAAATGATTAATGCTCTATAAATGTTTAACTTTGTATGTTTACCTTAATAAATGATTAATATGAAGGTAAATCAAAATGCATATGTTGCTGGGAGTAAAGTATATAATTATGAGAAAACTGCAAAAATATATAACTTTAACCAGTGGACTTTCCTGCTTGTATAATTTGTCATTTTCAGCCTTATGATTGTCAAAGATTCTTCTTTACATCGCACCTTAAATTTTCAACCACCTTTCAACCAATTACAGAACAAATTAAAGTGAGAATGAATTTGTTATCTGGTTTATTAAACACTCGCGGCGCGATGTAGAGAAAACAACTTTGACAATAGTATTAATCTACATAAAATAAAAGAAACCCAAAAAAGGAATGCTTAGATGAGACTTAAAAAGTGCGATAAAAAGTATTTAATAAATTTCTTCTCCAGTGAAGGGTATAGAATTTTAATATTTCCAGTATCAGCGCCCCATTTTATTTTATACGAAATTATATAAGCAACATGTTCACGTATGCATATTACTGGGGAATGGAATTGACTATTTGGTAAGACCTGTTTATTATGTATCAACTTTAAGTATAATTGCAAGCATTCATAATTTTTTAGTGACAAAAACAATTAGCAAATGATTTTAGTATGTTTCGCTACATCATATTTGAAATTTGATAGTTATTGTATATTTGTATCTATTTATATGATAGTGAATGAAATCGGGCGCTGATGCTGGAAATACTAAAATTTTATATCCTTCACTGGAGAAGAAATTTATTAAATACTTTTTATCGCACTTTTTAAGTCTCATCTAAGCATTCCTTTTTTGGGTTTCTTTTATTTAATAGTTTTTATTCGCAATTGAAAGTAATAGTGTAAGCTAGTGTACCCTTTTATTATTCGTAATTATCAATTTGCTGAGTGGTGGGCCTTAGCAACTAAACTTGGTGGTGGGAGAGGTAATATTTTGACCACCATCAAAACTTTCTCAGTTTTAAACTGATTTTCGGGATTTTAATTTTGTATTTTTATAAAAAATATGTATCAACTTTTTGCTCATTTACATTTAGCATGAAGGCCTTCATTTTTTTCTAATCTCAAAAAAACACATTTTCGATGGTGTTTTTCCTGTATATCTCAGGAACAGGGCACTATTCCAGCCTCCTGGTCGACAGTTCAATTCTAATTTGCCATAATTGACTCTGGACACTAATTTCATTAAAATCCGATGGAAATTGACCTAGATCTGAAAAAATTAAGCTTTTCAAAACCGTAGTGATTGCTTACTTAGATGATTTTTTTCCTGCAGTAACTATAGCCTCATCTAAGAATAAGTAGTTGGCCATGGTGTACACTTTTACTCAAGTACTGAATATGTGTATAAAATCAATGATAAAATCGGATCAGCAAAGTTATTATTTGCCTTCCAATTTTCTTGTATTTTTGGTTGAGTATTTATATATTTATTTGAGAATTCATAAGTATTTAATGTACATATACAGTGATGCTGATAATCGATCTTCCACCTAATGATTCCTCACCTTGTTCTTTGCCTAGAACTATTATTGCCCGCGCACCATCACTTGCCTCCGTCTCATACGCAAATTAACGGTGCAGTCTCCTGCTTGAACAAACGAAGACGGTACACCGTTAATTTGTGTATGAGACGGAGATAGGTTAAGGTGCTCGGGTAATAACCCAGCCTCTCTGTACTTGATGTATATTTTTTAAATAACTTTAAATCATAGAATAGTCTTTCGAAATCTATAATTATGTATATTTGAACTATTTTCGGGGGAATATGAGAAAAGTAAAATAAAAGAGGACACCAGCACCAGCCATTAGCTCAATGCCCGTGTTATAACTTTGTGTGCATAATTTGTGCATGTTTTTTTAACTGTGATGGCTTGTTTCGGACATGTTTATTTACTCAGAAACGATTTTTCTAGAAATCATTTATTCATTCAGTTAATTCACTCAGGTGATGTTTGAAATGAACAAGATTTCAAGAGTGATAAATCTGATTAGGCTAGATTAGTTTAACTTAAGTTTCCTTTGTACTTGTGAAAGGACACATACGAACTTCCCCTTTTTGCGGCCCCTTAGAGACAATTTCGAGCCAAATTCCCCGGCCCCTTTATTTGCTCAATTTTTCGATTATTTAAATATCGTAACTTGGTGATTTACAGCCAAATAATCAAATATTTAGATTTTAGCCCGAACCATGGCTTTATATGTCGTCATGTCTGTTTGTCTGTCTGTCTTTCGATAACTTTAGAATATTGGCCGATTTTGACCAAATTTGGTAACAATATTTGTCTGCGTAATGCAACGACCACGTTCGAAGATGGGGTCGATCAAGAAGGAGTTAGACCGGTGGGAGTCACATACATGTCAGGTGGGGTCATTGATGCAGAGTATTCCAAATAAATAGTCATATAAGGCTTATTCGAAAATTCGGTACAATTGTCCTAATGTAGATATATTTGTAATGTCGTAATGTAAGGGGTCTCATGAGTTTTTTTATCGGAGGGACCCTATGGGGTGACCCATACCGATTTTCAGAAATTATCTTAAAAAGATGAAATTCGGCACGGTGATACTTAATGGCTTCTCATGAACGAATATGAAAGTTAAAAGTGAGCAAAAGTGAGTATTAATATTATGTATACGCAAATGTATATTTAAGTTTTCGATTTTTCGTCACGCTATAGCGATTTTAGACGAGAAATGTGTCCTTGGCGAAAAAATCCAGTGGCCGTCGGACAAATCGTACACAGTAACACGATTGCTCATTTTTCTTCTAAACACATGTCACATCCAATAAAAAATAGTAAGGGTATTCATTATTTCTTCGTATCCTTAGTATCGTAAACTAGTTTCCGAAGAAAAAAAAGAGTCAAGCTTTGTAAAATTGCAAGCTTAGTAATGTGATTTTTGATGACAAAATCTTACATCGTCACTGCAAGTTCAAAAAAAGTTATCCACAAAGTTTTTTTTTCGAAGCATCATTCAGAAAAATAATTCTGAACTTCAACCTGTCCGAGACATTAAAAATCGGCAACGAGAAAATTGTCGGCAGATAGGGATGTGCGCCTAGCACAATTTAAAAACAAAATTTTGTGTTGAATTTGTAGACAAACTTATGTTGACTTAAAAAATCGTAATGTGTTATTTTATCTAGACGTTTTTTAAGTCGAATATATTTTTTAAGTGGACGCTTCACATCATATTTTTCAAGAAATATGTTTGAAATAAAACTAACATGGATGACGAGAATTGAATTTAGCCGAACTTTGCAACGTTCATTTCTTCTATTCAGTCAAAGGCCAGGAAGTGTTATGAATCCAAATCAAAAGTGACAAGCAAGTTTCCCAAAAAATTCTTGGATTTCCATAAAAACAAATGACCCTAATGATCATTATAAATGATCCCGTTGACCAAAATACCTACGTAAAAAATGCACCAAATTAATTTTTGAATATATGGTCATTGAGCATCATTATCTAGAGAAAATTATTTTTGGCTGGACGTAACTGGCTATCAATACATCGTAGCTGAATATGTTACATACTGTAATACCAAGCATAAAAGGTTTCATATTTTTAAATTGCGCAAAATTTTTAGGTTAAGCTTTTTAATTCATATGTATACATAAAAGTGATTTTTTCTGTCCATTGAAATTGGTCTGGTCGAAATAGGAGTCAAATTTATTTAATACTAAATCCTGGTTCGGGCTACGCGAAGTTGTACTTTTTGGGATATTTTTTATGTGATTTTTGGTTGGCAACCAGGTGACCACTTTTTTGTTTTTTCGGGTAATAAATTTGACAAAAACCCCCTCGGGATTTTCGCTCTAGCTCCAAAAGTTGATCGAGCTACAGGCCAGATTTTTTTTAACATGAAGATAAAGAGTTGATTGTTTTTTGACAAATAAATTGGGTTGTAGCTCGATCAACTTTTCATGAAATAAATTATTAAAGTTATGCATTTTTGAGGCCTTGGAGAAAGGGATGTTCTAAGGTATTCTTTGCTAGTTCGCGAGATTCATTAATAATGCAAATTTCCTCGTTCACTAAATATTTACAATTGATACTTTGTCGACTGCTTAATGCTCAGCCAATGTAATACCTCTGCAAATAAAAATTATATGGGTGTAATATCCTGTCAATGTCAACCGTAATTCAAAATTACCGTTACTGTCGACCACCACATTTTCTCCACCTCAAAATGAGTTTTAATACTTATGTTTTCCGTTTAAATTTTAGGTTATGTATTGATTTATGCGTAAATCTGTGTACCCTTATGTGCTACAGTATATATGTATGCATATACTGTTTAAGTTTATGAAGGTATTACGTTGAAGGTATTACGTACGTATTAAAACGAAATATACAAACTATTATACATAAATCATTAGTTTCATTTATATTTTATGTATGTAATTATCCTAAACAGAACTAAATATTTTATGGTTATGGAAATTCCGGTCTGATTAACTTTTTCAAACACTTTAATAGCCGACAGATGTTGCTATAATTTCATACACACAAGAAGCTTGCATTCTTTGAGTTTTAAGAAAACCAATGTGGATAACTTGCAAATACTTGGGATAATCTTGGATTGATCTGTTAAGAGTTGACAATATTTTATGTTATTCTAATCCTCATAAATCACATAGTGGCGAAACTGATGAACTCGGTGGGGTAAAAAGTTCACGAGCTTTGGTGGGAATTTTGAATTTTTTGCAAAAAACTGCAAAACTCATCTGGAGTTGTTTATGTTTTTAGTGGTTTCCAATGGGAAAAGTATGTGTGGTGGTGGCTTCCCGGCACACATACTCTATGACGAGATGAGACGAATCAGGAAAAATTGCAAAATGTTTTCTTGTAATTCCAAAACCGAGATTAAATGTACACTAAAAAATGTGAGATTTGTTGGATTAAAACTAGTGGTAGTTGCGCAACAAGAAAATAAGGCCCTTGAAGGAATTGATATGCTACTTTTATTTATATTAATCGACGAATGTCAAGTTTCGTCTAAATTTTGCTTTCCTCGAGATTCGATGATTAATATAAATACAAGTAGCTTATCAATTCCTTCAAGGGCCTTATCTTATTGTTGTGCAACAACTACTAGTTATCATCCAACATACTTCACATTTTTGAGTGTACATTTAATCTCGGTTTTCGAATTACAAGATCAAAAACCTGTGCAAAAAATAATGCATGGGGTAACATACGGGAGAAATATTGAGCGAGGGACTGTATTGGCTGATAGAGCGGCCAGAGCAAACTATAATGCCCCGTTAAGCATATGCTCCATCATACCAATGTCTTTACTCCGACCACTTGAAATCACAACTGGTGATTGTGATATAATACCAACCGGTAATGAGAGTCATAAAACCCACGTTTTCCATGTTGGAAGGGAATTCGACATAATCGATTGGATACTAAACAAAGAATTTTTATAAATTATACCAGCAGAGATGCCACTCTGATTCTGAAATGGAACAAAGAAAGGATTTAATCTGCAAGGTATCCCAAATTTTAAATGCCGAACAAGGTGGGTTTTCAAGTTCAAGTGTTCTTTTATTCAAGTGTCAATGTCAATAGATATCGGCTCGTTACAAATCGGTTTACAAACCATGACACAAACAGGTTTTAAATTTCAATGAAATTTAGGTGAATTCAAAAATATGCAACTCAACCAAGGTCGATAATTGGTAGAGCTGTTTTTTGAGTATGGCTCTAAAAGCTAGTATTTTGCCGCTTAACATGCGCTGTGTTGATCCGCACATCATTTAAAGAACTGTACTTCATGGCTGAAAAGCTTTTATTCGTTAGAGTATGGTAATTGTATTCGGAGAGTATGTACATATTATTACATTTTACATTTAAAAAAGCTAAATGACCAGTGCCGTACAAAATCGTCCCTATTTAAAAAATGTTTGCACGTACTTCTTGAAATGCGTTTGTACACATGCGGATAAACACTTTACTTTTTTGGTTAAAATTAAAAGTAAGGTCAATATCACATGGTCCGAAATTGTCGTAAACAGGTATACATGTTCAGAAAGATGCGACAAATTCACTAAGCCAAGATTTATTGATCAATTTGCATTCTAGAAACTTTGTAGTGTTGAAAAATTTCCTGAATAATGTACACATCGAGGAATAGTTGTATGTTGTTCATCTTTCTTAAATCTGTACCATCCTTCCAAATCTGGTATTATCTGTCTAACAGATTTTTCTTTATCCTTCAATTTATAGCATAGTTTGCACCATCCATCAGTCTGCCGTACCCGGTAATATTTCTTCCACCAGAAATACTTCACATATTCCTCCTCATTGCTGTCCAGGTAGATCAAATATTCGGCAAGTTTTCTCACGCTGCTAAAATCCCTCACGTCAATGTGCGAATGTCTCGGAGAAATGCTGGCGTAATCCCCCGCTCCAAACACGACTGGGATAATTGTGCGATTTAGCATGTAAAAAAATTTTTCCGTGATATAATCATCGCAAAGGGAATTTTCAAAGGCGAAGTAAAATTTGTAAGTTTCCTCAATAAAGTTAAAACATGTATCTGTCCCGAAAGGACACGTGTAGTTTCCGCATCTTCCAAATACATCGATATCAACAAATTGTCTTAGTTTCTCTACAAGATTTTCACGCTTGCTGTCAGTGTTACAGTTACTGACTGCCCATGCTGCCAATTTGGTTTTCTTCCTTGTCAAGTTAATCCAATTTGAGTAGTCTGGATTGATTAGTCGTCTTCCCATCCTGTCCTGTGTCGTATCTTCGTCAACTATGACGGCATATGGATGTAGAACATCAGAGTCGGTTCGGTAAGTCATTGTCCAGTTGAAAAGGTTGGCATAACTGGGCAAATCGTGATTCGAATTATCTGGGGATTCACGATTGAGGTAGACCCAGACTTGATCCTCTTGCCGGCTTTCGGGCATGTCATTTCTGAAAATAAGTTCTTTATTCATAACTGTAGTCCAAACTTATGCAAGTGTTCCCTATTTTTCAATTCAAATTCCAGTTCTACTCCCAAGAAGTAAATTACACCTTTTACACCGGGTTTCCATGGAGTATGGACTACATGGTACACAAATTATGCAAGAGAAGTCTCAATTTCTTTCACAGGTGGAAACCAATTGGAAATACTGAGCAATTATTACATTACCTGCAGGAATTTCGTATAGTTCAGTTTCATTTAAAATATTATCCGAATATCGGAATCTTTTGCATAATTTGAAAACAAAAACACGCAAAATTTCTAAAGAGCAGCAATAGTCAAAACACGAATCGAGAGACAAAAAAGCTTGATTTATTAAGATTTGTTGAATTGAATTTGTAGACCTCATTTTTGTAAGTGTAACGGTGTAAATAATTTGGCTCTACTCCGTCCCTAGGGGGAGGGGCCGAAAGTCGCAAAAAGTAAAAGGCGCACCGGATTTCTCAAAGATGGAAAAAATATTTCAAAATGTTACAAGCATCAAAATATTCGTAATTTTATTCTCTACCATCGGCACAAACCAAAGCGAGCGTTTTTCGAAAATTCTAAAAATACAATAAATTAAAAATGCTCATAAAATTTTCCAAAAGTTGCAAAAAATAATATTTTTATGAACATTTTTTTATTTTGTTTTTTGAATTTAAAAAAAATGCACGACTCGCTTGTAAAAAAATCCTTTGATGCTTGTAGCCTTCAGGTATCTTTAATTCACCGAGAAATCAGCTGCCTCATGTCCGGATTTTGCGATTTTCGGCCCCACTCGGGCAGTGGGTTTTGATACTTTATATTTTGGATACTCTAAAATAAGTCGGAGTTGAGTCAGATACCTCGTTTAGTCAGCGATCTCGTAAACCCGGTCCAATTTGTTCTTCGGATTTTAAAAATCTCTGAATCGATCGGTTTTTTGGATTAAAAAAATATCCGATCCGATCCACTTTTCGGATTTTTGAAATTATCCGATGCAACCGATCCGTTTTTTTAATTATAAAAATATGGATTACCCAAAAAATCGGATATCCAAATCAACTGTTGAGGTAGACAAGGTAAAGTTGGAAATAGGAGGTAGAGAAAACCAAATACTCAAATTTCGAGTATTTATATGGTCTTCAACTACATCCATATACCAAGCGACAGAGTTGAGTTGGATCCAACATTTTAGATACACAATCAATCCTATCCGTTTCTTGGATTTTCGAAAATATCGGATCCTACCCGTCTCTTGAATGTTTTTTAAATATGCGATCCGCTATTCGGATGTTCAAAAATATCCCTTCTTTGATTAAAAATACGGGTCATCAAATAAATAAATCCAATATCCAAGTCAACGAAATAAGGGGTGAGTCATAAGTAGTCATACAGTATAAAACGGTCGCCATTTCTTAACTCTTTTCACCAAACAAGCTATTATCACCAATATTATAGCCCATGCGATTGTTAATTTGAATCAATGAGTCAATGAGATTTTGACCATCGATAAACTTAAACCCAAAAGAGAACAATTTTCCCAAGCTACCTCCAACCCTTCAGTTCCCACTTTTCTTGTCATATATTTATGAATTTTACATGGTAAAAGCATGAATTTCTGAAACTTTTTCCTTGAGGCAGTTACCAGAATTGTGGTCTAATAAAATGTACTCCGAATTATCAAGATTTACTTTCGTGCGGAATATTATCACCATCTGAACTTATACCTATAATGTTAATCTCCATAAGACTTGATCCTAAAAAATCTCGAAAATTTTGCAAAACTTTGGTTTTTGTTAAACTTTAGGGACATTTTGCTATTGTTCATGATCCTTGCATGTCTCTGTCCAGGTTAGAAGACAGCAGAATGATCAAGGTACACGCAGCACTCTTAAAAAATAACAGTAATTCTCGCGACATACATATTTTTGCAAATTTTGCGACCTCTTGCTTATAATGTTAGTTTTTTGTTACTTGAATGTATATTGGCAATTTGATATTCACAGTTTTCAAGGCCCAATAGCCTAATGTTAACCCTGCTACGATTGGAAGTGACTAGGTTTAGTGATTTGGTTGCCATGCTGAATCGATGTAAGACCGTTCCTACAAATATAGGTTTTCACTTTTCGTGTAGCCTGAGACGCCGGTTCTTAGGATATTTTTCCGAACGTGGTAAATTTGTTTAGCCAATGCTATTGTGTAACTGAGAAAAGCAAAGAATTTTAAAATTTGTGTACTTCTGCTTTCGTGGGAAATGATTTACCTACAAAAGTTGATGCATTTTTTTAATTTTGCACCACTCGTATTTTCACTTTTTGTTTTTATTTCAGTCTCATTTTCCCGCCTAAGATTCGATCAACCTCTGATGACATGTTTTGTGTGGCATATCGGTTGCTTAATATCAGGATACTACAACTTATACATAAAGTGAGTTAGTTATGTACTGTGCGGGTGGAGCTAAAACCTACGGCCTCCTGAAGTATCTTGTGCTGAGACTAGGGTTTCTCGTGATTTTAGCTCCATCCGCACAGCACATAACTAATCCTAAATCACTTCAAGTATCTATAATGAATTATCCCACTCTCCTTGGCGTGCGGAAAGCATTAAAATGTGGATCACCACTTATGACTCACCCCTTACTCAAAATTCGAGGATTCGCCTTTGCAACATGCGACCGAGTTTAGAAATCTGATCCGATTTGTTTATTGGATTTTCAGAAATGCCCAATCCAAACGGATCGGATTAGGCAACGGATTGACGAACAAAACGGATATCCGACTGAACTCTGACATAAATATTATAAAACTGAAACCTTTACATTCTCATAGTAAATGAGTGCAATACTACTGCGGAAGCAGAGCTTAAAAGGGTTCGATCTGAGGTGATGTAGCATTCATCTAAGCAACTCCTATCTGCATCTCGTAACATACTAAACGGGTCCATATGAAAGTAATTTGTCCAAAGCAAGATTGTTGGTTTGGATTCTTCTGATGTCCAATTTGTTTTAATGGTACCTTTCTTCGACTGATTGTTAAAACTTCGTTGCTCTTCACTCATTGGGGTCAACGACATCCCAACATATTGTTCAGGTTCACGATTTAACACACCTGTTCTATTTATTATGCTAAATTTGTAGGACCAAGTGCTCAGGTACACGTACACACTGAACAAGAATATAATGATGACGAAAAAACTGGTTGTATCCAACAGCTTCATGGCGGGAAATATTACCTTAAATAAAAATAATAGTATTGGTGACAATTATGTATAACGATAAATATGAATAAAATAAAACATTGAGTGTACGCACGTCGAGGTCTTCAATAAGTAGGTACATCTCATCGTCAATTCATTGCGAAATAATATTGCTAAATAAAAACATGCCAATTTTTTGCGTAAATTTTAAAACAATTGGTTTCATTTAAGAGTTCCGAAAAATATTGCTCGGCCAAAATTTATATTATCTATGTAGCGATTTTTGAATTAACAGGGATCTTGCTTGTTATTTTTATTTAAAATTAAAAACAAAGCAGTACATAAGCCTTAGATTCGTAAAATTAAACTATTTTTAAAGGTGCAGTTTACGTACTAGCGGCATATCATGCACGGCTAAAACAGATTGGTTAAATAGAATTTGACCGGATGTTTAACAACTATAAAACCTACAGTGCAGACTCCATATAGCCCGAGTCAGGGGCATAGTCCCTGACTCAATAAGTCAGAGCCCGCTTCTAATTTTTTTTCCGAATTGACCGACATAATATCACCAACTTCCGCGTTGTGGATGGTTAAAAGTTTATTAGATTACATAAATACCATTCTACCATTTGGTACCAAATTTTTGAATTAGTTACAAATCATGTGCCTTGACCACCATGACCAGTGGGCTTCTTTAACATCCTGAAGTTCTAAGCTGTATGCATGTGCTACCCAGCAGTGGTTTTCACTTTTTCAGCCTCCATATCAAATTTCAGCTCAATATAACGATTTTTAAAAATCAGTATGGGTCACCCCATATGGTCACTCTGGTTGCACTTTGCTCACTTTTAACTTCATATTCTTTAATTAGAAGCCATTAAATATAATTGTGCCGGATTTCAACTTTTTAAAGCAATTTCTAAAAATCGGTATGGATCACCCCATAGGGTCGCTCCAGATAAAAATTTTACCAATATCATCTCATATTCTTTCATTAAAACCCATAAGCAACCTCTCCACCAAATTTCAGTTGGATATGATGGTTTTGAAAAATCGGTATGGGTCACCCGATAGGGTCACTCAAGATGAAAATTTTTCCAACTGGAAGTCATTTTTATCTATTAGGAGCCATTAGCAACCTCTGTACCAAATTTCAGCTCTCTACAACAATTTTGAAATTTTGGTACATAGTACCCCACCCACTCCGATGACCCCCACCGGTCAACCACTGGACCGATCACGCCCATCTTCGAACTCGTTTCCTAACTTTGTCCAATATGTGTATGGTAAAAATTTCAGGTCAATCGGTTCAGCCGTTTTGGCTCTATCGTGCCGGACAGACAGACAGACAGACAGACGGACGGACATGACGGTTCCATAAGCCCTGACTCGGGCTAAAAATTGTACGGTTAGATAAAACATCTATTGCTATTAGCAATTTGCAAAAGTAGAAAACTATAAAGTTATGATTATTACCTGCTGTCAGCTAGTTGTTATGAAAATTATTAGTTTCATGTTTATATGTTATAAATTTCAAAAACATTTGTGCGTAATAAAATATGTATGTACATAGATACATACATAGAGACGTAGGAATATGATCGTGTCATTTTCATAAATTCATACCAGCTTATACCAATGTATACTAATTTGTATATCAGTATACCTATGTTTAATAATCTTTACATAGTGGAAAACTTTGAATTAATTTGCACTACCTAAATACATAAATGTATGAATCGACGCTTAAGAAAAACTACATTATAAAATGGCCCGTCTTTGGGACGGGCTTATGGGCTAGTACATACATAAATCGGTAATACATGTATGTACATATTTCTCGTCTATACACACTTTCATAAAATATTAATCATACCGTGTGCATTTCCGACGTAATATTTGTGAATAGAATCAAGCACAATGTCGACTACATTTTTTATTACTTGTTTCAACTTACTGCTTACTAATATTAGTTTATGTGTAATTTTTCAACAGGATACAGGTTCAGCCTAATTCGAAATTTATGTTACTCTAAAACTAAAGCGGAAAATAGAAATGTTCATCCTTATTGTCCTATAATAAAAATACCGCTCGATTTGTACTTCGAATTGCCGTTGTAATTATTTTATGCGTGCAATTATTCCTGTAAGCATTATTATAATAATATTTTCCCGTAAATGATACTAGTCTAGTACACGATAAGCACCGGGTATGACGCTAAAATATTTAGGTCTCACAGTTTAACGAATATCAACTCTGCTAAGATATCATGACAGACAAGACCTATAATTGGTGTGTTCATATCGTACTATTTTGTAGCCTGTCCGTGTCTATTTTCGATATTATCTATCTTCAAAAAAATATATCAAAAGCGCTTGATTCAGGCAAATCTTGTGCTGAGTATTTGACGTAAGTGTTTTTGCGTGTTTTGTTCACATAGGTGTACATTTATTTTTGAATATGCATACAGATTTACAAATAACGGAATAAATACTCGTATAAGAACTGATGTAAAACAAGTTTTTCATTATGGGTGATAGCCAATCACAATGAAATGCTTGCATTGTAAGATGAAAATTTAATGTCTACAGACAAATGTATTATCACATGATGACAGTAAATATATTTTCAACTACTATTTCAATACATTTTGCATGAATTTTGGAAGCAAAATTTAATTAGGAATTTACGTAGGTGTAATTTTAAGTGCCTTGGTCTAAGCGTTCCAGAGGTTTGGTTTGTGGGTCAATACCTTAATTTGTAATTTCTAGAATTTATGAAAGTACATAATAGCGTAAAATTCCTATTTAGCAAATTGTACTATAACTAACATTTTTGTGATAAGCATTGTGTTTACAAAGTATTTCATCTAAAGCATTTCTAATTCCATATATAGACATGTACATTTAGCTTCTTCAATTTCAGGAAAATTCGTCCTCCTTTGAACACCGAAAAAAATTCAATAACAGACAATTCGTATTATACACTCCCTGCAACTTTACCAAATAGGATACCTCACCCCACATTCTTAAATCCTAGAGGTGTCTTTCTCCAAACAAAAGGGGGTATTGGGGAACAACTCTATCAATATGCATGTCACTACGCACTCGCTCGGAAACATAACGCACCCCTGTACATAAAGCATTCAAATACCCAACGCAACCAGCTTGCCGAAAAGAAGACAAGAAATCCTGCCCTTAATGATCAGGCCTTTGCCTTGGACGCATTTAACATCCCCTTATTCCCCTGGAACACTATTGATGACACGCTACCAGGCACTGTGTACGTCACGGACTCTGACCTACTTTCTGGAGTTTACAATTCTAGCTAGCTACAAAGTTCTCTTGTCAGTGGGAAAGATTACTGCCAGTCTGAAGCTTACTTTGCCCCATATCAAGACGAATTGCGGGATCTTTTCACTTTGAGGGAGAGCAATGGTCTAACCGCGTCGGCCAAATCATGGGAAAAAATTATCCTCGAGGCGGGAAATACAGGGGAAACTGTAGCCGTGCATATTCGACGTGGCGACGTAGGGCGGTCCAACTTCACTACCCCATTTTCATTCTATCCTACGGCGATATCCAGGATGCGGCAGGACTTGATACTCCGAAATAACAGAGATATTTCAATTTCGTTATTCATATTTTCCGACGATGCAAATTATATTAGAAACGAGTTTTTGACAGTTTTAAACAAGGCTGAAGGAACCTTTAATATTCACATAGTCTCAGATCCGACAAAACTAACGAGTTTGGAAGAATTTCATATTGCTACGAAATGTAAAAATTTTATCATTCCTAATAGCACGTTTGCCTGGTGGGTAGCTTATCTCGGTAAGTATCCGGACAAAATTGTGTATGCGGCACACTTGACGACGGAGCATGTAAAACGGCTCTATAATGGGTCAAATGCTGATAGGCTGTCGTTCTACTTGTGGCAATATAAGCACATTTACTATCCGATTGGGTGGAATGCTATTTACCCGGTTTAACCATAAACTATTATTGCAAAATATTATTCGATATATGTATGTATGTACAAGTATTCGACGTAGTAAAAATGATTAAAATTTTATGTGTACACATACTCATTCATTCATGTGGGCATACTCAACTCAAAATCATATTTCTTGAGTAAATTATCTTATCACTTATTTAAGTCCAATTATGGTAAACAATCGAGCTTATCTTGTTGAGACAATTTGTTACCAAAAAATGTCATAGCTTGTCAGGAAACGTTCCACAAGTTAGATGTATGCAAATATACATAGATAAGGATTTGATATGCGAAAATTGCCAGATATGTATACGTGGGTGTTTTATTACTAATTTTCAAAAGGTATGTTCCGCACTGTTTCTCACCAAAATTTTGATGAAAGAACAAACTTCAAATACATTTAGGAGGATGTGATTTTTTTCAGTTCTGTAGGTTAACATTAACACTAGCAATAACTCATTAAAATTTACCTCGAAAATATGCCAAAATTTTCGACTTCATATCAATATCATCCGAAAACCGTTTTCCCCTGATGTCTTTCTTTAAGTTTCGAAACGAATAATAATCACTAAGGGTCAAGTCTGGACTGCTAGGGGTGTGGTTTGTGCAGGTAAAGCGATTTTCGCCTGCACTATCCCTCGCAAAAAGCCAGGTATGAGGAGGAGCGTTGTCGTCTAAAAAAAGGCCAACTCTTTATTTTGACCCCACGTTTCTTTTCACCCGGAGGACGCAGCTCCTTCTGGGTACCTGCATACGCGGCCCCATTTATTGTAGTATTTCCAGCAATAAATTTTATAAGGAGGGGACCTTTGATATCCTTGAAAATGGTCATCATCAATTTTTTGTCAGATTTTTGCACTTTTCAATTCTCGGGCGGTGGCAACCCCTCGTGCTTCCATTGAGGGAATTATTATTTGGTCACCGGGTCATAATAGTAAACTCAGGTACCATATTTAGCTAATAAAATATTGAGCAGGTTCAAGTCTTCATTTAATAGGTTAAAATTGGCATTGCAAAAGTCGACTCGATCATGTTTTTGAGATGCCGAAAGCAATTTTCGTACCCAACGGACGGGAACCATTTTCATACCAAAATGTTAAGTTAACATGGGACAAATTGCTGGTTTTGGAACACCCATCTCATCTGCTAAATAGGACAGTTTCAATCGCGGATCTCTCATTATTGGTTCCTCTAGTTTCCGGAGCCTTTCTGTGGAAGAAACGGATTTTGAGCGTCCTGGCGACTTTTTGCCCGAGACCTCGTTTCGCCATCATTTAAAATTATTAACCCAATTGAATTTGTGTTTTGTGTTGAGCAGTTTTCATCGTAAATTGTAAGCATTCAATCATAAATCTGCGACACGTATTGCCCATCCAGCATTAAAAATTAAATCACACTACGATATTTAATTTGCAAATCTAGCATTTTTTCCGTCGAGGTAAAGTTTGCCGATTTATTGCTAGTGTTTATGTTGACCTACAGAACTGAAAAAAATCACAGCCACCTAAATGTATTTGAAGCTTGTTATTTCATTAAAATTTTGGTCAGAAACAGTGCGGAACATACCTTTTGAAAATCAATAATAAAACACCTACGTATGTGCACACATAGGCATGCCTATAAGAACTCCACTGTGCATATGTACATCATTAGTTGGGATTGTTGAGTAACTAGTACTAACCAATAGTTACAAAATATGCATAATTATAAAACTATCTACGATACCGATGACATTGTAAAACTCGGAATTATAGTACTCAATTAGAAGTAAGTAGAATCCGTAGAATTATACTCTTTCTTATCCATACTAAACAAATTTTGGAATCATTAATTAACTTGTTTGTAATATTTGTCCCAAGTATCAAATAATATGTACGAACTTCTATGCCTTTCGTCATATTAAATATTTTACATAAAAATCGCAATACTCTCCCCTCAATGTTTTATTCTCAACTATCCAAGAAAATTTAAATGGATGAAATATAACGCCATTTTCTACTTTCTTAAAATGCGTAAATGGATCGGATCTTTTCTCCCTCCAAATCCAAATACCAGGCATTGTCACATATTTCTGGGGCGCACTAATTCCCGTCGTGATTAACGGTACCGCAGTCTCCAACAAAATTTCCGCATCTCTCACAATTCTCCCAGCCTCATAAAATAAATCCTCCTTAATTCTCGGCAGTTGAAATATGTCCGACATTCCGACCTTCACCAGACTATCGCCCAACCCAAATTTAACCCGATTTTGCACAAATTCAGCAAGTATCTTATTCTGCGCTGACTCATTTGCAATTCTTGTCAGCGCCTTTAAACACCCGACTCGCCCATGGTGCCCACGATTCCACTCCCAAGTGAAGCCCTCAGGTACGAGATCAGTCTGATTTAGCAGAGCAACATCCAATAACTGATCCTCAATTTTGTATCCCCAAATCTCATCCTTATCGTATCCTCCAGTCTCCCAAAATTTGAAGAGGACGTCATCCGATAAAAATATGTAGTTTTGACGCACCCCATAATTCATATCGATGACACGCAGGGCACACTCGTACCACGACCAGCCATCCGTCACGTTAGCGTGAACGAACGAAATTTCCAAATCGGGGATAGCTTTGAACGCCTTTCCATCCCCGCAGTACAGAATGTGGGGAAAATGTGGTCTATAAATTAGCTCGAGAAGCCAAATGTGCTCATAATGCGGATAATTGAACGTAATGACTAACAAGGTTTCGACGTAAATAGTTTTTGGAAGCGTTGATTTAACGTCAAACCCAAAATTGCAAAGTTTCCTCAGTTCGAACTTTTCATTTAGAGATGTTGCATTATTATTACTCGTAATCCCATTAAATATTGAGTATGTTTGGAAATCATTGACACACATGGATGATGAGCCTGCTTGAACCTCCTTAATAATTACAGGTGGAGTGTAACGGACACAATTCAAGTCTAAAATCCATGCTTTGACCAATAAAACCTCTTTCGCTTCCCAAAATTTGTGCGTGACCATGTCCTCCGTCAAGGTAATCATGCACTCGTATAAATCTGTCGAGCTACATTTCCACTCAATTAAAAACTTTGCTAAGGATCCCGCCTCCTGAAATATTTTGCCCTCTTCTGCAAAATCCTTCAGATAATTGTGCGCATTTCTGACTTGTGTCGTATTTGTGGCCGAGAAGGCTAAATTTTTACCAACTTTCCACAACAAGGGTTGCGCCCAGTACCCACGCCAAATATCGGTGACCCTAAAAGCAACGGAAACTGGGAGCATCAAAGCCCAGAAGGAGTCGTAATGAAAAAGGGTATTTTGTGAGTTAAACGGTGCTAAAATTCCGGTCGGGTAGATAACCTGGGGCGCATAACCGTCGAACGTGATGTCAATATTTGTATACAGCTTTTTCCTAGTGAGACGAAAAATAGCGTCCACGTCAGGATCTCCATTTACAAGACCTTGTTGAATAACTGGGGTCGTGTACTTACAAACCGTGTAATTATTATTGTACAACCCGCCCACCAATTCTAGTGGGTAGCCACGCGGCCAAACTGACCCCTGGCCGAAATGGACGTAAGGGTTTTTTATGTAACCAAACTCCCCCAGATCGGGCTGAGCAATGAGACCACGTGTGGTGTTACCGAAGGCAAAATAATCGTCGAAATCGGACAAAATGTTGGGAACATTGTCGTCATCCGTGTCATATATGATTTCCGCCCCGTGCTGAATAGCGTACAGATAGCCGATCATTTTCCGGGTGTATGCGTTCCAAGGGACATGCTGTAAAATGTGGTAGCCAAGCTGGAGTTGGGTTTCAGTGCTGAGAAGGATTGAGTTAGCAAGGGTCCAGTTCTTTGGCGTTTTTTGATCGGCGACGACGAGAAGTTGGAAATTTGGGAGGCGGCTGAGTTTGATGACTTGCTCGGTTGGGCGAGAAATTGATGTGACTACGATCCATTTTTTTCGTAAGTTTGTCCAGTACTTTTCCGGGGGACATGATGATGACCGTTCACTAATTTTGTAAGTTTGTTCATACAGTGCTGGCAACGAAACTTTATCCCGCCCATTGGAAAGTTTTGAACGCACAATCTCAGCCTGAGTTCCGCAAATTATACTAAAAAAATGGGTTCCGTTTTTGCACTCTAGTGACCTTTTGAGGTCAAACTTGGCACACGAATTCGCAGCCATATTCCCCAGACTGGTTTTATGACCTCTGTGGAGTCACTGAAGTGAACTAGATCAAAATATTTGAATCATAGCTCGCAATAAATTGGTCCCCGGTCCCTGGTCCCCCACCACATGGTCCCTGGTCCCCCACCACATGGTCCCTGGTCCCCGAGCGACCATCTAAAAAAATGGTCCCTGGTCCCTGGTCCCCGGGGGACCATTGAAAAAAATGTTCCCGGGGGACCATAATGGTCCCCTACGAGCTATGATTTGAACACAAGTCTGGGGAATATGGTTGCGAGTCCGTGCACCAAGTTTGACCTCAAACGGTCACTAGAGTGCAAAAACGGAACCCGTCTTTTTTAACACATTGTGCGGAATTCAGCTTGGGATTGTGCGTTCAAAAACTAGCGATTCGGCGGGGTAAGGTTTCGTTGCCAGTACTGTATGTATATACGTATGCATTATTCACTTTTGGCTAAAAATATGTAATAATAATGTACCTATATAATTTGATTGATTTTTTCAAACCTTTTCATGAATTGGGTTTCTCTTTCATAAATTATACCTGGGCGTGTAAGAAGCAGATAAACTTGAACCTGACAGAGTACTAGGGCCAGTAATAATATATATTTCTTATTGGTTTCCATACAAGTTTTTAATATTTTTAGTCTATCCATGTTTCTGATCGTAGAAATTCTAATTTATTTTAAAGGGTTTAAGGTGAATTTATTCGTTTAACAATTTTCTAGCAGCAAGAGAGTACTTGGATCTTAGAACGAAATTTATAATGACACTGATATAAGTTGTATGTATTACCTGTGTGATTTGAGAGGAATTAGACATATTGGTACGCATGTAGGTATGTACGTTTGCAGGTGTGTAAATAATTGAAGAGTTGCTTCGTATAATAACACCATAAAAGTATTGAATTCTTAGAAACCACTTAGGTACCATGTAATAAATTATTTAAATACCACAGGTGCAAACACTAATTTTTTATTGTATTGTGTAGATGGCAAACAAATCTCGGAATTTGTGTTAAAGTAGTTCATAAGTTCTAAATTTAGAATTATATTTATATGTATTTATTTACCTTGGTTAAGACTGAAATTTGGGTTAAACTATTGTTTAAGTGACTAAATTGGTTTAGGTCTTTATGTAAACTACTTACATACATAATCTCGACTCTAGGTATTTAAAGCGTCTCGGACGAGGCTCGAGTTTACGTGCAACTTTATAATTCACCTATAATACCAGTAACAGAAGTATTTAAATCTGCAAACTCTATAAAAATGCTTTATCGTACAAACTGTGTATTTTAGCTGCGTTTATACTTCATGATTGAAATTTACACAGCTAGATCTCATGTAGTTTCATAATTTAATATTTCGGTATTAACGTTTATCATTTTCTTAAACATTTTGAACGCATAAATATTTCTAATACACAAAAACTCGTGAAATTTATGTACAAATAACCCCATCGGGTTTTATATACATATTGTTTATTTAATAACAACATATTTATTGTTATTAGGTCAGTTTAATTTGTCATCAAAATTAGCACAAAAAGAAAGAAAAACACTTTGATGTTAATTTGGATTACATGGAAGTTTTAGTGAAAAACGGGGAAACTTTTTCGCCAAAATTTCGAATGCTGTCTCCCATTCATTATTCAGATAGGTAAAGAGAAAGGCTAAAAATTGTCGCAAGATTTGTGGAGAAGAATTATTTTCTACTTCGTGCCGTTGGATACTAGGGTCACTTTTTGAACTGATACATAAAAATGAACATGTTAAATATTAGTTAAATCTGATTCTTCTTAAATCTCAGAATTTCATATTTCCGTTTAAATGAATAACATTACCCACTCATATTGTTCCTGTAATTATTTAAACATGAACATGTTAAGCAGAAAGTCGTATTTGTATAAATACAGACAGAAGTTTGCTTTTTATAACTTTTGAAACGTAGAAAACTTTCCAGGATAATGTAAACATCTGGAAACGGTTCTATTCCGATCATTTTTCTTAAATCTGTACCACCCATCCAAATCTGGAATCGTCTGCGCAACAATTTTTGACTTATCTCTTAATTTCCGACACAGTTTGCACCACCCATCCGTCCCCTGCACCCGATAATATTTCTTCCACCAGAAATACTTCACATACTCCTCCTCATTCCTGTCCACAGAATATAGATTCTACCAGAAGAATCGATCTTATGTATTCGAGTGACGCTTATGGAAGAACGGGGAGAGCCAACCAAATAACTCGGTGTACATTTGGCCCACCTCGGGGATGGCACCTCCGCATCACCATCATCGCCACATCTCCTGGCATCAATAAATGATGATGAAAGCACATAGGTGGCGCTGGCACCCCCATTTGTGCACCGGAACACACCATTCTGAGCTGCGTCTCCACAAATTTGGTGCTCTACGAGGGTGTGTTCTGGTGCACAAATGGGGGTGCCACCGCCACCTATGTGCTTTCATCATCATTTTTGATGCCAGGAGATGTGGTGATGATGATGATGCGGAGGTGCCATCCCCCAGGTGGGCCAAATGTACACCGAGTTATTTGGTTGGCTCTCCCCGTTCTTCCATAAGCGTCACTCGAATACATAAGATCGATTCTTCTGGTTGAATCTATATTCTGTGATTCCTGTCCAGGTAGATCAAATACTCGGCGAGTTTTCCCACGCTGGTAAAATCCCTCACGTCAATGTGCGAGTGTCTGGGAGAAATGCGGGCATAATCTCCTCCGCCAAATACGACTGGAATAATTGTGCGATTTAGCATAAAGAAAAATTTTTCTGTGATGTAATCATCGCAAAATGAATTTTCAAAGGAGAGGTAAAATTTGTAATTTTCCTCGATAAGCTTAAAACACATGTCTGTCTCTCGAGGACACGTGTAGTTCCCGCATCCACCAAATATATCAATGTCCAAAAATTGTCGTAGTTCCTCCACAAGATTTTCACGCTTGCCGTCCGTCTCACAGTGAGTGACGACCCATGCAGCTAATTTGGTTTTCTTCCTTGTAAACTCAATCCAATTTGAATAATCTGAATTGATTAGTTGTCTACTCATACGGTCCTGTGTGGCATCTTCGTCCACAATGACACCATATGGGTACACAACGTCAGAATCGGTTCGATACGTCATTGTCCAGTTGAATAGGTTGGCGTAAGGGGTCAAATCTTCCTCGATATAAACTGGAGATTCACGATTGAGGTAGACCCAGACTTGATCCTCGTGCCGGTTTTTTGGCATGTCATTTCTGAAAAGGATTTATTTCTTCACTTTATGTACATATGTATGCAATAGTAACCCTAATTTAAAACCGGCTCAGCCTTTCCTCTTTTTTATTTCCACTTCCAATCTCACAAATGAAAATAAATTGGTCAGGGGGCACGTGACTAACTTTCTAAGGAAAATAAACCAGAGATCCACACCGGCTAATGTTCGGCGTCATATGCATATACATAAAATCGGCGGCGTCTATCGCTATACTCTGTTTACAGCGTCCCTAATCTATGTATGCCTAATTAGAAATACTAGGAAATTGTTGATATAAAATCTGTACGATAATATCGAATAGTTAGGAATTATGTAAATTCATACCATGAAATTTTAAATAATTTGCTTTGAATAACTTTCAAATAACAGAATCTATTGCGCACACTGCAAAAACGCCCATTAATATTTCAGTACGGACGTATCGAAAATCGCATTGCGAGCCATCCGTACTTACATTAGAATACATTAGCACTTGCACGGAGTGTGATTGTACTTCGGTTAAGTACGGATGGGTCGCAATCAGGGTTGCAGAAATCTCATCTCACCTTCATAAATCTCATCTCACTGAGATATAATGAGAAATAGTGAGACATGAGAAATATGAGATATAGTGAGATTTATGAGTCATGCACTAGCGCCACCTAGCGGACGTGGTCATCAACTACAAGTTTATCTCATTATTTCTCATATTTCTCACTCAGCCCCAAGTGAGATGATTGATATATATCATTAAATCTCACTAAATCTCACTCAGTGATATATATCACTTGTAACCCTGGTCGCAATGCGATTTTTAATACGTCCGTACTGAAACACCAATGGGCGTTTTTGCAGTGCAGGCGTAACGAAAACTTAATAGATTTCTGAAATACAAAAAAACTGAAGCCGTACATTCTCATACCTGATGAATGGAATACTACTGCGGAAGTAGAGTTTAAGAGGGATCGATCCGAGGTAATATGACATTCACCTAGGCAACTCTTATCCGCATCTCCTAATATGTTAAGCGGGTCCCTATGAGGATAATATGCCCAGAGCAGGACTGTTGGCGAGGTTTCATTGAATGTCCAGTTAGTTATGGTGGAATTTTTCGTCACGTGATAATTAGAACGTTCTTGTTCCTCATTCTTTGAGGACAGCGCAATTCCGAAGCATTCTGCAGGTCCTGCGTGGACCGGTACGCTTGCCTTGTTTATTATTCTCGTTTGGAATTTATACGTCCAAGTACCGAAGTATAAGTACACACCGAACAATAATAATATGAAGCTGTATAAAAAAACTAGTTGTACGCGACATCCTTGGAAATGATTGCCTTGAATAAGAAAAATAATATTGATAAGTATGTACTTATGTGAAAATAATAACTATCAAGTTAGTATCAATGTTGATATAATAAAATATTGACCATACTCATGTCAACGTCTTCAACAATTTGCTTGTGAAACAAATTTGTGCCAAATATAAGTATGTAAACATGTCAATTTTGGGGAAAATTTTGCGGAGAAAAATTCTCTGATTTTTCTGCCGAGAGTTTTGAAAAATTTTGCAAATATTCTGCTGAGTAGACGAAAATCTTCAGGGTCTGAGGTAACAGAAGTGCTGCTTATTATTTTAATTTTGCATTACACTCTTAGAAATCTGGTATTTAATAATTGCCGATCAGAGTACATACACATGTGTACGAATCTATCTGCATCGTAATAACGCATTACGGTTCAGTAATGTTGTAGTATTGAAAAATTTACTACTCAGAAACAGACAATTATCAGTATCCGGTAGGAAGTTAGTTCATACCAAATCGATACCAGTACGGAGAATATTGACAAATATGTACCTATGTGACTTTACCAGATTTTGAAATTGTAGGAATACGATACGATAGGATATGATTAGTCCTAGATTGTAGTATTAAACTATTTGTTAAACGTGGCATGTTGTTTTAAATACGTAGCTCAAAGGTAAATACCTACATTTTTCATATTGATGTAAATATTTGAATGCTTTGAGTGGTATTCAAATAAAAGAATATAAGTATTGAATTTGTGTTAAGCATGTAAGCATGCGTAAGTGGTGCACTTACCTATGTAAATAAATACTGGCATTTTTGTTAATGTATTTAAATATTAAATTGCTTAAATACTTGAACCTATTTATTTAGTAAATTGTATTTACATTGCAACCTTTGTAATGATAATGCATATGCGACATTACCATTCCAAAGGTCAAGGGATTCAACTACATAGATTTAGTTTCATATGCAGAGTGTTATATGTATGTATCAACTCGCCTCTCATGGTTAATCAAACACATGTAGGTGAAGTTTCAAGTTTGATCAGGCCCCATACCTCGGGTATTGCCTTATCCTTAACTTTTCTTTGATAGATAAGATAATCAACTATCTTTCTATAGTTCTATCAAAGTAAAAGTTGAGGAAGGTCGAAGTATGAGGTGTAAGGTCAATAAAAAGGTAGGAAAACTAGGGATCCATGATAAGATTCGACCGTATAGATGCGCTCGTGACCTTTTCTCAAATAACTTCTTGAAGAAGTGATAATCAGCTATCACTTTAGGTACCTGCAAGAAGTTTAGGTCAGAAAAGTCGATACCGAACGTATACGGTCCCTCAGAACATAAAAAATTAGAATTCGTGACGTAGTAAGCAACTCTTCACGAAGGGGAGAATAAGATAGGGAAGAGGGTGGTAACAGCGCTACAAGCACTGCTACGTCATAGATACACATATATAGAGTAAGCAGAGATGAAAAGAGAGGAGGGTAGTTTTAGACACGAATGAAGAAGGTCTAATTTAGCAACCATCAAGGTTACATATTTTTAAGTTTCCTAAAGTAGAATAAGTTCCCGTCTAGATAAGGTGTAAAATACATAATAGCCATAAGCTCTCCCACGTATTTAATAATACTAGCATTTCGGTAATCAATATTTTTCAGTCGGTATTGATATTAATAAATATATTTTATAATCCTTCTAAAAAAGTGAACTTCTACATAATTATTCGCACAAAAGTCACAAAATAAGGGACATCCACGAAAGTGGGTGTGGACAGGGACACGCAAACCCCACAGTTAGAACAGGGGGCGTTACAACATAGTAGTACAAACTAATAGAGTCTGAATTATCGGTCGGTCCCTAAATTATGTCACGCGAGATGTGGTAGGGAGGGTTCAAGGCTCCAATGATATCGTGCCTATGTGACACATGTTAAAGGGGGAAGGGGGGTCTAGAAAATCACCATTTTTGGGTGACATAATTTATGGATATCCCCTTCCTCATAATTCACTCTCTCGCCGATACATTCTTCCTCTCCACCGATAACAATGCGGACACCGTATAACTCAAAATGACCCCGTAATACGTCAACTTTGTCGACCTCTGACAGATGTAAATATTGTACCCATTAATCCCCCCGTAAAATCTGAGCACCCTTATCGCTCTTAACCTCCTCGTCAAATACTTCTTGTCCACACTCCTCCCCACCAAATATTTCCACCTGGCATACATTTCCCCACAATTTTCATACACGTCCACCAGCATGGGAAACATGACCCCGATCAGAACCACGACTAGGACTGACGCCGTCGGAAAGAAGGCGAAGAATGGGAGAGGAACGGTCTCGTACATTTTCAACGTTACAAAATTCACCAAAACGGACATCACGATTGCGAGGAACATAGAAATTGAAGTTACCGCCGCCGTGAACTCGACCGTTCCTGCCATGATGATTTGAACAGTTTGATACGTGTTGAGATAAATGTCAATGACAGATCGGGAAATTCCTGACATACGAACGTTTTTTGTGGCTTTGGATAAGATGGAGATAAGCGTGAGGATTAAATGGGTAGCAAGCGTGGTCGCGACCGTGAAGAAGGACAGGAGGCGATTTCCTTGAATGAGTGGGGCCACGACGGAGAAACGGAGGGCTGTAAGGGCATAGGTCACTGGGGGTGGGGCTAGGTTGGAGGGGATGAGGAGATTGTGTAAGGTTTGGGTGAAGGGGTCCAGCCCAAAGTAGGCGATGAAGGGGTACATGAAATATGGGATGATGGCAAACGTAGCAACCGTGAGGTTCAAGATTATCCCGAGGGGGTCGAGTTGTGGGGGAAATTCGGTAAAAATATGACCGAAACCTGCAATAAGAGAAATGTGTAAAAATACAAAGTTTACTATCAAACGTTACGTTGTTAACATTATGTTAATAACATCTGTCGTTTATTAGAAAAGCTCGCCAAAAAACAAGTTAATAATTGGCAAATTCGCTTCAATCTTAGCATATCTTGCCAATTGATTATTGATAGTTAGCAAATGCTTTTTCAGATTTGCGAAATTTGCGAAATCATATTTTGCGAATCTCGTAACGACAAAAACTTTTCAGCTAGTTGCAAGTTTGCTAAATGAGTTGTGCTGCGAAATAAATCTTTATCGTAATCAGTGGGCGTGGAAGCCGTGGGGACATCTGGGAACATTAACATTGTGGGATAGGGGAGGGATAGGTTTCTAACATGGGCAGATGATGCCGACCGTGGGGACATTGTTCCTCTGTCCCCTCAAGGTTCCGCGACCACTGATCGTGAGTGCACTCAATGTATGTACACTAACATATTTGATTAGAACTTTCGATGGCAATATTTTCGATTTTAGACTGAAATGTTTTGAAAATTTGATATTATCTGAAATAAATACCGTTTTTTCTAAATTTCGTAAAACTTTTGGGAAGATACATACATAAACTCACCTAATTTCTTCACTTGAAGTACACACTCATTGAACAAATGTGAACAACTTTCTGCATAAAAGAGAAACACAATCTCCAACAAAATTGCAAACATGGCTAAACACAAGAATACCATGGTCAGGACAATGTTCGAAAATTCAAGTCGTGCCACTCCAAACAGTTGACAACCAAGTAGCACAGCGCAGAAAATAAAGATGCTCCCCATTCCCCCAAAGACGGATAGAATCCATGGAATCAATTTCATGGAAATTCTGATGTACGTCAATTTCCCAGATTTTTTGTCCCATTCAAGTGGACATGGGTACAGATAGGAAAACGAGGTACCAAAATTGTCTAACGACTTCAACATGAGCCGAGTTACGACCATTGTTACAAGCAATTTGCAACAAATTTTTACAGATTTTTGTTTCCAGGGAGGAATTTGAGCAAAATCTAAGACTTTAATATTTCATCCTTTGCACAAGAAATATTCACTATCTTACAACCATAATTATTTTAATCAGTGTTCTTTAAATCGTGCTTGGCAAGTTTTAAGGAAAACTGCGAATAGTTTGGTGGAACGATGTGATATCGGAAACTCTTCTGAGGAGAGGATGTATGTAAGTACTTAATCGAATTTTGGTATGAATGCTGGTAAATTACTGCAATACCGAAATCTCGCAATGGTAAAATTTTCGAGATTAAATCATCCCATACTTTTGAGTATTTATCCTTAGTTCGAAATGTAGTATGACAATTGCAGGAATCCACTTTTCTCTAATTACCTATGTAGAAAGTATTTATTACGATACGGTATAATTATACCAATGCAAATTGGCCATACCTCGCAATTTTATTGCACAATCTCAGGAGCATCGTATTTAGCTTGTGTGTGCATATGTACATATGTACGTATATATGTACATGTGTATAAATATACTTCATTGTGTTCAGAAGGTGCATCCTGCACCGTCCAAGGATACATATTTTCATTTTTATTATCCTCTAATTGTCATTTAAACTCAGAAATAAACCGTAGCAACAAACGTAGCGATAGGGTGAAACGAGTAATTCCCCCAAAAATTATGTGACCACACCACTTGACCTCGGGGGGCGGGAGTGGTCTGGTACACCTAAATGTTGATAGGATCCTTCCCCTGGGGTCATAAATATGCATGATGCCGTAAATATATCTCGATTATCTCGATCCGTTGTCCCGTAATCCTGCTGACAAACAGACGGACAGACAGACAAAGATTTTGCTTAATAGGGTTTCACCCAATAATAAGTTATGCATTAAAATTTGTTCCTGGCCAACTTGCAATAAACAAAAGCGCAAGCATAACATATGTACACATACATATATGGCCTAATTAAATAGTGAATTTTTAATTCAATACGTATTAAAGACCACTAACGGGCAGACATGACTTGTCTGGTTTCATTTTTGTGTAGTCAGATGTATATACATATGCATTTATTTATGTACACATTAACTAATTTGTGGCCTGACCGGAACACTATTAGTCAAATTGGATATAATTGCGCAACATTTATTTTAAGGTAAATTTTTACATTTTGTAACCTTAACAAAATTAGAGAAATTAATTAATTAATTAGGTAAATATAAGATTATTGCATTTAGGTAGTTAAAGTGATCGATAGTAAATCTACACTCTTAGGATTAGGCAACTGGTACGGAATTATTACGAATGATTATGGATATGGACGGAATATGTACATATATGACTCTACCGACTCTACCGGTAATATTGATAGTTATGGCGTAGTTATGAGGTGGTAATGAAATCTGTACCATTCAGAACCAAACTATAACGAATCCGGTAAGGAATTATTACCAATTCAATACCAGCACGGAGTACATATGACTGCACGGAGTACATATGATAGTGCATGTGACTCTACCGGATGGGTTACAGTGTACATATGCAAAAGTACGTATTTATATAATACATAGCTGACAAACTACACGTACATACATATAAACTATTCCCCATGAAATATATATAAATATGTATATTTTCTGCAATTTTATTTCAGGAAACTGATGAGTGTAGAGTTCTACGATACAACCCCTGACCGTGACCGTGGTTGTATTTGCATATGCTCCAAGCAAGGGTCTACTAGGCAAGGAATATTACTAGACACGCATGCTTCTTAATACATATGTATGGTCCCGATGATTATATAGCTTTGATAAATTACTTTTAATCTATCCTGGTCCTTATAAAAGTAACGTCATCTAACACGAGTCCATTTTACTTAGCTTTTTAAGAATTTTGAGAACAACATATTTATCACCGTAGAATGATAAGAAAGCTTGTTTTTCCATCTCGTGCTAATTTTAACCAGGTGAATTAACCACCTTATCCGTTTTCATGGAGGATAAACTATGATTGATCTCCTTAAATGAGAGCACAAACCGTAAACATGCGTCACGTTCAGACCAAACTTGTCACACGATCAATCAACCCAAGCATTGTTTCTGTTTTTACAGTGTGTGCCAAATTTTTTTCAGCAGAGGTTCGACTGATTATTAGTGATTGTATATATGTAGAAATTGTGTAATAGGTATTTTTCTGACATCTCATTGAGTAAATGACTTTACAGTAGGTATTCAACCACTCTGGGAAAACAGAGTGCCAAACAACTATCTACTAAGAAATGAATTATTATTTACTTGTGGTCTCCATTCTATGGTTTGTGACCTACTCTTCGGGTCAAGATGGTAAGTTATTTGACATTTTGTAAAACATGTAGCGAAAAATATAAATCTTCAACCAAAATTAATTGTCAAAATTAAAAAAATAAGTAATATGCAGAAACTCAATTTTTATTTATTTGAATAATGCATAATTGTGTACTATTCTCCTGACGAATCAGACTAGCGATTTGTGAAATCGACAAAAACTTAATTTTTTTAATCGTGTAAATTTAGTTGTAAAAAAATATGTTGCAGTTTCATAGAATAATTTTACAAAATTTTACAAAATAAATGATGCCCTAAATTTATAAAAAAAATTAAGCAAATTTTAGTTACCGATATTTGTAAAATTTACTAAGATTTTGTAAGCTTAGAGACTTAACGGATTTTACAAAGTTACCAAGGCCTGCGTGAATTTTGTCATTGTTTCGTGAATTATCTATTTTCCAGCCTGGCAACTCGGCCCCTTCATTAAGCAAGACGACGTAAATCCAACCCTCCATCCACGCAATGACACCTTCTTCCTTTGCCCCATTCAGGGCAGACCCATCGCCTGGGAAGAAAAAGATGTCTTCAATCCAACCGCGCTGGTTCGAAAATAAAAATCATTCTATCAAAAAATTCATAAATTTCCTAACCTCCCCCCCCCCAATCTCAAGGTGAAAGACGGCCTCCTCCACCTCCTCTATCGCGCTGAGGACACCGTCGGCACCCACTTCGGCACGTCCCGCATCGGGCTCGCCATATCCACCGATGGTCTCACCTTCACCCGGCTGACGACACCCATCTTCTATCCCGCCGACGATGCCGCCCTCCCCGCCGAATGGGACGGCGGGTGTGAAGACCCGCGAATCGTGGAATCCCCCACGGGCACCTACTTCATGACCTACACCGCCTACAATGGCGACATGGCGCGACTCTTTGTCGCCTCATCCCCCGATCTCCTCACCTGGACGAAGCACGGTCCCGCCTTTGGTCCGCAGTATGTCAACATGTCGTCCAAGGCGGGCGCCATCGTGACACGCTTGGTCGGCGAGAGATTCGTGGCGGAAAGAATTAACGGTTTTTACTGGATGTACTTCGGCGACACGAACGCTTTCATAGCGACGTCCAGCGACCTGATCAGCTGGTCACCGCTGACAAGTCCGGATGGAGATCCGGACAAGTACAATTTGACCATGGTGCTCCGTCCAAGACCCGGGTATTTTGATTCCCGCTTGAACGAACCCGGTCCACAAGCCGTCATTCGGGACGGGGTGGACGGGATCTTGCTAATTTACAATGGAATGAACTACAACGAGACGATGGGCGGGGATCCGAACATTCCGGAGGATACGTATTCCGCGGGGCAAGCGCTGTTTAACGCGAGCAACCCGATACAGCTGATCAGTCGGACGGAGGAGTACTTCATGACGCCGGATAAACCGTACGAGGAGGTCGGACAGGTGGGAAATGTGGTGTTTTTGGAGGGCTTGGTGAGGTATAAGGGTGCCTGGTTTCTCTACTATGGAACGGCAGACTCGAAAATTGCGGTGGCTAAGACAGACGCTTAAAGGGAGAATGTGGCATATGTATGACATGTTAAACCTGAAGTAATAAAAAAATGCGTACTAATTTGATACAAATCTTGATTGAAGTTGATCTGGTACTTTTCCTTGTCCATGTACAATCTTGCCCCAATCTGTCGTATCTTTTACAAGGTGGTCACCAAAATTGTATTGAGCTAAACATTTATAAAAAAGTCAATAACGCTTCTTACCTTTGTTCTGTGAGACGGTGCACATATTTACATATGTACCTATCATTATTCATACAAAGTTCATATATTACTAAATTTACATGCATACTACACTCTTGGAAATCCCGTATTAAAATAATACGAAACGATATTCATAATATTTGTAGCTCTAACAAAGTGGTATTGATACATAAGGAATGCCGTGCAGCAATAGCTCGTTATTAAAGTTTTATCATTTGGTAGCAAATTTTTACGGACCGGTAGAATTTTAATACCAAGTGGTAGCAAGTTTATTTCCAAGAAATTAATACCTGTGTAACTATACCAGGTTTCTATTTCTGACAGTGCAACTAACTTCATTCATGACTTCATTCATTCCATGACAATAAATGAATATGTAGCAATAAGTAAACGGTACGTGACATATTTTACATACAAAGAACCAACATATGTACGCACAAACCTACATATGTAAAACTTGAAAGTGCATAATGTTTACCTACGTCAAAGAAGTACTTGGACTGTTGGACCGTTAATACAAAAAATTAGCAAAGCATGTGTAAATGTCATTAACTCTCTAAATGAGCATGAATTGCATACATATTTACATACATACATACGTAAATCTGCAATGGAACTGTCTCATCAATATCCAACGTAAACCAGAAATAATCCCAAAATTAATTTACAGGCGACGTTCAACATCGAATTCAAACCGACGTGAGCATTATCTCAATTCAATTAAAACGATGTTCGTCATTTTGTCACGCAGTCAGACTAATCAACTCTTCTTCACCATCATCATAACCTTATTAAAATATCCATGCGCCCATTCGCTTATCTGCATATTGCATTTAATCCCCACCATCCCGACTGGCTCCCGATCAATTGTTATTTACGTAAATGCGTCAACCCAACCATTCGATTCCCATTATCCAGTGTAAATAGTAAGCTGATAAGTAATAAATATAATTGATTGCGGAATGATGTCGTGCTGAGCTCAACATCAGGGTTGACCACACAATTTGTCACAAATCATAATGTGTTTTTTCCAATGTGTAAATTGCTCAATTAAGAGAATTTAGAATGACGTTAAGGCATTTTCAGGTACATATATGCAATTTTAAGTGCATATTTTATTCAGCCACGAGTAGAAAAATGTTTTTCATGGAAATTTCTACATGGATTTTTTGCAAATTAAAGTTTTTAATCTTATCAACCCGATAACCCTTGGAAACCCTGTTCGATTCCTGCGTCAATCCTACAAATTCCACCGATAACAACGTCAATCAATCAAGCTCATCGATACATTTTCAAAGAATTATTTCGTTGTGTAATAAACCCACTGGTATAAAACCAGACAACGATCCACATTCTAAACCAGTCTGCAAGACGACCTCATTTACATACGTAAGTTGCAAAAATATTGCAAACAAAAATGCAGAAATCGTTCCTTTCCGCCTTGCTGTTATCCGCCCTTTGCGCGGTCACCATCTCAGTCCCCGTCAATGAGAATGCGCCCAAAGCTGCGACCCCGTGCGATCCGAGCGTCTGTGTGGCGCCAGCTTGTCGATGCAGCTCGCAAGAACCACCAGGGGGATTATTCGGACCTAATTTGCCACAGGTGAGAAAAGTTGAAATTTATCAAATTTGCATTACTTCTTACACTCTTAGAAATCCGATATTAAAATAATACCAAGCAGTATTCATATATGACTCCACCAAAGTAGTGTATTGATACCGGGTAGAAATAGCTCAATATTAAAGTTTTGTGGACCTGAATAATTTTAATACCACGCGGTAGAAACTCTAATACCGAGAAATTAAATAATATCTGTGCGACTATTTACACCAGATTTCTAACAATTTAGAAATTGCAAATTATGTGCATACAAATCTCAATTCAAATTACTAGACATATAGCCTTAACCTAATAAAATTACGCAACTAATTTGCAAACTTTTTTGCACAGATGGTCTTCCTCACATTTGATGACGCCATTACCATCACAAATCATCCGTTTTATGAGGAAATCCTATTTCCCAATGGCGTCCCTCGTCTGAATCCAAACAATGCTCCGGCCACAGCCACGTTCTTCATTTCCCATGAGTACACCAATTACTCGTTAGTTCACGACTTGTGGGTTCGAGGTGAGAAATTGACACCATGCAAAAAAAAATATTTCTAATTTAATAAAACGTATTGCTTTTCAGGTCACGATATCGCGCTCCACAGCATCACGCACGTGTCCGACACGGGATACTGGGCCAACTTGAATGAAGCCGGTTGGGCCGCAGAGCTCGCCCAACAGCGCGAACAACTCGCTCGTTTCGCTCAAGTTCCAATAGAATATGTAAGTGATCAGATTTAAGCAGTGTTTCGGGTGCAAGTAACCAATTGTTAGAAATAACTGCAAGAAAGTGGTATCCTGTAGCTATTATTTTCACCTACAAGAAATGCAAGGCGTAAGGAACTACTTCCCGCCACAATACTTTATTCGGCGCGTCGCCAGATGGCGCAAATTTCTTGAGCTTTCTTGCACTTTCCAACGCAAACAATGCGGCAAATCTGCCAGAAACAAAACACTGGATTTAACTATAATTTCAATTCTTCAAGTAAAATCATTGTCTCAATTTACCCCCGCAGATTAAAGGCATGCGCGCTCCATTCCTCCAAGTCGGCGGGGACGCTATGTACTCTGCCCTGGTTAATGGTGGCTTTTTATGGGAATGTTCCCGCCCAACGCAAAACCAGCGACGCCCAGGACTCTGGCCGTACACGGCAGATTTCGAATCTACCCAGGACTGTCAGATTCCCACCTGCCCGGTGGAAGCGTACCCGGGATTTTGGGTCTTTCCCATGATCGATATGATTGGCGATGATGTCTTCCCATGTGCCATGTTGGATGAGTGTACACCACTGTGAGCTCTTTTAACCTCTTTCAACTTTATTTATCTCGATTAAAATTTCCGTTGAGTACGATATTGAATTCATAACTACATCTGGTAGCAACCAATTAAATTTCCATGATTTTCTGTAAAAACCCAATATTTATTTCAACTAGTTTCCAAGTTTTGAATTTTTTGGCGAAAATCACGTAAACCCTACTTTTTAGCCCGAGTCAGGGCTTATGTACCCGTCATGTCCGTCTGTCTGTCTGTCTGTCCGTCTGTCTGTCTGTCTGGTTTGCGATAACTGCCGTTAAGCTAATCCAATCGACTTGAGATTTGGCACAAATGTAGTATGGGTCAAATGAGGAGTTAAGTTCGAAGATGGGCGAAATCGGTCAAGTGGTTGACCGGTGGGGGTCATATAGGTGGGAGGGGTATTATGCATCAAAATTTCAAAATTGCCGGAGAAAGCTGAAATTTGGTGCCGAGGTTGATAATGGTTTCTAATGAAGGAATGCAAAGCAAAATTCCAAAAATTTTCATGTGGAGGGACCCTAGGGGGTGACCCATACCGATTATTAAAACGTATCCAATCGAGTTGAAATCTGGTACATAGGTTGTTAATGACTACCAATAGAAGAATATGAATTGAAATTGGACACATTTTCACCTGGACAAACCCTATGGGGTGACCCATACCAATTTTTCAAATTCGTCAAATCGAGCTGAAATTTGGTAGACACGTTGGTAATAGCTCCTAATGAAGTAAAATTTTTAAAAAAATTTCAGCTGGAGGACCTTATATAAGGTCCTCCTGACTAGGCCTAGTCACCCGCGTGGCTGGAATTTGCATATGTTGCGTCTAATATTACTAGGATAATATCCTGAGAGTTTTAGGAAGAACAATACACTCGTTTCAAAGTTATGGTCATGGTCAATACTGGTGACCAGCGAGAAAAATAAAGGCTCTTAATTGAGAATTCGAAGTTTTAAAAATTTTAATTTGAAAACAGATTTACGCCTGACTCGGGCTATATCAAGTCTGCACTGTAGGTTTATTAACATTGGTCGGCATAGGAAAAATTCCAGAATGTGTGAAGAAAAATATCCAAAAAAGTCAACTTTTTACCATCGAGTTTTCCACAAAATACCAAAGAAACACTCGGATTTTAAGAAATTTTGAGAATTCTGCATTTTTTTAAAATACGTCATATGACGTATTTAAGTGAAAAGAGGTTAATTTAACTCCTGCCGTTTTTGTTTTAACTAATAATGTAATTTTTACCCCACAAATTACAGTCCTAAGACGCAAGCAGCCATGTACAACTTGCTCCTGCGAAACTTTAATGACCAGTATACCGCAGGCAACAACAGGGCGCCATTTGGCATCTTCACCCACGCCGCCCTGCTCGTCGGACCGGACAATATCCCAGAGTTTGGCGAGAGGAAGCGAGGCTACATTCAGTAAGTGGAAAATCTAATAGAATTTTATTTCTTGTGCGTTTTTTCCACATTTCTTGTAAGAAATGCACGAAATAGGCGGTCACCCTTTGCACTTTACTTAATACCGTTGAGCCAATATTTTGTAATAGTCTTAATTCCTTGGAAACTTTTCTGAGAGGTTATTTGCTTTCTGGAAAACAATCTGCCAGAAAACCTTTCAGATTTTTTGATAATGGTTGAACCATAATTGCAGAGATTGTCCTCTAAATGGACTCATTTTTTGCGTTTTTTGCACAAGTGCAAGAAATTTTGACCGCAAAAAAATAAATATTTTCTTTCATGGCAAACAGAATATTCCGGTGACCTAAATTCTGCGACCTTGATCTTGACCTTGACCTTAACTATGGTTTCCATTATTTTTCTTGCTTAGATTCTTGGACTATCTGACCAGTCTTCCGGATGTTTATATCGTCGGTATTTCCCAAGCCATGGAGTGGATGAAGCAACCAACGGGTATTGCCGATATTGACACATTCCAGCCCTGGAAAGAAGATGTCAACCGACCAAGACAGTGCATATTCCCGAGGAACTGCAGATACGAGAACTCCACGTGGGAACGGTATGCAAATTTAATTATTTAAGAAAACCCATGAAATTATGGGATGGTTAATTTTTTTATTTATGAATTTTCATGTAGATTCATGTCGTCTTGTTACCCCTGCCCACAAAGCTACCCATGGTTAGGAAATCCGATGGGAACTCTGCTCCAATTCGACGAGTAAATATTTTTATTGGCGGATTAACACTGCATAAATTTAACTGGATTTTATTACTGGTCTGCGATTGATCATTCTAAATAAATTAATACGTAAAAAATAAAGTATTTCATACATACATATGTAACCAAATTGTACCATTTTTTGCATTTATGCCTCACATCCCGTGAAGAAATGAGAATTTTGGCATGTTACGTTTGTAATACATTTGTTCCTTTATCAGTACTAGTGCTAATTTTAAATATATGTCTCGATTTTAATGATTCCATCATCAGGTTTAACCGAAATTATTGTAAGCGGAGTATGCCGGTTATCGTAGCATTAGCATCTTTTAGACCTTAGTGTTTAATATACATACGAAGGTACAACTGTCATAAATGGGTAGGTAGCAAGCAGATATTAAGATTTATTATTCGTTAGAAGTATGAATTGTATCGCAGAGAATATCTATGTACATATGTACATAAATGGCTGCTTTAGTTGTCTGCATTTTCATGAATTTTCACGAGTTCAACTTGCATTATTCAGCTATTGCATAACAATAATATTTGTGGGACGGACAATTTTCCTCTCTTGTGAGAAAGCATGTTAAAAGGGGGCAAAATTTACATTTCTCTGTCCCACAAAGATTTTTACTGTGCAATATTCTAGTTCGACGTCTTCCTTTTTTTGTTTGCAAAACGTCCGTACATATGTACGTTTTGTATTTTTTAATTACAGAAGGATGCATTTTTATAAAGTAATGTTCATCTATGTAAAAATATGTGTTGTTGCAACTACTTGATAAATATATATGTAAATACATAGTGAGTCACAGGATATAAAACATGTCTAAAAGTTGGGTACATGAGTTTATTCAATGGAGTGTAGAAATGTGAATACTTCAGTACATACATATGTATATTACTGTATCATTATATTACTATATCATTATTAATTAATTAATTAATTAATTAATTATTTAGTTAAGTAATATCTGGGTGTACATGTGCATTTACTTATTAAGTGCATACATATCTGGCCACGTAATCTTTCACACTCGTTCGTGATATCACAGTCTATATCGTATACAAATTTAGTCGACTCGACTGTGCATAATAAAGAAATAAGTGCATGCATACTTATGTATGTAAATAAATATAAATTTGCATGCATCTGCAGTCAGTCACATTGTTACCCTGTGGTTAAAAAATTCATGATAAGAATTAAAACAAAACAGTCAAGTATATAAATAGGCACATATTTAAGTCTCAATAACATTTTTATATTCAAAAAATTGAAAATATATACGTACACATATTGCTGTTTTATCGTAATATTTGTCTAAATACATCTACAAGTAACTAATTCTAATAGTTATATAAGTATCTCATCGTACAAAAATCAATCAGACCCTGTTTGGCAGTGGTCGAATATTAGAACACAATTCGGTATATATTTAAGTAGTTTTTGAGTATTAAGAATTAATTGAGATATTTTCTACACTTTCTGGACGCACAGGCACAAGGAATTTTGTCCACTTCCTTCTCAAACTTGTAGTCATACGTGAGTTCCTCACCGCTAAATATTTTACGCAGTGCTAAAATTACGATCCGTTCGGTCCCCGACATTCGGAGCGATTTGGACTCGCAGTTTGGCTGAAAATGAAATCGAAAGCATAAAATATTTAATTACACGTGACAAAATTTAATTTTTCGTACAAATTAAATACTTACATCGCAGGAATGGTTAATAAATCGGGCAGCATTTCCTTTCATGGTGGCGTCGATAATGTATTCGTCATCGATCCGGAACATATAGCAGCCAATTCCCTTCGTCTCGTAAAACTTTTCCCGTTGATCACAAACTGGGGAGCGAATTACCTAGAAAAATCATGCAGAAGTGTTTTAGATTTTGCCAATGTCGAACCCCAAGAAAATTGCATATGTATGTATTTACAAATCTGGCAAAATTTCACAGGTTGTGACTTCTCAGAATTAAAGTTGCTACCGCTTGGTATTAAAATTATACCATTTATACCGCTCGCTAAAAATTTGCTACCGATATCGCAAAACTTTAGTTACATATTACTAAATAAATACACGGTATTACTTATCAATACCACGGCGGTAGAATAATAAACATATGAATCCCGCTTGGTATTATTTTAATACCGGATTTCTAAGCGAGTATATGTACACATTTTTGTATACTTACTTCTCCAGCATATTCGATAATTATGTCCCCCTTGTCAATATCCCTCCGCGTGTAGAGTCCCCTCCCATGAATTATCGACCACATGACGACCAACGTATTTTCTGTCCGTTCCTTCAAATTACGGTATCGTTGCGTTAACGGGAGTCCGATAGGTTTCCAAATTTCCTCCCCCATCCTTCATTTAAAAAACTCAAGGGACTTAATTTTTGCATTTTAAATATTTTCAAGAATATTTCTGGGAAACTTACGAGGGCATTTTTTCCAACGGTTTTCTATGTTTCGAAGCCAGCCAGCCAAACATGTCGAAGGCTTTTCGTCCCGTGTACCCCTCCGTCCGAGCACAACCAGATTCATTTACGGCGTCCACTCCACTTTCTTGGTCAGGCTCGATCTCCTTCCTGAGGGGAAGCCCTTTGAAGGGTGTCTCCTTATCTGGTGGGGGCAAATGGTTCAGCAAGAACTGGACGGCACGATGCGTCAGGCCGAGAACGTTGAACATGTGCACTGAAATTGACGTGGTAAGAATTATTTATCATGATGATGTATTTACTTAACGTAAGACACATGCAATGATTCATCATAAAGATCGTCATAGGCGACACATTTCTAGTAATTTATCGGCTCCGGGAATTTATTTTAAAATTCTGAATGACAAATTTGTAGTCAATCGCTTGATTAATAGAATGATTTTTTTAAATTAAGATAGCCAGTTTCGATGAGTTCCAATTTTTCTGAAGGCTTCCTAGTTCCTAGACTCAAAATTTTGAGTGCATATTTAAAAAAATTACAACGGACTGCTGTAAAAATTTGTCACCCAGAATTTTAAAATTAATTGCCAGAGCGGAGAAATGATTAGGAGTGTGCTGGTTTTGGCGATAAGTCGTATGATAGTTATAGATTGAGCTGATAATAAGTACCAAGAGACACGGTGGTCGCGGGATAGGAAATGGGTGGAAGGTTCCTCTTGAGCCGAATGCCTTGTGCAGTTTCAAAAATTTGACACCAAATCGCCCTAACATCGCTCGATCGGAATATGAGAGTGCTCCCATGGGACACTTCGTACACGATGACGGCTCGATAAGCCTAAAATCCAAATTTTAATGAGCAAGTGTTCTAATAATAATGACCGACAAAAAATAATTGAGTAGCTTAACCACCCACTTACCAATTTTGGAGTCTCCCCATGCACCGCATAATTTACTGGAATACTAGGAATAACTGAGCTTGCTCCTTCTCCATCCTCCGTAATCGTGAGATTCGAGTCCCCCTCATCCCCATCTTGGTCAGGGATCGGAATAAGGTGAATTTTTGGCTCCACCACGACGTTCGTCATTGTCCCTTCCAACTCTCCAGAAGTTATGCGAGCCCTTATCTTCAAACTCTTGAATTTGGAATTGGCCTCCGGCTTAGTTTCGCTAATGTGCTTGACGGAGTATGAACCCCCTCGTTCGTTCCGTTTTAGCGTGAGTTGTATAGGTTTGGGCGGACTGAGGACACTTTTAGACGGCGAGGAGTTTGTGGAGGTGATGGCCTTCCTTTTTTGTCGAGGACGGGGAGGAGTCTCTTCAGGGTTGGGGGGCGTGGGACGTGATTCTTGCAGGGTTGAAAGGGGTGGACGTTCTGCTTCCCCAGTGGTATATTTTTGGGTGGTCATGACCGTAGGAGTAGGGATAGTAGGCATCGGCATTGGTGTAGGAGTTTGAGAAATCGTACCATGAGTATTACTGTCATCCACTGGTTCTGGAAGAGACTCATCGACAGGTCGAGATACTGGGACGTCATTTGGTTGGATTTGGGTGGCATTTCCACCACTGGAAGTCAGGCTGTTGAAAGTGGACTCGATCTGAGAAATTTGATGGGATAATTTTTGCAGAGGGTGTTCCATTGGACGAACCACCGCTGTTAAGATGGGATTTTTCCTCAAGTTTGGGTGAGCTTGTTGCACATTTTGTGCCAAGAAGGTATTAAAATGAGGTTCCGATTGGCTAGTGTTGATAAACTGGGTCTGATTCTTTTGTAAAATCATATTGGCTAAGTGGGATTTTGCGAGATTTCCGGGGGAATGATTCGTGCCTGGTTCCCCCGAAGACTGGGGGGCTGGTTTAGGCTCGATAGGTCTCAGCACGTGGGATGCTGTAGCGGGTAAAACTTTTCGAAACTTTTCCATGCCTTGGTTCTGTTGGAGTATAATTCCCCCTGAAGGGAATTGAAGTTGGAAGGAGGTAGTGGGGACTTGGTTGGATGAATGGGGCTGTGACGAATGCTGCTGATGGTGAACTTGTGACCCAAGATTGTAACTCATAGTTTGCAGTTGAACTTGCCTCTGTAAAGATTCTAACATTACGTGTTGTTGGATTTGTTGTTGCTGCTCGTGATAGGTTTGAAGCTGGGACGGTTTCAGAAGCTGAGGCTGGAGAACATTTCCTTCTACTGACACGGGTTGTTGGGTTTCATTAACTTGGCGACCAGTGGCGACGGAAGACGAAGGGTGTAACATCCCGGCGACTGGCGAGGCCGTTGGTAACGAATGAAATGAAGCATCCGGCCCAAGTTTTGTCGGCTGGCTGGGTATGGAATGTTGTGGAAGTTCTGGTTGAGAGTGACCAAAGCAGTTTGGAAATGACGACTGGGTTAGTGGATCATTTGACTGTTGATTTTGTTGTGGGGACTGATTTTGCTGTAGAGACTGATTTTGGTACAGTTGTTGTACCTGAGTATGATGAAAAGCGCGTTGTTGGGCTAATTGTAACTGTTGGTGAGTATTGAGACTGAGCCCTGTCGGCGACTGGTGTTGAGCGAATTGAAGTGGGTGTGGTAAACGTGGCTGAGGACCGTATGGATGCATTAATTTTGGGTCGAAGGAAAGAGACAAATTCCCGTCCGCCTCAACCGCAGATAAATATTGAGCAGGACCAGAGGGTTCACTAGCCTGAGAAAGAGGTGAGGAGGACTGGAATACGTGTGGTAATCTAACGTGCTGAAGAGAAATCCCAGCATTATTGCTTGTGGAAGAAGCCACTGCAGGACTGAGTGGATGCTGTTGCTGAATCGGAGTTGATATTTGCTGGCTTTGTTGCTGAGTGATCATGGTATTTGTAATATTATCGGTTATTACACTCTGCTCTGGTAAGGATCGTTGCATAAATGGGAATGTGGATAAGGACGTTGAGGAATTCGAATGAAATAGAGTGGGATTTTCATGGGTTCTTTGTTGGTTGTGGGGGAAGTTCATAGCCTGTGAGATTTGGGAGATTTGAGCTGGGATGTTGGAATGAAGGCTGTGTGACAGTGGCGGAGGAGTTGAAGTTATCCTGTTCTGAATTTGGCGACCGTGTGTGTTCATTTGCAGTTGTTGCGCCTGGAGTTGTATCGAGTTCAATTGAGGGGACACATCTTGCAACTGGAGGGGATTGTGTAGTGGAGATGCATTGAGTACGGGTGGCTGTGGTTGACTTATGTTATTATTATGAGTATGAGGAAGCTGGTGCTGCTGTTGCATTTGACCCACACCGACGGGCACTGTTTGAGGAGCAGGATGATTATCGTGACTCTGCTGGTGTAACTGAAATTCTTGGCCAGGCAATGTAAAGCAGGTTGGTCGCTGTTGTTGTTGGTGAAAAGGGATAGGAATGTTTATACGATACAATTGACCCGTGACAGTGTCTTGAAGGATTGTTGTCATTTCTTCCTGCTGTAGAGGCTGAGGTTGGTTTTGAAGGCGGGAATGTAGTTGTTGTTGCTGCTGCTGTTGCCGTTGTTGCTGCTGCTTTTGCCGTTGCAGTAATATTTGTTGTTGCTGTTGTAATAGTATTTGGTGTTTCTGCTGTTGTTTCTGTTCTTGTTGCAGTAATTGTTGCTGCAGAATGTGCTGATGTTGTTGTTGTAGTACTTGTTGGTATTGCTGTTGTAATAATATCTGTGGGGGCGGCTGTTGTGGTTGAGGTATTTGTTGTTGGTGTTGCTGTTGTAATAATATTTGTTGCTGCACTGGCGGCTGCTGTTGCAGTAATAATTTCTGCTGCTGTTGTTGCAGTATTTGTGGCTGTTGTATCGGCTGCTGATTTTGTCGCTGTATTTCTTGTTGTTGTTGCATTATTTTGTATTGCTGTGGCAGTTGTTGTTGCCTCCCTTGACCAGTGTCATACTGAGGGAGATTTGAGGGAGGCGATATAAGATTTCCGCCCACGGTTATTGTTTGGGGGAGGGGAGGAAGAGTTGGTAAAATTTGAGTCTGAAGCTGGCCCTGCACTAATTGCTGCTGTTGAATTCTAAACGAGTTGGTGTCGTGGTGTAGGGAATGATGTGCAGAATTCATTTGTGGCGAAGGAACTCTTTCTTGATCCTGAATCCGTTCAGGTAGAGGTAGCTGAGCTGGTGACAACTCAGGCGAGCATGACTCATTCTCTGGTGAAATCTCTTCTCGAACCTGTTCTTCACTAATTTCTTGAATTTCAGTGTCAAACTCCTGTCCCATTTGCGTATCACTGCTCTCATCATCTTCATCCTCCTCCTCCTCTTCTTCTTCACTTCCACTTCCGACACATGTTGGCATGTGGTTCAGAAGGCTGACTAATTTACGATATCTCGCATGGCACTTAGGACAACTTGCAGGACCGTCGTCGTCGTCAATGTTATTATCATTTGATGCAACGTCCAGTTTTTGCGTGGAATTGTTTTCCACATCAGCTTCCGTCGGCATAAGACCAAACTTATCGGCAACCTCGTCGTCGATAAGGTTGGGTATTACTGGTTCATTTGTAGGCTCGGATAGTTGATTCGCCTCTTCATAATGTGGTGACTCGGACGGGTCATTATTTAGCTTCGCCTTGCCCGGGCGACCTCGATGCTTTGTCGCGGCGTCGATATTGCCTCCATTTGTGTCATTAATTTTCTTATTTTGCTTCACAACCTTTTTCGTATTTGAAGATGTCGAGCCGGTCCGCTTGCTGCGCGTCATTCTTGTCGAGTTGTCACACCAAAATGCATGATTTTTTAGGGCGTCTGCATTTTCATAAGGTTTTCTGCACTTTGGGCAAGTAACTGATGTGGATGATAAGTTAGAGTCATAATTACGCTGGTGGTCAAGATATGGAGGATGGAGTTGATGCTGCTGCTGTGGAGTCGGTTTTTTAGGTGGTGATTTGGGCTCATTTTTTGTGGCTGGAGGTCGTCCTCGCCCTCTTTGGGTTGGCGAAGGGACCAAATTGGGGTCCTTGGGGGGTCGACCCCGCTTTCGTTTCGGTTTTTCCTCGTCTGCCATTAGCTCAAATTTTTGTAAAGGTTTGGACTTGTGATTGGAAGTTGTCACTTGATTTTGGCGTCGTGTCCTTATTTTCTGCTGGTTCGTTTTGTCATCGTGTTGTGCACTAGTTTTGCTATTTTGTTGTAAACGTTGGGAATTTCTTCGTTCACTGGCAACATTTTTCTCGTCGTCGTCGTTTTCTGAGTCAGTACTGTCCGTCGTGGTGGAAGAGTAGTCGGACGATGACACAGATTCGTCCTCCTCCTCCGCCACGTAGTCGTCGTCCTTATCGTAACCACGGTCTAATTGGTGGATCCGTCGCATTCTGTAAAAAATTAGATCAAATTTATTTTTATTTTACGTAAAGATCTGCTGGCAAACTCAATTCAGCTGCATATCTATAACACGATTTTTATAAAACTGCTTCATTCCATGAATAATTTAGCAGTTACATACGTAGTGAATGAATTTAACATTAAATAGCGGATCTTGTAAAACAGTGATAAAAGATATATACATACAAATAAGCTCTGCGGATAGTGACTGATTTTAGATCTTTAGAAGTGATTAATAAACATCATGATTCAATAATCAAATTGTTCAATTTCATTCACTAATTGCGTATGTACGTACATAATCTGAGGTTGCATATTGTGGTCATATTGTTGCTAAATAATGGGGCAATTCAGTCATTGGTATTTAACGTGTAAAATCCGCAAGTTGTGTAAAATAAGTATACAATCTTTTTGCAAAATAAAAAGACGCCTTTGATCTGTTTACAAAAGTTTGTGGCCTAATTTTCTTTGTAAATATTTTTAAAAGTGTGTAAGTTTCCAGAATTTACGGATTTTACAACATTGTAACATTTGTTACCAAGCCCTAGTGAATTTCCTCGGTATAAAACCTGAATTTCGTATTTCAATTTACTTACAATCCAATAATAAATTTTATATTCTCTCACCCAAATAATGTTCATCCATGAACAAGCTAAATCTGTTTACTGTCCAAACTACAAGTCCAATTGTACAATAAGAACGCCGCTTATATTTTTTACGGTTGTCCGATTCATGTAAATCCTAAGAATAAAATTTAGATGTCACACAAAGCACAATATTTGTAAATTTGTTGAATGAAATCAAATGCTAATTAATTTATTTTGATTTCATTTCTCTATACCTTTAGATGTCAAAATTTCCTCCACTTCCGAACCTTTATACGTATTAGGATTAGCAGCGTTGCTAAAGGTTTGCAATCTTTTTTTTTGCAAATATCTATCTACATACATAAACAAATCACTAGATATTGACTTAGCCAAATCACTTTATAAACAATGTCGTAATTTTCCTAAACAACTTACATAAATCAAATCACAAATCCTCCCAAAAACAAGGCATTCTCGATCCGGCTAGATTTTTGCCACCCCGACCACACCCAACCCCCCACTTTATCACTATCTTTAAAAATATTATGCAATTTATCTCATCCAAGGAAATATTTCATGTCATGACAAAAGGCAAATGTGAAGAGAAATGGCTGCTGTGCTGAATGAAACCCGTTTATCCAGATCCAGAAGGACATGAAAGGGTCCCAAATCCATACAAAAATAACAAAGCTGCATTCACCGGTCATTTTCCAAAGTACAATCTGCACCAAAAATTTGAGCATGAAATGGTTCCCTAAGGGGCTGAAGCAGTGTGGACGACATCATTTTAATAGTTGCGTTGGTTTTATGTTGTACGATTTTTTTCATGCTATTAAATAATAGTATAGCGTTTTGACAAAATTTATGAAATGTGTGAGATTAATATTTTCTGTGACGTTATTTATACGGGAGCATATTATGTTTTTGTATATAGCAAGCTTGTCGGCGTATGCTTGGCGTGATTTACATATACGAATCCATGTATTTTCTCCCCTACTTGACATCACACGTATGTACATATATGTAGTAAATACATTTGTACAAGGATTGTGCATATGTAAATTGGGGGTACTCAGTTCGAGTTATAGCATCACAATATAATTTTGGAAAAAAATTGCGAACGAAATACCAGTACCATCCTTGACGATGCACAAGTTCGCACATGATTTTTCCAGCCAAATTTTTTGGCGAACTTGCGAAATTCACTTTTTTGCTAAAGATGCGAACTCGTAATGAATACCCCCATTACATGTATCTATATTGCAGTGCAATAAACAACAAACCCTTACAATACAGTACCTGGTAATCTGAAATGCAAAATATGAAATCAATACACACTAAACTATGTTCATAAAATATATAGGTAAATAAACATTGTATTTTCGGAATTAGAAAAGTCAAGACTTTTTAGGTAAGCGAATACGAATTTGGCGAATTTGTTGTGATGGTTCTACATACCAATATTACCTTTTATTTTGTGTGATTAAATTGATTTCTATCGTTGATATGGAATAGTTTGCACTTATGTATTTTGGTATAAAACTATTTAGTAGCGCACTTGTAAGTATGAATTTTCAGATCAGCATTTCCTGATGAAAAAGAAAGATTTGATTATTCAGGAAAATATTTTTTTAAGTATTTTAAAACAACGTAAGCATTTATGACGCAAAATTTGGAAATTATTTGGTACCCTTTTTATTTATGTATGTACAAACTTTAAACTAGACATCATAAAATTCTAAACGAAATTATCTTCACCCTCAATTTAATTCTTGCATTATTATGTTTCTCTCTTCACATGGAGATTCCCAGGTCGATTTAAATTGATCTTCCTCGTCATGGTATCCCCAGTGTTGATGGTTTGCATAAAGTCGTCCACAGAGATAACGACCGTGCCGATGTGGTCGTCGAATTGGAGATCTTTATCCACAAGTTCAAAACGCCATTGCTACATAATGCGTAAATAATGATACAAATGATGCATTTTCTTCAATTTTCAACTGCAAAAATCTAAATTCGCATATTTTTGTACCTGGCCCGATCCAATGGCATATGGAAAAGTGAATCTTTCCGGAAATATTGGGTACGCATCGTCCGATATTTCCTCAGTCTGACCACATTGTGTCGATGGGGATGAAGTAGATGAACAGAAAATCGTAATTACCGTGTCACACCCGGAAATGGCGTCATAGTCCAACAATTCTCTGTAAAAAAATTGGTGACATACTCAGGCAATTAACGCAGGGCTGATTGGTACCTTGTAAAATCCGTAAATTTCATAAAATAATTTTTCAAACTTCTACGAAATAAAAAGGCGCCTTGGATCTGAGCAAGTCTACAAAAGCTTGTAAGCTACATAATTTGCCTTTGAATATTTGCAAATTTTTTAAAAAGTTTGCAGAATTTACGAATTTTACAATGTCGACAAGGACTGTGTGAACTGCCTGACTGTTTAACATAATTTCATATAGCTTGTATCTACTTTACTTACGACGCAGACAAACTAATTGTCACTTGGGATTGAGCAGCTGCTAAGGCAAGGCAGGAAAATAGGAGGATAATATTTTTCAGCATTTTGAACCTTTTTGGTGACACGAGACTGATTAAGATTGAGTTAAAGGACGCATGTATTTATATTTTTGGGCTGGAAAAATTATGTAAGTCCAGACGGGAATTCCAGGTGTGATAAAGTATCTGATAAAATGACGTGATTTTTATTCGTTCATATGCACATTTGTAACAATTGGTAATTTTATTAATTCCAAGATCATGCCATGATAAGATTAGAGTTTCAAATCATCATCGTCATGCTGAATATCATGCTAATTATGTATGTTTTTTATTAATGGGTAACACGGATTTGTTTGTACGAATGGATATCATCGCACACTTACATATGCACGTATTTTGGAGAGGTGCTTACCTACTTATCACGTATCACATATGTACATACAACGCATTATTAAACGATTTCAGCCAAAAATAATTTCATAATGCAACTTTAACAATTCAACATTTTCATAGAGTTTGATGGATGTGTTGTTTTCCGTGGAGGATTAATCAATCAGTATCGATTATTTCATAAAATGTTTTCACATAAATATCTGTATTGGAGGATAAATGCATACGTGCATCATGTACATATTTACATACAAAGAACATGGATATGTGCAAAAATGCAATAAAAACTTTTACCAGATCATGGACTTAAGTATGCGTGTATGCATCTTTCTGATTAATATTCATAATCTTGAGATTCATTGACGATAGATTTTCACCACGTGATTGTTGCAGATATGTAGAGGTAAAGCTGCTTAGAACTATTCATAAAATATGTACATAGTATAGTCAAACGTTTATTAAAGCATGTCGCGTGTAGAAATTTAATGTGTTAATTCTATCATATTGTCTCACTTAAAATACGTGAAGATTTTCAGATGTAAATATGTAAATGTGCCTCTGCGTATAATCTGGATATGGGACAAATTTGCTAAATAAGCCACACAGAAACACTTATGTATTTGCATACAATACGTTTTAGCTTGTGTATTAAGAATTTTTCTTTAGATTGTTTTAAGGTGGGCCGATCCTGACTGTACTGCAATGCCAGGCCGACCCGTGGACGGGCGGAAGCAAGCTTCACGACCCCATCCCAGTTCCAAAAATCAGTTTAATATACTGGAAGGTCAATGACCTTCGTATCAGATATTAAGCTGATAAGAACAGATACTACACTTTGATCTTAGCCAAAAGGCCGAGAAGCGATACCCCAGTCAGTCCACCTTTTTCCTTGCCTACCTCAACTTACCTGAACACAAACGGTGTACACTTTTTCCGATTAAAATTTCCGAATAAAAATCAATTTTACGGTCTAAATTTGTACCTTTTTAGGTCCCACTAGTCCCTGATATTCAATGTGTGCATTAAAAATTTCAAGTTATTCAGTAGTTACGGAAATATTTGAGGTAATTTAAAATTTCTAGAGAAGGGAACACAAAGATACGAAAAACGTTTTACTGCAGGCATTTTAAACGCTTGTCATTGGTGGGACATTCATACGTATGCATTCACAACCAATCGGTAACATTTCACAAATCTGGTTTGAATGACTACTCGACATGAATTACTAAACGTTGTGGAGCATACGAATTTTTTGGTGGGGGGTCCTACACTAAAAACCCCCTCCGAATTTTGTGAAAAGGTTAAGTTATAAAATTAGTATGGAAACAATTTATGTGTTGGATAAGCCAATGCAACAACATGACGCCGAATTGGTGACTGATCCTGCATAACATGAGATGACCACGTCGTGACAAAACTTTTGGTGCAGACTGTACTTTGTATTTACTTGTTTGTATTTACTTGCTACATAAAATGGAAAACTACTGCTGAATGAAACTTTGCTTTGCTATACGTATATGCACAAATTTAGTATCTTTATTTCACATGCTGGACAAATCGGTAAAATACGACACAGCTGCGATTTGAGCTGGTAAATTTCTGTAAATTTCTTTAAAAAAGATAAAATAAGCCACTTTAAATAATGGTATATAATTTAATTAACATTTGTTGTATTTCTGGATCATTTAGGTCATTTTTATTTGGTTCGTACATCGCAACCTGCCAAAACTGGAGAAATTTTAGCAAATTTTAATATGCACAGATAAAAGGTAAGTACATCGAAATTAACATGATAATATTAGCTAATAAAGCGTGTTGTACAATGTTTCAAAATGTGATTTATAGGATTTTCATGAAGCGTGCACCTGAAAATTCTCACATCGCGATCGCAACGATCTCATTGTAAAAAAACCAGAGCTTGGACTCCAACCTGATTTAGCTTGTGATTAGACGAACACAACTTGGGTGAGCGATTTGTTTAGTGTTTTTTGCTAAATTGTATAAAATGAACGTCGTGGTATGGATGTTTATGAAATTTCGATTTTTATATAGTATGCGTACAAATATGTACCTATTTACAAATTTCATTGGGCAAAAATGTAAAAATTCAGAGTTTATACACAGTGTGTGTACAAATATGCAAATTGGGCAGCAATGTCACAAACGTTTGTTTCCAATTTTTATTACACGCGATCTCATATTCGCACCAACTTGTGTTTTAATTGGAACAATATGTATGTAAATATGAATTTCAAAATTCCTTAACTTTTAGGTCAGTGTCGCTGTCGAGTCAAAAAAATTAGACCTCGCCATGGACAAAGTTGCCGAACGTATGGGAGGAAGCGATGTCGATGTTGCCAAAGTTTTTGACCTTCTCGAATCCAGCAATCTCGAGCTTGTACAGGAAATCAAGACGGAAATATGCGAAACCTTCAATAAAAGTGCGTAAATAAATTAAAGTTTAATGCTTTAATCTGATTTTCAAATTTTCCTCAATTATTTAAATAATCTTAAATAATTTTGCAGCAAAGGACAATTGGCTGGTCGCCGGATTGTTCGAGTTTTATTTGTACACGGGGTCACAAAGATGTGCCGAGATTTTATACATGATTTCGAAAGAGCCGCATGATAAGTACCTAATTGATAAGTGAGTTATATGCATAATTAGGCAATTTAAATATGCAGGCATTAACATTGTAAAATCCGTAAATTCTCTAAATTTGCAAACTTTACAAAATTTTACAAATACTTCTGAGCAAAATTAGCTTACAAATTTTTGGAAACTTGTTCAGATCAAGAGCGTCCTTTAGTTTGTAAATGTTTGTAAAATTATTTCACAAAACTTACGGATTTTACGAGTTACCAATGACTGCGTGGATTGCCTCAATATGTTGATTTTAGTCCATTAGTTGGCTTACTAAATTGCTTGATTTTTTTTACCAGAATCACGGAAGGAATTCGATCCCCTTCTAAAGAAATACGAAAAAAGACGTTGGAATTTTTTGGCCAAGTTGTGACCAAGCAGCCATCGTGGTTATACAAAGTTACGCAGCAATCCTTATTCAAAGAGCTTATCAGACTCTTAAAGGTAGCACTATTTATTTAAAAATAATACTAATTTCAAATTTTCCATGAAACATTTCAGCATTTATTTATTAAAAATATCGCCATTTTGTGTCCTTATTTAGTCAGAGACTGACGTGGTGGTACTTTTGACCGGAGTTTTGTCCATTATTATGATAATTCCTACTTTACCGACGTATGTACATCCGTACATTCAGGCAAGTCGCATTAATAAACCGGAAATTGATATGAATATGAAAATAATAATTGATATACAAATGTTTCCGAAAACATATAGTTTTTAAATGATTTAAGCGTACATATTTTTATTTGCAGGACATTTTTGACGTGTTTGGGTAAGTTTTAAATTAAATATAATTAGTACATGAGAATTATGCATGACAAATAATTCATGCCTCTCGATTTCGAACAAGTTAATTCAATCTAAATAATTTTTTCAGCCGGCTTGCGACATGGGCGCAGATGTCACACAATATACCGAAAGAGCACCTTCTTCACTTACAAGTTGGCCTCTATTCCCTCTTTCACCGACTTTACGCCATGTATCCGTGCAACTTTTTGTCCCACCTGCGACACAATTTCAGCTCGCCGGAAAAACGCGTCGTTTTCCTGCACACAATTATGGTGCGCGAAAAAATTGGACCAATAATAAATTTAATTCATGACCTATTTTTAATTATGATGGAATTTTCTAAATTTAGCCAATGCTGGAGAAAGTGAAGATGCATCCAGCCCTTGTCACTTCTACGAAGGAAGGAGAACTACTTCCTCAGCGGTGGAGGTGAGCAGATTTCCTACCAAATTAAAATGGGCGTACTCACAACAATGTCTTGTTTAGCTTCGCAACTCATTTAGAAAATTTGAAACGCTATGATGTCAAAAAGTTCGCAAAAAAAGGATAGAAAATCAGTTTGTCTTAATTATTTATCTGTTATGTCGGCCGGTTATGATGGATAAGTTTACGAAATAATCTTCTTGCCAATTCAAAGCATGGCTAAATATTTGTTAGGTAAAAAAAATCCAAAAATTTTTCTGCAAAACATTAGCGATATCTCACAAATTCGCAAAATTTTGAAAAATTATGTATGCTGAATTTGCGAAATATATTATAAATTTGTCGTGCGTACGCCTAATGTAGATCCATAACTACACTAATATTGGTAAGCAGATAAACTAAATATTCCCACTTTACATAATTTCCAGGAGCAAAGAGTACCACCAAGTCATCGCGGAATGTTCGAAAATCTCATTAGACGTTTACGAGTCAAGTTTCCCTGAGGAAATTACTCCAACTTTTACACGCCTGGGCAGTCTAGAGTTTGATAGTGACCCCGCCGCATCCAGCAGCGCCACTACCATAGCAAGAGGAGGATCACTCACCACGACAACGCTGGGGGATTGGACGATCGAGTCCTTGCTAAAACTTCCCCCGTCCTCTTTGATCTCCCAGTCGATGAGAACTTCCGATCTGACCAGTTTGGTGACATATTTGGACGACACTTCCAGCACGGCGCCCCCAACGCCACTCTCCGTCGGGGGCGGAGGTGGTCCAATCTTACTCAATCGGACGACAACCTCCCCTCCGGAAACGGCGATGGAAGCCACGCCAGAAAATACGCCGATAAGGGTAAACCCGAAAAAATATGCAATTATTTATTTACATTTTTGCTACTTTTTAAATAATTTATTAACCTGGTACACAATTTTGTTTACAAAGAACGTGCTCACGACAACGTCTTATTTCGCATTGCAATTAATTTAGCAAACTTGCAAACTTCGAAAAATTTGGGTCGCGAAGGGATGTGACTTCACAAATTTCGCAAATTTCGCAAATCCCTACAAATAATTCTATTATCGTATCTAAATTTAAATTCCGCCGAGTATGTGCAATTTCTAGAGCATTTAATAGAGAGGATAATTTTGCGAAATAATCTTGCAGAGTAAAAACTGCTGGGTAAATTAAAAAAAAACAGTTGTTTTCCAACAAAATATTTGCGAAATCTCGCAAATTTCGCAAAACTTTACAAGTTAGATATGTTGCTGCATATGCAAAGGTTGACGTGAGCACGCCCAAAGACAAATTTTGTCAAAATTTCATAATTTTGTGATGGTTTTATTTAATTTTATTAATCTTTTATGCATGTTTTGCTTTTTTTTGGGTATCATTTTATAGGATAAGGTCCATTTTAAAGTACCACCAACCCCACCGCCGTTAGCAGCGACGGCCGTACAACAATTAAATTTCGCGAATATTGAGCACATAAAGGACAAATATGCGAACAGACCTCCGTACTATTTCCCCCAAATTCAGGGCGTAACTTCTACCCCGTTTAATTCCGTGCCTTCCTCCCCACTTCCGGTTTCCTCTAATACCACGAATACCGCTAATTCGACCGAATTCCCCTCTACGACAAATGTTCTCCCCACTATTATGGACACGACCCATCGACAGCAGTACCCCTTGGTGCGAAGGGACTCAATTTTTGACCCTGCCATTGTCGGGACAGCTTTACCCCTGCGCAGGGACTCGTTAATTTTTCAACGGCTTCAGAAGGTTTGTATGCCTTCGTGAGGGCTTATTTTATTTATTTTTATGATTTTGCGGATTTTTTTATGCAAAAAAATAACTCGTACTAATTTTTGAAATTTGCAAAAATATTTGGGTTTTGTTTGCGTGCGGGGTGGTTAGCTTCTCTTATCGATTCGAGGTATAAATTCGTGAAATTTCGTATTTAATGCGAGTACGAATTTGTGGCGAATTTATTGCGAATCGATTTACGCAATTTTATTTATAATTGTCCATACGTTCAAGGGGATTCATTAACTCGCGAAATTTCGCATTTTCTGGAAATGAATTTATTGCGAATATATTGTGAATCCGTTTGTCCAATTGTATTTAAAATTGTATGTACATAGATTCGAGAGAATTGATAAATTCATAGAATTTCGTATTTATTATGAATAGGAATTTATTGCGAATTTATTGCAAATTTTAACTAAATTTAACTCAATTATAGGTCCAACTCGAGCAACTTAACAACCAAGCTTCACAACAATCAACTGATCAACAATCAAGCCTCGAACCGTCAAATTATGTCCCCGCCGTAAAACCTGTCCAAGATTCAACTCTGTTACCCCTTCCCCAGAGGAAAGCCTCCGTTCCAGCCCCCATCACGATTCCACCTACCCATTCTTCCCTGCATGACAGCGATCCCAGCAGTGCAAGCAGTACGTCGGCCACGTCTGAATTTCTGTCTGACCGCGACCGCGACCGCCCAACGGGGGGACCTTTAACCCCGATGCTCCCCTCATCCGGACAATCCGGCATTTTAGATCCTGACCTGTCGCTAATCGCGTTAGATGAAGATTCCGTCGTCGACAATTGCAAATCTGTGGGCTGTCCGAAGGGCGGGCTTCATATGGCGGATCACAAACAAATGATCGCGTTTGCCAAAAGGGTGAGCCGACTGCGCTTTCACAGCCAGTGTGCGCCGAATGGGTCGGATGGGACAACCGGAAATCAGGCGCCGTCGCCAGGAACGTCGCCATCTTCTTCGACAACGGGCACGTCAGGGTTGCAGCATTTTAAAGCGAGACTGATCAAACGTTCCTTTTCCATGCCGAATATTCAGAAACCCGTTTTTTGTGAGGAGAGCGAAGTCGTGGTGGAAATACGGGGTGAAACAAGTGGTAAAATTTATATAGTTCTATGGGAAATTTTGGGGTATTCAGTACAGAGACTTTGTGGAGAAAGATTTGTACAATATTTTTTTTAATTGAATTTGCGTAAATATTCTTGCAAACTTTATTTTTCAAGTGATGCCACAAATTTTTAAGACCTTTTGGGAATATTTTTAATTGAAGTAATTTGTTTAAAGCAATTTTTTAAGAAGGTTTATGTAAATTTTGCGAATTTTGTTGTGCTTTTCCTAATGAAACTCATTTTTAAAATTCATCTTGTCGTCTTATTCGTTTTTTACGAATTTTGCGACCTTTTTTGTCGTGAATGCCCATATTTGTAAATAAATATTAGTTAATCTATGATATTTAACGCTATATTAATTTTATGCAAATTAGCACGAACGGAAACACCAACGCAGCAGCAACAACAAACTGCTGCACCCTCGATATCCCCGACCTTCGATAACCAGCTTATCCAACAGCCCGTTACCTCTATAGACCCCGTCCACCAACCGTACGAGCATTTATTTCAACAAATCTTACCAACCGTGCTGTCTCCTCCCGTGGATTCTCGAACGCTACCCTCGCCCCACGTCCTGCTCGACCTTTGCCTCATGAAAGCGGCCACTTTGCACAACGGGGCCGCAAAAACGGATGAAGTTTCCATGCTACGAGGTCAAGTGGCACTTTTGCATGGACAGCTTCTGTTCGAGAGACACCGGAGAGAAGCTCATGCCCTGAGAAATAGACGACTGGCTGGAAAATGCAGAGAAATGCAGACCTTAGAGGAGAAAAATAATAGCATGGTACAAAATATATATACATTTATAACATGCGTACTTGAGACAAAAGACTCACTTTGCAAGGCAATCCAATTCGCAAATTTGCTAAATTTCTACATATCCAAATTTTTTAAATAATTTTTATGTGAGAGGATTCGCAAAATTGTATTTCGCAATTTGATTTACATAATTTTCACGGATTGTATCTCAAATTTATATGCAGAGTACATACGAGTTGGAGAAATAATTTTCCAAAATGGCCCATTGCCGGACAAAATTTGCTAAAAAATCCCATCGTTTTCCAGTAAATGTTCTACCAAATTTTGCAAAACTTGTATTGTTACGGTTAATCTGCGAAATATTTAAACTTGTCGTGAGTACGCCCATTCAAGAAAGTGCGAAAATATTTCACTTATGCAAAAATTTTATCACACTTCGCTATTAAACCATTTATGCTAATTTGATTTATGTATGTATTTCCAGCGCCGCGAGAACCACAATTTGGAGAAGGATATCGTCCTTCTAAAACAGGAAGTAGTCACCCAGCGAAATATGGCCTTGGTTCGCGAAAAGGATTTAGATTCTAAGATTTCTGCCTTAGAAAAGAAACTGGAAACATATCGGGTCGAACTTTCCCAACTGAAGGATTCCAAATGTCACGCGGAAATCGAGAACAATCTCCTTCAAGAAAAATATTTGGCCCTGCAGAAAGAATCCGATCAAAAGAAGGCGGACTTATTTTCACTGGAAAATGAGATCAAATACTTGCAAAAATATTTGGACTTGAATAGCGAACTGAAGTCGGCGTACGACGTGTCTCAAAAGGAAATCCTGCTCCTCGGGGAATTACTGAGGTATCAGCAAGAGGCGAAAGCGAACTATTCTAATAATTCCCCGGACACGAGGAGATATTACCAGGAGGAAATGGACGACGTTAGACAAACGTGTGCAGAGGAAATTAGAGGCTTTAAAAATGCGTTGGAAAGCAAAATGTCACAGTGTGAAGCGCTGTCGGGGGTAAGTTTTGATTTTTTTAAAGTTCGAAGTACGGATCCGATTTTTATGTATCAAATTAGACAAAAAGGCTATTCACGCAGTCATTTGGTAACTCATTAAATTAGTTTTTGTAAAATAATTTTAAAAGCTTTTACAAAACAAAGAAATGCTCTTGACGCTAGTAAGTTTACAAAAAATTTGTGAGCTAATTTTGCTTAGAAATATAAGTAACATTTTGTAAAGTTTGTGAGTTTACAGAATTTACAAATTTTACAATATTATGTACCAAGCACTGCGTGAATTGTATCAAAGTGTGGCAACTTCAGATTTAAAATCAGATTTCATTTTAAATTGTGGAAACTGAATGTTGTATATTTAGAAAGAAAGTGCAAGTCCAAATCGGATTGGGGCGGAATAAGTTTGCCAACTTTTTTACCAGAGTGGTTTTCTAAAGTCGTCGTTTAAAGAATAAATTTTTAATACTGACTTTCACAAAAGCCTTTAAATTTTTAATAATTGAACAATTTCTCACCTTCATTACATGAATTGAAAAAAACATCGTCTACATAATAAATAAAAAATCTCGTTTTTTAAATTTCAGATGATCCAAGACTTGGAGAAAAAGCTGGAAAAAAGGGAAGCAATCATAATGGAACAAAAATTAGGACTACAAGAGGCTGCGAGAGACCATACCGAGAAATTAAAGGTATGTACATACAAGCAAATATATTAAATTACATAATACTCACTATATAAAATTGCCCAAATATTTTACCCCTAATTTCAGGAATACCAAAACAAGTACGAGTTTGTCAAAGCGTGCAATCACAAATTAGACCTGGAAAATTTGAACTTACAAGAACAAATTACCAAACTTTCGTATTCCTCTCGTTCCGCGAGGGCTCGAATCACTTCGTCCCCCTCGAACGGAGAAATGTCCCCGGCCGGAAATAGCAACCACTCCGACGTGGATAGTGCCGCCAGTGCGGCCGGGTATCAATTGTCGCCCGACAATCATCCCTGCTTCTTTGGCAGCCCGCAGTTCGACTTGCCCCCTGACGACGTGAAAGATTTTCAAGGACCGTCTACCTCCTCCGCCGCTATCCCTCAGCCGAGAAGGGAGTAAATTAATTTACCAAAGTGTTGTGAATACGTGAATAATTAAAGTGTTGTGAATTAATTAATTACGTTTTTAATTACGTCATATTAAGTACCGACATCTATATAAGTATATCTAATAATATTGAATTAATTTTACTAGTACATATCTACTGTGAAGAATGTGTGTGCTTGCGTAATACATGTCTTGTGTGAAATATATACAACACGAAACTTCAGAAATCCATCCTTTTTGTATGCGTATAAGTATGTGTAACATTTATTTATTGCCTGAACAAAGGAAATGTAGTTATCTATGTATGTACATAGTACATAGTGTCATGAATTTCATTGAAGAACACATTTTTTCACTTCAGAGTTCGTAATTAGAATGCTTTATAAATCTATTTTGGCCTAGTATTTCCACTGCCTGGATTTTTAGCCCAGTTTTGCAATTTTTTGATAGAGCAGCATCCTGTTTTCCAGAATCAAATATTACTTAGAAAATTTACCTTACATTTTAGATAAATTGTGTTCCTTTTGCACATTTTTCTTGGTAACCGTACGAATATACACACTTACATACCTATGTATGTAGGTATGTATAACTGGTATTAAATCATTACTAGTCCGAGTACATACATAATATGTATTACATATGTACATATGTACATGAGTCTACTGGTTTTGATTTTAGTAGTGTTGTGACAATGAAATATTTACTACTCAGAAACAAACTCCTACCAACCCGGTAGGGAATTATTAATAAATCAATACCAGTACGGAGAATATACTATTATGTAACTCTACCGGATGCTTTACAGTGTATGTACAACTACTTTCAACGTCCTTAGTTTCTGCACACCTCTGGCAAGATGCTTTCCAATTTTATGAATTCTCATCAAGCAATGTCTGAAAAATTTTGAAGACGTGTTTTCGCATCTATTTCCTAGACAGTGACTTTTCATCGTGTATTAATATACTTCATATATTACTCAAATCAATAAGCATTCATTCAGTACGATGAAATAAATCTTTATTAAATATTTATTTAATTACAAGCGACATCATAATTTTAAATCTTAATTATTTTTTAAACCGAGATATTTAAATTACTGCAATAACAACAACCTCACCGTCCCCCTAATGCACAACACCATCATTCTTAAGGGTGTCAATACATCCACAAAATTGGAACCGAACCTTATCTTGAATGGGGAACATCCACGGACTCGTTTACAAACGAGCTCCCTATCCAACACTTTACCTAGAATGTTGAATCTTAATTTATTCAGCATAATTTCCGACTTTTTATTCAACATTCCACACAAACCAACAACCAGCAATATAAACAACACAGTCTCTACCAGGACACAGACAAAGACAAAATTGTCCACGTTCTTAAACAAGTTTTGTACATGTGGCACACAAAAATAACTGCAGGTAACATTGCAGATGCCAAAAACAAAGAAAATTCCGGGAAGATATATACGTCGAAAGCAAGCATTCATTTGCGCCTCAATAATTTTAAGTTGTATGTATCCCTCCAGTTGATTTAAGTATGGATCAGTTGATCCTTCCTCCTGTTCAACTTTATCAATTCTACGACAGAGTAATATGATGTCCAAATTAGTACAAGTGAATAGGGGTTCATAATTCCTTGCCAATTGTCTAACCTCATTGTCCATCTTAGTGAAATGAACAAACAGAAGATCGACGTCATGCATACATTTGCTGTAGCTATACTGGTCAAGTGGCCTAGTGTGCTGTATTGCCAAAATTCTATTAAAAACCCTCCAAGATGCCCGATGACATTGAAGTCCTTAGAATATTTGCCTCCTAACGTCTTGTTATCTAATTGTACATACAAAGAATAAAGTATCTTAAAACATTGTGAATATATTTATTCAGTGTTTAATGTGTGATTTGTGTGGGAATCAAGTATTTGATTTTTTTAATTACCTGGAATTATCGACCCAATGAAAGGAGGCCTACCAGCCTTCATAATGATAAGCAGGATGACAAAGATTTGAAGGAACATAGAGCCACATAATCCCAGTAGTTGTAGTGCACATTTCAAAAATTTTGCGGAACTTAGAACTTTATTGTAGTGCTTTTCCTTAGTATTAAACACCCTCCGCTCGTAAATCAATATCATATTTAGCAAAATCGCAACGTCGGCTGAATTTTGGTACCACAAAGTTCCCACTGCCAGTGGAACAGCAGGTATGCAAAATGAAAACAGTGCAACCAGAGCCTTTTCGTCGGTTTGTAACCTTGGCGATTGTAAATGCCATAATCCATTAAACAGGAGGAATAATGAGTAGGCAATTAAACAAAGTAGTTTTACTCTTAAAATGTTACGATCTTTAAGTCGTGCTTGCCTATATGCTACAAACACCGGATTTTTATTTTTATCCTGCGTAATTGCTATTGGAGAATGAATCAATAACGAGATAAGTTTCAATTGAGTCTTAGTTATTGGAATAGTTGAGGATAGAATCATTATTAAGGTGTTTTATACCTAATCAGCCAGAACTTGAATCATACTCGGCTTATTCTTTGTAGAGAAAATGATGCTATTAAACTACCACATAAATATTTAAGCTTTCTTTTGAAGTGCGAACCGTTAACCAATAACCGTTCCACCTAAGAATGGACCAAGTTTTAACCGGCTTCGCGGTAGATTAATGCTTCCTCAGGCTATGAAATCACAGCAAATTTAAAAATACTTTGAATGAATTATACGATAAGGTAAGCTACATTTCCAATCACATTAAATATAAATATACATACATACCTATGTATTTATGTATGTAAACATGTAGGTACATATGTATGCATATGCATGTCAATACGATCAGTGTATTTATGTTCTTTAAATAGATTGTTAAAATTAAAGGATTTCACTTATTAAATACAGATGGTCGCTTGAGTTTGAGCCAACAATTTTTAAACTCCTCAAATTTTTGGGCAATATGCACACCTGTTTCTTTTCTCGAGTTGAATTCAAACTAATAAGTAGTTATTCAAATTTGCTGACTGGTATGGGAGTTCTTTACTTGGGAGTTCTTTTGTATAATATAATTAAGGAAAGGTTTCTTATTATTTGCAACTAAATGTTTTGACCATTCATAGCTTCACTAACGATAACAACTAACAATGCGATGACGCCAGCGGTCTCGCCCCGATTTTGACGAAACGACGATAATTATGTAGCCTTGGATAAATAATTAGACACGTGTTTCAGGATTTTTCATAATGCTCAGGTTAAACGAAATTATGATGAAATCCGTGAGCGAGAATTCCCATTTTCACCGTGACATTTTTCTGGCAAGGGAGAAAAATACAGATTCTTGATTACGGAGTCCATCATAATTTCGTTTAAGCTTAAAATGCGTGGGCATGAAGTGTTTTTTCCGATTTTATGTTGCTTGTACAAATTTTGAAATTTTGAAAATTTTTGAAAATTTCCAAAAATTTCTGAAATTTTTGAAAATTTTTGAAAATTTCTGAAAATTTTGAAAATTTTTGTAAGTATATAAAATTTTTGAATTATTTAAATATTTACACGAATCTAGACTATTCGATGTTGATATCATAAGTAAACAGGAAATAACAAATACATTAATTTGCAACATACATAGCCTACAGAAACCCCACGCTTTGTAAATATTTTGGACAAAATTTGCTCCGAGTTGTATGTATCTTATGATCTTTGTTAATACAAACATAGCTATGTTAGTATACTAGCCTGGCTAGTTTAGAGGCACCAAACAATTATTTTTCTCGAATGGTTTTGAAGTGCGTGTTTCTAAAGTAAATAATGTTCATATTCAGAATAATATTTGCGCCAATAGAGTTTACACAAGTGACATTAAGTAGTATACATGTATCTATTTGTCCCTCTTATTTATTTAAAATTTCATGCATCGGTATGATCTACATAAATAGTGACATAGCATATTTGAGGATCGAATTATAATCTTACTCTGATATGTATGTACACATTTTTAAAGTGCTATTGTCAAATGTTTGTTTTTACTACTTATGAAATATCGAATGACTCGTATAAATATATTATGTAGCTTGCTACTTATTGACATCCTTCCCAAATTTATGGCAATCCATTTTTCAAAATTTGCAATTTTTCAGGCCGATAGAAAATTTTTTGGTAACTAAATCAGCAAAATGCACCGAAAACGCAATGGGGGTGGATTTGATGGGGGTGGGGGTGGATTTGGGTGGGGGTGGGGGTGGTTTTATAAATGCCGTTCATTTTCTCACTTTCTGTCTCCCTTTTACTCAATTGCATGTCGCTGGAAGCAGGAAATAGACTAAAATCTTATAAAGCTTAAATGTCTCGCCCATACGTCCTAGTTTATTTCCAACCAAAAATGTATGTAAATATGTATAATTCTGTATAAATAATACTTAAATATAATTCGTATTTATTCATTTATCTCATTATCTTTATTCCGCACTTTATCCGAATTATTTATTCAGATGAGGAGAAAGACCTCTTGAAAATGAATCCCTGCTTGAAAACTTCCCTAATTTGGGTGATCGTCCGTCCATTTGCAACCATGGCCAGGGAGGCGAGGAGCCCTTCGAGGGGGTGGAGAACAACCAGCCAGATCGTGACTGACGAGGTGCGTCGGACGAAGGGGTGGGCCTTGTAGTGGGCTTGGAGAACGAACAAAATGTAAAGCGTCGTTTTCAGGGCGGACATTCCCATCATGACGCCAAAGAGGCGTGCATACATGTAAAATCTGCGGAAATTTTCAGGGATTATAAATAATCTTCCATTTCTTGGTAATTTCAAATATACTCACATCGACCTTCGAATATCTTGCAAATTGAGCATTTTGCGAAGTTTCGCAGGATCTTTTATTTAGCATGCCTTTATTTGGCAAGATTATTCATACCCCAAATTCATACTCTATGAAGTTTAGAACGTGCTTTAAAAGTTGCAGATAATCCATGGAAACGAAATTAAAATAGGATAGCAGAATCGTCTGTACAGATTTGTGAGATTTGCGAAGTCATATTTTACGCATCCACTCACAATATAAATTTACTGAGTTTCGTAAGTTTGCAAAATGAGGTGCGATACGAAATACGTGAGTTCGTTCATAAAAATTGATAGCAAAGTGCCCTATTGCATGAAAATATGTCCCCATTTTGACTCAGTCCCACAAATATTTTGTGGAAAATTTACCTTTCTCGGTTCTTGGTGTCGACATTTTGTCTGGCTGGCTTCGTACTCTCGATTGCTTTCCGGAGTCCGATCAGCGTCCAGATAAAAACTATGGCGTTCACGATCCACAAAATTATCACCACGATTAGGCGAACAGCTTCAATCTTCACGTTATAAAAAGCACCAGTGGTTTGCACATCAACCCCAGCGCTTCTCATGGGAAAAATAATTTGAATTTTGCATAAACCGATAAATGTGCATATGCAAATATACTCACGTGGCCAATAATTTTGCCCAATGACCTGCTGCAGTTGAAATAGCGGATATTATCAGACAAAAGGCGAGCGCAACCAGGAAACGGGACCGATCCGAATTTACGGAACGTTTCTGAAATCTGATGCTTCTAAAAAAGTGGTATACTCGTTACAAACTTGGGTGAAAAATTGACTAGAAAATTACCGAAAGCTTTGCCATAAATCCAGGTTGAGTACGAGGAGGAAGAAAATGTTCAAGGTGAGGATGAAGTATGCCATGTAAACTGGGGTAAAATTAAACAATTTTGGCTAACTGAGCGATTACTTAATTAAATTAATGTGCATTGTAAAAAATAATCCTAATTAGTAATCCAAAATCCTCGTACTTTCTACCGACCCAAAATCAATCAGTTGGAATTATTCAAAAAATTACGACTGATTAAGTTGATAAGACATTTCATAGAAATTGTTTTTGACTTAATTTCTAATTTTAGTTAACTACATAAATGGACGATAGTAAACTAATTATATTTAAAATTAGTGGTCATAATTAATTAATTTTTCTCACCTATGAACAGAAGGAAGCCAAATTGTCGCATGCATGCTTCCATGTATTGGGCGTCGTCATGGGTCCTCACCACCCACCACATTCCTGCTACACGGACAACATTTTCAAAAAAATATGTCACCACGATTCCAAATTGGATCCAGATGTGTAGATTTTGTCGCTTTTTCCACAATAAGAAAAAGATCAAGGCAACGGAACTGGTAAAGATAAGATTCACTGCGGCGAGCCCGAGCCGAATCTTTTCCTTCTTAAAGTCTGGCCAGTACTAAAATTAGATAAATGGGTACTAATTAGTAAGCCGAATTAAAATTAAAGTAATTATTCAAATTGTATTTATGTAATCTAGTAAATTTTTATGCAAATTTTGTAAACATATATATTGTACATTGCACCCTTCCTTACTCCACGCAAGCTTCTAATGGGCGTACTCAAGTCAACATCATACATTTCGCATGACAACTTACTTATTTAGAAAATATTCTACGAATTTTTGTGTTGTTTTTGAAATAAATAAAAATGTCGTTGCCAAACAAATTTGACAGAATGTTGTTCTAGTTTCAATTATGTACGTAAACTTTTAACCTTTAGGATCCCATTTATAAAATGTTGTCAAGAAAAATCGTATCACTAAGTCCCTAATTAATTTCCAATTAAATATCCTTCAGGCCCGAATAATTGTCAGTAAATTGTCTTCACGCACCCAAGCTGATGAATCTTTTCCGACCACACGGACCCGAATTTTATTTTCAAGAAAAAAACAACAGAATATGTTCGTATTATCACATGCAACGATATTTAAGAAAAACTACTACGATTCATGAGTAAACATAATTATGAAAAATATTTAATTTAAATGGGTGGCAAAGATGATTCGTCCGAAAATTGAGCACCAGTGAGCAGATTTCCATCTTCACCAAATACTACGATTTCATGATTAGGACTTAAAATAAATTGAACTGCATTTGGGCCCAGAGTATCAATGTCTTCGGGAAGTCGTGGTTGCGATATTTGAGTGTGGGGCTGACTCTGCGTATTTTGTGGAGTGGTTGAGATTTTCTACAATGTAGCAAAAATTATTATTGGTATTATCGTCATTACCATTATACAATTATGGAAATTACCTTCAGCTTTTTATCAGTGTGATACCGCTTGAAACAAGAGTCACCTCCTTGAATACAAAGCCGAACCTTGCAAATCTCACAGCTGAAAGGGGTCGTCTTGCGTTTCGGAGAGTATTCAGCGTGGTGCTTGCAATAAATGCAGTCAGAGTACGATGGCGTTCCATTTTTATCTAAGTGTTTGACAGCAATATGGTGACAAGGTTTCAATCGAACTGGAAAGGCTGGATTTTCAGTTCGTGGTACTGTTGGAGGTCTTCCAATTGGTTTCTTGAGGGTTGGATATTTTTCTTGAATTTCTCTGACTATCTTCATGACAAAATCTTTGTAGGGTACAGCTCTCTGGTCAGCATGCAAGTGGTTGTACAGTATCATACTGTTGTAGGTAGCTACATCGATCATATTAAACACCACTTTCTTATACCATTTGTACGATTTCCGAACGGACTGATAGGGCTTGATACTCTTGTCAACATTGTCGACAGCTCCCATGATTGAGTTGTAAAGTAGCATCGTTGCTGGTTTCTCCCTGGTGTTCCTCGGATTGGACGACTCTGCAATGCGCATGGAATGGGGGACAAAAGTGTTCAACATGCATACCTCCCTCCTGTCACTCCAGCTATTTACATAGTTATTCTTATAATTGGGGTATTATTATTCTTGGGTAATGCATAAACTTGTAGCGTACCGTTCAATCAAAATTTCATCATCACAATAGGTTTCAACACGTCCTTTGGCCAGTTTCCCCCTCATCTTCGGCATCCCTTTCCGACGTCGCTGTACTGTGCCCAGCACATAAGTCTTTTCGGCGAGCATTATTTTGGCTAATTTCGGTCCCAGAAACCAATTGTCCAAAACGACACGATGAGCCTTGTTTAGATAACCTTGCAGTAGAGTGAGTACTGTTGCGCCACCAAATCCGAGATCCTTCACCCAGGTCCGATCAGCTAGAGGAGTAGATTTCCCTTGGTATGGCAAGATATTCAGGACTTGAGGGCACAATCACACAAGACGAACATTTTGATCCCGAACCGACCTCGCTTAGTGGTGTTTATGCTTCACGTCATCGTCACGTCCTCCTTCAAATCCGATTTTTTGATTGGCTGAACCAAATTATCACTACGACAATTAAAAATTTTAACCAATCAAAAAATCGGATTTGGAGGAGGACGTAACGATGACGTGAAGCATAAATGCACCTTTAGGATTATACTGGCGGAATGACAATCGTCCTTTGTAGGCAAGAAGAGTCTCATCAATGCAAATATTTTTGCCTGGTAATATTGCACTGGAGAAATTGCCCAAAATATCGTGCATGAAGCTGCCCAATTTGCAAAAACGATCTCTTCCTGTGTAATTCTCATTGTTTGAAAAATGTAAAGCTCTCAGGATGCCTTGAAATCTGTAAAGTTGAATTTATGCATGCATTTTATGTATGTACATATGTACCATTATTTATCTCATGCTACCCTATCATACCGATTTCGAGACAACGGTTGCAAAGAACGGAGTTTGAATCAACTCATCGGTACTCCAATATTCTCGAATGGACGGCTTCTTCACCAGCCCCATCATGAAAGTAATCGCTAAGAATTGCCAAATCTGCGCCAAATCGACCGGTTTCCAATCCGTGTATGAAGCAGGGTGCCTTGTCCAATCCTGTTCTCCGTACCGGTTCGTCTCTCGCACCACATCCCCAATAATTCCGTCAGTGAGGAATTTCTGCAGCATTTGTAGAGGGGACGTCCTTCTTGAAACGCCAAATTCCGGGCGGATTTTGTCTTCGGACTCGTCAAAATCTTCAACGACAGGGGCGAACAGCTCATTTTCCCTGAACTAGATCATACAATGTAAGTATGAGGATATATATCATAAAATTGGAATATTAGGACTTACGGTGGGGTCGCGATTCGCAGTGCCATCCAACGAATCTGAATCGTCCTCGGAATCGCTTTCTGTTGCACTGTCGCTATCCTCCTCCTCAGACCCCGAATCATGAAAATGCTCTTCTGAATCGCTTTCTGCACCGTATACAATATATGTATATGCACATACATATATGATATTTAAATATATATGAATTTGTTCAAAATTACCGTCTGACATCTTGGAATTGGCAAAATTGACCTGCAAAATCACTTTTCGTAGTCGCAAAATATTTTTTTTTGAAAATACACGTATTTGTGTATCTGGGATTCAACGGATTTTGTCGTGTGTCCATGACATTCGTGTATCTGGGACACACGACCAAATTTCAAAATTCCATGACATTCATGGAGTTGGGATTTGGGGGATTTTTTACAATTCCATGACACTTGTGTACATGGGATTTAAGTGGAAAATTAATAAATTCCATGACATTCGTGGACTGGGATCCTAAAGGTTAAAAGCCCTAAATATTACTTAACTTGCGAGATTTACGGGCTAGGCGAAGTTTGTCATCCGAAAATATATTTTTAACCTGATCCGAATGTTTATTTACATACATAATCCGTGACAAAGTGTGCATAGTGACGTTCATAAGTTTCATGCGACTACTGGGATACCAGTCATGTCATGACAATTGTAAAGTTTACAAAAATATTTATATCCTTACTCACGAATAATTTGGCTTTAAGATCCAGAACTTTGAATTTCCAAAGATGCGTCCTCTTAAACCCATCAAACCAAATGGACCAACCCTTCGTCCTCTTTAGAATATCGTTCGACTGCACTGCCACAATTTTTCCGTATTTTCCAGAAATTTTCAAAATTTCTACCCCCTCCCGAATTACGTCAACTTCATGTTGAACGAACTCCTCACGTTGAGTTTCATTTAAACCGGCGACGTGTTTAAAGTACAGGGAATGATTTGTATCAGACGAGTTTTTGATATAATTTGATAACAGTGCAAAAATGAAAATAATCTCAAACTGACAATCCGTCTCACAGGAAGAATTATAATTCTGGGATAAAATGTTTGTCAAATTTTCACTTAGTTCCCGACTCGTATTAAAATTTTCCCGTTTTGCCAATATTTTTGCCGCTACAATTGGCGACAAGAGGATTACACACGACGTGAATATTGTGAGGAGAATTAGCAAAAATTGTAGCACGTTCATTTTACGTGAGGCAAATATCTACTGACTTGTGAAAATAATCACGTTATTTTTTCGGATTATAAATATTGTCCAAGCGTGTTTAAGTTGTGGTAAGTTTCAAAACCAAATGTTTTGCGGCGCAAATTTCCTTGTTTTTGGTAAAAGAAATCCCTGCTAAAGTTTCCGAGAACGTGAATGGTAATTTCGGAACAATACAAATGCATGTATCAGTAGAACCCATAAACAAATGGCATTTTAGTTATTGTTTGCATGACATGAAACACCATGTATGTACTTTTTCTAAAAATATATGTGCTTATGTAAGTTATGTACATGCATACATACATACATATGTATACAGTAAATATATGCGTTATGTCAATATGTACATATGTATGTATCTATGTTCACGGAACCCTTGTTTGCGGTTATGTACGTGTGCATGTACGGATGAACAATTTAAAGCTACTGGACAAGTTTTTCTTGAGGAAAGTGATGTTAAGTTATTGGTTTATCGTGACACTTGTGTCTCTCCTCGTGCACATTTTGTTTGTTAATTGATGAATTACTTTGCGTATGCATGCACACATGTAAATATATTTACATATTTAAATATCTAACACTAAATAAGAATTTTAATTATGTGTTGATCGGTATTGATAATACACATATTTGTAAATCAGGTTTTATACCTTTGCTAAAACACGTGTGATGAGAATGTCAAAATTATCAGCAATTGATGAGCTTCATTTCTTCCACGGTTTCTTGTAAAATAAAAACATTGGAATAATCATTAAGGCAGACTACGCAGTTTGAGCATTTCATAGATCGTGCATACATTAATGGCGGATATTTTATTTATTAGTGAAAATTGTATTCGTCCTATTACAAAACTTTGTCGTTCCATTTCTCAGAAATCCTCAACTACACTGTCAGAAATCTGGTATAATCAGGCAGATATTGATTTCTCGGTATTAAAGTTGCTACCGCTTGGTATTAAAATTATACCAGGTAGTAAAAATTTGTTACCGTTACATATGGTACGACTTTAGTACCGAGCTACATACCCATATAGTTACATATATTACTGCAGCATATTATAGTACTTATCCATACCATTTTGGTAAAGTTAAATATACGTACATGAATACCGTTTGGTATTGTTTTTATACAGGATTTCTAAGAGAGCATTGTATCATACAATTTGTATGAAGTAGTTATTTAGTTATGTGCATAATTAGCGACACTCTATTCCGTTAAACTCGATATACGTAGGTAAATCCATACATACATACATAATTCTTGTTCCAACAACCGACATTCTTAATGCATGCTTTTATTAATTTTTCGCCAGTAACAAACTAGTAATCGTGTTACTTTGTCAAAATGGCAAAATACTCCACATCAATCCCCCCCCCCCGCATCGTTTCCACCGAACTGACAAACTCTAAATTGATATAATTCGACAAAAAACTCCTTAAAACGGGCTTCCTAAACGTATTCCTGCCATGATTTCGTTTCGCTTCAAGAATAAAAGTTTTCCACAATCTCGTCCCCTTGGCGACCAACGCAATCGCGAACCACTCCACGTACCCCGCGACGAGGATCATCGTTACACAGAACAACTGTGCAGAAGTCAAAATAATCTCACACCCACAATCCTCCTTGAATTCTGTGTCTCGGTAGAAATTGCTGATCATTAATTAATGGTTTATTTGTCCCAGTCTGCAAAACTAAAAGTGCGCACTTAAAATGTTTAATATATATTTACCAAATGGGAAGTTGGGAAGTAATTTTTCGTTCCAGGGTGGAAATTGAACCTTCGTAAGTATAAGCAGACGAAATATCCGTATTGATAAATGTTGGAAGGTCTAATTATCTATCTACATATCTATATTCTGCAATGTCATTATTTAAATGACGGCTTAAACTTTTGCCCTTGGAATAACATGCTTGCGATATCACAACTGTCCATCACTGCATTGCACGCGTTATATTTTATTGTTATGGGCATTAGTTGTCGTAGAAGGACGAATATTAGAGAATAATTAGGCTTTCCAAAATTTACTAATATTCCGGCATATGTAAATACATACTTATGTTGATTTTCCACCAAGTAAAGGAGCGAGTAATTACTTCCTATTTGATAACTCAAATATTAAATACTTGTCAGACTTGGAACACTCTGACAATGAATAATCGACACCATTAATGAACAATTTCAACACGGACACTAAATTAGAGGAGCTTGTTACTGATGAGAAGATTAACCATTGATCCATACTTCTAATTCTGCTAATTAAAGTGTCTAACAAAAACTAGATTGAGGAAGTAAATATGTAAATATATACTTACATATATAATATATATATATATACATATAGCTAGGCAGGCGGTATCGTACGCTGAGAATTAAAAGGCATTTACTGTCATAAAACAGCATCAGTAAACTCCTTAATTACCGTCGAACATGCTCAGGAGTTAAAACCGCTTTATGGAAATGTTTTTGCTGTCCATCCACAATCATCCATGTCTATTTTAGACCAGATCAGAATTTCGACATAGGTGTTAAATTAATGTACACATAGATAATTTTAATTGTAAAATAACTGGCCAGACGTTGCTATGGCATTGGCGTTGTATGTAAAAAACGATAGACTAGAAAACTCGATACCGTTTTGGATAATTATTGTAAATTAATTGTGAAGGAAATTGAGAGATTGTCAGAAATCAGACTTTGTGAGTGATTAATTTTGCGTGGTCAATAAATAGTTCTAGGAGTGTATCTTACTTTTCCTTGAGACAAGTTTTCTGAAACTACGAGTCAGAGTCTGAATCGGGTAGATTTAGTCGTCTTTCGAAAATGGGGTTTTCAAAAATGTGTCTCAAATCATTAATGTTGGGTAGGAGTTAAGTTCGAAGATGGGCGTTACATATAGGTCATTCGAAATGATTAGCAGGCAAAAATGTCTACTTTTTTTGTTTTAAAAGTTTTTAGTTGGGTGGTAAAAACCGGTTAATACCAGTATTTACCAGTGGTATAAACCGCTTGGTAAATACCACTTTAAACACTGAAGACGTGGTTTGGCGTGGGGGATCTTAGCATTGACCATCATTTCGACGTACTTTGGATGTCAAAAGTCTAATTCGCTCGAAAAGCAATTTCTCAGAAATGTGGAAATTTTAGTTCCGAGCGATTTAACAGAAGACGAGGCATAACATGTTCTATGTGTTTTCACCCCTTTGCTACATTTGCTTTACAACGGTTTATTTGAGTATTAGGTAAACAGTTTCAAACTCTTCAAGGGCAGCGGTATTGTTCTAGTAGTGCTTTACCTATTATTTCAACTACTTGTTTTAAATTGTCTACATTGCCTTAATTTCGATCCCACTTACTTGTAACGTTATAAGTTAATCACTTCACTTCATAAACGTATAAATTGAAGCGACTTTGGGATATTTCCTACACTCTTGTTTTCAAAATGTTTACCAGCCAGATTCTCCCCATACTAAAGTGGCGCATACGGCGTCCAATGAACTTTCGGGTTCCCATCAAATTTGACCCTAGATATGGCAGATTGACGGCGATTCAATCGTCTTCAAAAGACTTAACGATCCAGCGATATAAATACAAGCTGAAATGTATTCTTCCCATCTTGTACACCTTAACACTGGCAATTAATCTAATTTTTGGATCGTTTTCAACCGTTCAAAGGTTGCAAGGAGCCGTGTTCCTTATGCTTTGTGTGCTTACCTCTACCGCAGGATGGAATTGTGGCGTTGCCCCGGTGCAGGTTGTCAACACCTTTCTGGATTTTGAGACAGGTTGGTAACGTACAAATGAAGGGATTAAATATGTTAAGCGATACTGTGCGCCTTATCTGCAGATTTTCCAACCCTGGAATCTTGTATGGGTGTAAGAATTATGAAGTATTTTATCTGCCTGGCAGAAGTGTCAATCATAGGATTCGCCATTTTGCAGCTTCTTCTTTTAACTTTTGTCCCATGCACGGCGCCATTTGTTCTGTCAATGTTGCCGATATGCAAAAATTTTCAGGACGTTAACGATAACTGGGCCTGGCCAAATGTTCCTGTACGAATGGTGGTTCACTTAGTTGAAACTTGGTTGGGATATGACACCATGTACACCTGTGGATTTGGGATACTGTACGTTCTATTTGGAGGAATTGCTTGCTTATTGGGATACATTAGTCATATGGAAAAGTTTGTGTACACTATTCCCAATAAAGTATTTGTATCTTTAAGTTTACAATTTTTTCGCAGGAAAATTCGGGCAAGTGCAAACATTAGTCAAATGGGGAAAATTATTTCCTTGTACCAGCGCATACTACTGGTGGAGAAATCATTCAACAACTTCATCAAGAATCAAATTCTGCCTGGCCTTATCTTCTGTGCCGTGGTGCTTGAGGTGCTTGCCCTATACGTGTGTATAGAACTGCACAGACAGGTAGAAATGCCAGGATTTCTCATATTTCCCATGGTTATGGTCGATTCGGTTCTGACGAACTTGCTGGTTCTCACACTTGCGTCATATGTGGATAAAAATTCAAAAAACGCGTTGTCCAACTTGACCCGGAAACTAGTTCATATTCGTGGAAGGACAGATCGAGCTATTGCACAAAGAAGATTAAGGAGTTGTCCCAGTCTCAAGGTTCGAATCTGGATGAATTTCGTTGACAGATTGACTCCTCTCATAGCACAAACGTTTTGTATAAATCAAACCGTTTCTCTCATCATGATTAAATAAAAATACAGACGCACGTCTCTCCGCACATCCGTAGGCTTAGAATATGTTTAATATTATTGTTATTAATAATGTGATTTTAAGTTAATAATTAATAATTAATAGTCAAACTTTTTCCAAACCTTTATTTAAATTGTCATTAAAATTAACATAAATTGGTATCGATTTTATCAGATTTTGGCTAGTTTTCCACGCTTGGTAATTGTCATTTTGAACGGAAGAGGTAACGCAGCAGCTCCTTCCATCATTCTCAGTTTTGGAGGTCTTTGTCCAGCTATTGCGCCAAGCTTGAACTTTCGCAGAATGTTTATAAAAAAGAGAAATGCCATTGCCTCAGCGATAGTTTCCCCAGGACAGCGACGTTTCCCTTAAATATTAATACGCATCAAATTCACAAAACTGGTACCAAATAAATACTTACAAAAATGTGTAGCCGATTGTTATATAACACAAAGTTAAGGGAAGTAAAATAAATCAGATGCCACATACCAGCTCCAAAAGGTAGACATTGACGTTTAGTTTTTGGACAAAGTTCTTTACCACTTGAGAGAAGAAAGCGCGAAGGGTCGAATTCACTTGGATTTTTCCAGATTCGTGGGTCAGAATGCGCCGTCACAACATCAGCAATTAGCAAAGTGTTCTGCAATCAAAAATTGCAATTGAATATTATCTTTCTGCTTGATTTATGAATGTAAATAATGATGTAGTCAATTTTGGGAAAGAAATACTTTTGGGATTGTAAATTCCTCAAATTTAAAATCCGCAATGGACCGGCGTGGAACCAGGTTTGGCATTAGTATAGCCGTCCTGTGAACTTCTAGCATGAAGGCTTCAGTGCATGGCATTCTACCATTTTCCAAGGGTTGTAAAAGCATAAAAGGGGTAACCTTTTTTAGATTGTTTGTCAAATAATAGTAACAAAGTACCGACTCTGGTGTTCCAATTTTGGTAACTCATCGTCTCCGATGACGTTATTAATTTCATTTACAATCTTTTGCTGCCATTCTGGATGAGTCACACAGTTCAAGAGGAGACACTGTACATGAGCACTCGTAGTTTCCCCGGACCCTTGTAGTAAGTCCATGTAGATGCTGGTGAAATGGAAATCTGGAAGGTTTAACCGACTATATGATCAAACTCCAAGTTAAGCTGTAACTTGTGACCGCATCTCTCGGGGGTACTCGTACAAATGTGGATATCTAATTATTCATAATTTATAATTTTGACATTCTACCTGTAAAATCTGGATCGGATGGATTGTTCTCCATTGCTTCAAAAAACGCGTGGGTTAGGCTACTTGTTCCCTGAATTTTACCCAGTGCAGCTGACGACCCAAATGCCTCGTTTCTAACATCGTCAAGGAGACTCTGAACATAAAGCGGTAAGATTTGTACACCAATTTCACATCAGCTATGTATGGTTCACCCCGGCATTTTCTACTTACTTGAGCCGCTCGCCTTGCCGATGAATGAAACTTATTTTGAACCTTGCGCCCAGTCGTTGCCGGAATAATACGGCTCAGAATGGGGAAAGCTACATCCAGCCCGGCCGCAAAAGACGAAAGGCTCTTGGTGTTCTCCATATTCAGATGGATCATTTCGTTAAGTTGTGTCCCATTTTTTGCGTCATTCACCCTGTCGCTCCCCATCACTGAGGTGAAGACCACCTTGAAAAATGGGACCGTCATGACATCATCTGAAACTTCCACTTCCGCCCACGGCATACCAGACGAGGATAAGGCCTTCTCCCAAACAGCAATTATACTGCTGGATTGCTTGTGAATGTTGCTCTCCAGTCCAGAAATTTTACTGAGTCCGACTCTACTCAATGTTTTGAAAGTCCAGGCCCTGTTTTTCTTCCAGGTTTCTCCCTCAGCGGAGACTATCCCTATTAAGATTTTAAAGCGAAAAGGTTTGTATATTTTTTTTCTCGTGACTAAAGGCGCATTTATAGTTTACACGTTGGTAGCTTGCGACATACATATGTACTTAAATTTTTATTCTGGCGCAACTTAGGAGAAAAGCATAAATAAACGCACTTTTAGCGATGTTCTATTACATCATTTTATTTACGCTGATACATGGAATTTTTACTTTTTAATGTAAATGTCTTAAAAACAAGTCGAGTTGTGTGTAGTTATCCAGGTTGTAGTCAAAGTTAACCCTTCAAGGAGTATGATTAACTACAAAAAAATGCATTAATTCGGGGATATTATAAATACATATGTTGTGGTCATGGTGGAGAAGGAAAAATGCACTTGTTTTAATCAAACTCAAAAACATAAAACTCCAAAATCTAACCGTGCATTGTGTGTATTAACAAAATTTTATATTCAGTTAGCATAAGAGAAATCCTCAAAATGACAGCCGATTTTACGCCATGCGGACAGAAAATGGAGAAAATCATGACCTTGCAGAAACCACAATGGTCTTCATCCCACACCGCAACCACAATATTTTTTGACGACTTTCGTGCAGAACTGTTTCTTATACTTAAAATGACAAGTGTCTTAATTTCGAATCCAAGGGGTAAGACAACAATCTACCTGTATTCTGTCCCATACTCCTGTCATGGAAAATGCCAACATCCGACTCCCTGGCCAGGGCTTCGTCTCGACTTATAATATCAACAATTGTGTCCACCGAACTCATCACGACTGATAAGAAGTTATATTCAAATATACATGTTTTAATAAAAGAAACATAGAAACTTTTGTTTTGAAAGTTTTCCTCACCAAAGTCTTTCACTCCAACGCGAAGTCGAAAAATGTCCCCGTAAAGGCTTGAAAGGGTGGAAATTGCTGTCGACGGTTGTCCCCCAATTCTCGCCAGTTGCCACAAATTTCCCACAAACGGGATAGGAAATGGTCCTAAAAATATCTTACTTGTTTCTACTCTGGTTAATACTTAATTTATCATTTTTACCTGGTGGACCATTTCGCCACTTTTTGTAAAATTGTAGATAATACTGAAAAATATAGAAGCAAATTAAAAATCCTATGCCGTATAGTAACTCCATATTTCTGATTGGCTTCCTCCTCAATTTTTTTAGAAATATTTCCTCTAATTCTTTGCTCTCACTTGAACCACGGGTCGAGTGCACAATTATTCTGCTAACATTGGCATGATATGTGGTGATTAATATGCTGTAAATAGCCACGCTTTAATCATAAATCCCATTTCGCAAGATAACATTCTCGAAGGATGAAAGTTACGCAAATTGAATTGATTTAATTCTTCTCGCTTATTTAAAGCAATAATTTTTCACCTAAATGCATGTAAAGCAATAATTTTTTGCAGTAAATTGACGTCGTCCTTCCTGGAAGGTTCTTGTGGAACAAATCATTAAAATGAGCCATTATGTAAAGCAAAAGCCACGTATATGTATGTAAATAGTAACAAGTTTACCAATATGCTCTGTGTTATATGGCCAGCGATAATTTTCGCAAAGTTGATCACATGGCTTGTTAAGTTTTAGCGTCGGTTGCTTTATGTCATCGTTTTGTCTGTCCGTCAATACATATATGTATTCACCATTGGCATATATTTATGCCTCTTTGTGGTAGAAAAATTCGAAATTATGTCAAATTAATGGATCTATTTTCCCTGCTTATATTTTCCACCTTTGGTGTAAAATTTGCAACCCTTTTGTCCGCTTCTTCCACACCATTTAAATGTATTGCCCCAACTTATTCTGACACTTGAGGATTAGAGGGCGAGCTGTTTCTAAAGTTACCAATGTTGATTTAATTTACAGTGTCGTTTTAAAGCTAATTTCTCCATGAAATCAGTGCCATCAATGTATTTGATTTCCGACTAACCCCGTATTTGTATTGCGAAATGAAACCGAAAAAGTATAGATTGAGTTGATCATGAAAACGAAGTGAAAATGACACAAATTACTTGCGAGTATAAATTACGCCTAAGAAATGATTGATCACGACGACGAGGTTAAAGGTCAAAAATCACGTACCTAATTTTTGATATGTACCATATGCAAATTATGTAAATACGTACCAAAGGCACCATGACATGGTGCCATTTTATATTTTACCGTATGATGCTACTCGTTTGACACGCGAAACGCTATTAAACCGTCCGTCTGTCAGTTTGTCCGTCCTGTGTGTCCCTGTCCACTTTGAGGACTTTGTCCGTCAGTAGGATAACCTGAGCACGGATTGAAATAAGCGAAATTGGTTTAAGGCATCATGCATACATATTTGCATTCGTATCCCAAGGGGGGAGAATCATGTCAACTTTTTGGGTCAATCCGACCACTCCTCCCCCCTCGAGGTCACATTTTCTGGGGAATCACTTGTTTCGTCCTATTGCTACGTTTCTTTTGCGACTGTTTATTTATTTAACTTTTTAACCTTATCCTTAACTATAAATTTAACATTTTACAACCTTATCGCAAGTTTATTTATGTATTGGTATAGTTTAATACGCATAAATATTTGATTTCCAAAAGTTTAATATGTACATATTGGATAAATCGCACGCAAAAATCGTAAAAGAGTTTTTTCCTTCTTAGGAGCCGTCCATAAATTACGTAACGTAAGAGGGTGGAGGGGGGTCTATGGCTCCAATAATATCGTGCCTGTGTTAAATGGGGGTCTAGAAAATCGCAATTTTTGTGTTGCGTAATTTATGGGCGGCCCCTTATCAAAGTATCAAATTTGTTTTAGTTCTTCCCACAAGATGAAACTACTTATTTCGATAGTTAATAAATCAAATTTATTTCAACCATTGTCGAATTTGCTTAATATTGAACACTCCACTTAAATTTTATACGTACTCGTACACGTCATGTGATTCGAGTATATAAAAGATGACGGCCTCGCAAGGCGAAATCATCCTGCAACGACAATTGGAACGTATATAGCCTTCCACTCCGAGATCGAAAATAGGTATGTGCTGATGTGACTGAGACTTTTGTAATTATTTTTAAATACAAGGCTAATTAAATATTGATATATATTAATCATCGTAATTAATTAATTAATCAATCCTTAATCATCCTGCTTGTGTTAGGGGATGCCCATAAATTATGTAACGGCTGAGGGGATGGGATGGTCTGAAAAAAATATGGATGTTTCCGTTACATAATTTATGGACGTTCCCTTATCCAAGTAGTTCTTTTATATATTTCATTAATAGAGATTTATACTTGCATTTCGGTTTTATTCTATTAAAATCTGTGGAAAACACTACAAAATCACTGCTACTTTCCAGGACACAATTTATTACATTATTATTGCTAAAAATTTTACGAAATAAGTTTGCCATACACGACTCAAATTGTACATGTAGTCAATTGCTAATTTAGATAAATTACAGATTGTGTTTGCCCCCTTCAGGATTACACTACTCGTGAAAATGTCTCTCTCCAAGTATAAACCAACCAGGCTAAATGGTCATGTCGAATTCATCATTCCCGACGTTCTGGGAACAACCGGTGTATCGGGGATGTATCGCCGAATCGCGCCAACCAACCAGCGCCCCGTCGTTCCACTGTCGCAGATTGAGTCCCTCGCCGCAAAATTGACCAGCTGGGCGGAACAATGTGGCTTCAAGAATGACCATTTCGAACGCTTCCCGATCCACACGCTTTCCCTGACGGCGACACAGTTTGCCGTCGTTTGGTTGCCCGATGCCCCCTTCGAGTCGAAAAAGATGGAGTTTTTCTCCCGCTTTCTCCTCTGGACTTGGGTGCTAGATGACGCGATGGAAGAGTCCTGGCGGGATGGGAGAATGCAGACGAAAAATATTGCCACTTTGCAGTACATTCACGAAACGTTTTTTAATATCATTAGGAAAGTTGAGATAGACGAGCCGCTCCCTTATTTTCCTGAGTATCCGGACTTTGCCACCCTTTGCAATTGTACCAAGGGCATGGTCGCCAGTGCGGAGGAGGTGGCGGGAAAGGAGAACTATGTCCAAGCTATTGAACCCTTTGCGTCAACGCTGGAATTTTTTACGAAAAGTTGCGAATGGTTTACCGTCAGTCGGGTGGATAAACGGTAAGGATGCGTGGGGAGAGTTTCTTTAACAATTTTTTAGGGATGCGGGAGTGGCAGTGACAAATTGACATGGCAGAAATGTCCGATTTATCGGATACTTAAAACTGTGACAAATATGGTAAATGTGACAAGTTCGTAAATAAATGTCCCAATTTAAGCATTGCATAAATTTGACATTTGTGAAAATTTGAATTTGCAATTTTGATGTTTGTCAGCGCGTCGGACATTTTTCAAAAATATGCTCAAATCTGTCATAAACGTGAAATTCTTGAGAAAAATGACTACCAATTTTTACCAAAATAACCCCAACCTTTCGTAAACCCATTTTTATCCTAGAACAATTTATAATTTGCAGTTACTCTTTGCGAACCTTCCACCGCTGGCGGGTACTAAACACTGGGGCGGATTCCGTCCTGGAAGCGAGCGCGTTCGCAGACGGGATCCAGATTCCACAAAATATCCGAAGAAATCCCGCCTTCATGCGCATGGTCAACATTATGGTGACAAATGTCCAACTCGTCAACGACGTGCTTGGCGTAAAGAAGGACTTCAACTACAAGGATGGCGACCCTGACAATGAAATCGTGTTCCGTGTCCTGCGAAAAGGTGACCCCATCGATGTCGCCATAGCGGAGACGTGCCGCATCATGGATGAGGAATTGTCCGACCTTATCCTCATCAAACAGGCCGTCGTCGACCAGTTTGGCGAGGAGGATGAAATGCTGCTCCGCTACTTGGATAAGGTTGACACCTTCATTGACGGGCAGAATCAGGTGTACGTGGAAAACGTGCGGTACGAGTGTGACCGGGGCTTCGTTCGATTGACGAGGGAAGAATGAATGAATGAATAAATAAAATAAGCATAATGGGGGAATTCATTACGAGTTTATGTATATTATAACAACAATGTATTGTCAAATACATTGTTGCATTTACATTAATGTACATAAATATGTATCGTTTTATTCATGAGAAATTGGTGATGGGTGATTTTCTGTGATGATGGTGATGGAGTTTTGTGAATTATTGCACTGGGGAACAAAGAGATTAATGTTTATAAAAATATGCATAGAGGTGAAATTTATTTACTGTCGCTATAAAATCAATACAGACGGTCGTCTTGTACCATATATTTAGCGACTTAATTATTTGTTGAGGCAATTTGATACATGGTTTAATTAGCAAGCTCACGTCGTCATTTGAGGAAAATTGAGACATGCGTCATAATCTTGTGTCACGTGTGTAAGGCTCTGACAAGTATTGGATGTTATTGGGGGCGTATCCGGGGCGTATTAGGAATATGAACAATATATATACGTCGTATCTAAATCGAGCTTACTAACGCATAACAACGACTTGCAACTAATTTATGTAGAAAATTTGAGAAGGTCAAAAAATTCGCAAAATATGATTTCGCAAATGTCCCAAATCCCTACAAACAAGTCTATGTAGTATCCAATTTTAATTTAGATAGTGTCTATTATTTGCAATTTTTCAAGTAGTTAATAAATATGATGTGAAGACTTTGTAGACCAAAAAATACTCAATTACGAAGAATTTAAATTTATAAAAATAATCTATGTGTAATGGTGTTCGACTAAAATTGTTTCAAAATCCTACAAATTATGTCGCTATGCTTAATTTTCGAGATATAAAGATTGACGTGACTACGCCCACCCATACATAATTATTGTTTGACCTAACAAACCACAATCTTATCTTAACGCCGTCCCTCATTAATTCCTCGCTAACAACAAACTAATCGTATTGCTGGTCACTCTTTCCAAAAAATTGGCAAAATACTCCATATCAATCCCCTCCTGCATCGTTTCTACTGAACTGACAAACTCCAAATTGATATAATTCGGCAACAAACTCCTCAAAATGCGCCTTCTATACTTATTCTTTTCATGATTTCGTCTCGCCTCAAGTATAAAAGTTTTCGACAATGTCGTCCCCTTGGCGACGATGGCAATCGCGAACCACTCCACGTACCCCGCGACAAGGATCATCGTCACACAAACGAGCATACTAAAAGGCGTCACTTTTCCGGACACGATAACCTGTATCATGACACAATAGATGGCCATGGTTGCCCAGACGACGGCGTAAAAGTGGTGCATCAGCGGGAGCACGAGGTCACGGGAGAGGTCAAATTGGACCAAGGTCATGACCCTGAGTGCCCTGTAAATTTTTACCCCGGTGTCAAAAGACAACGCAGATTTGTCCGACGGCACGAGGAAAAGTGTCCACAAGTAGAGCGTCACGATTCCGTACATGACAAGCAGGATGCCAATGCTGAGGGTGGACGCTGTCAGGGCCCCCGTCGTGCTGACGATGAGACCACCAATTAGTTTGGTTAGAAATATATTTTCTTCGGACACGAGTTTGGTTGATGTGACCAGATTTGTGATCGGATTTTGGGGCGAAAATGCTACGACGAAGGAAAACATGGGAACGAGATAGTCAAAGGCGTAGAAGAAGAGGGTAATTATTATGGAAATGTTGCGGATTGCGGTGGTCTTGATGACGTCTCGGCGGAATTTGTAAATTTGAGAGGGAATCATACCTGAGGGGAAAGGATAAAATAAATTTTTAGTGGGCGAATAGAAATTTTGAAATTTTGGAGATTAATTAGTGGATCATAATTAAAACGGGAGGTTGACATGTACCTCCTTTAACCTTAAAATTATACTTTGCAAAGCCAAACTTTGTGAGTTTCAAAATTTTCAGCAAAGTCTTAATTTTTAAACTCAATATCATTTCAAAAATATGAGAGGGGTAATATTCATTGCGAGTTAGCATTGTTGGTAACGTTTGCCAAAACAGTTCCCAAGTTCGCAAAACGTTGGATTGAAAAGTTTATTTGCAAACTAATACATCTCCAAAGCTATTATGTACTTGGCAAATTTTTCTTCAAAATCATTTTGCGATGTGAATTCATACTGAATTCACCCCAAATATACATATTTGCATAACCTCTCACCTTGTAATTTCTTCTCCAAACTTAGCAGTGAAGCGTACACATGTACAAACTTCTTTACGCCCTCGGGCCACACGAAGTACCACAAATAATGCACACCAAGCCATAAGTACACAATGCACAAATAAGCAAACCAGATTTCCACCACGTCCGCCCCGCCACGACTGAGGAGTTGATACAATCTTAAAATAACCGTTGGCATGACGACAAAAATGCAAAACAGGGCACAAATTTGAAATATCCGGTAATGCCAGCCCTTCTCAAGGGGTGTGGCACACCGCTTCTTTTCATCCCAGGAAATAAAATACCCCGTGTGCAGCAAGTTGCGATGCGTGGCTAGAATACTGCGGCGGAAATTTCGAAAGGCTTCGGCACGCCACATTATTTTCAGAAACGCAAAAACTTCAAAAAATTTAAGAAAATTAAATTCTTTCTTGTCTTATAGAAGATTTGATCGGCTCGTTTTCAGAAATGTTATGAGTTACGAGATAATTGGATTAAAAATAACAAATATTTATGCAAATCTTGGGTTTTTTGCCTTATATATAAGGCAAAAAAGGCATTTTCTAAAGAAAATCTACGTGATCCTAAATAATTTTCATATTGTTCGTTCTGGTGGACATTGTGACGGGCAAATTATAGTTACATGACGTATTTTTGATAGGAAGACTAATTACTAGTTAAAATATTGAATAGTTCATAATTAAATTGTTAGGTTATCAGCAGGAATATTAAAAAGCTTTGATTTTCAAAGGGTAGGTACGTATAAAGTTTATTATCTGAATTTTAGGCTGCCATCTCTGGATTCTGTGAAAATTGTACTTAAAAATATTTACTTATATTCATAATGAAAAAGTGGTTCGAAATTATACATCTTATGAACGATTCTTATTTCCTTCTCGCTATTGCACTTTCTTTGTTGGCCTCACTTAACCAATTCTTTTTAGGATTTTTTGACTCTACAGGCGAAAAAAGTAGACTAAATAACAAAATTTGATTAATTTGTCTAGTAAATAACAAAATTTGATTAATATGTGTCCATCATGCAGATTTAATCACCTGATATCAAAAGTATTTATGTATGTAGGCTTAATTTCAAAATAATTGGAGTTTTATTATTCACTATGATTGGAAATATGCAAATGTGTATTGGATTTATTGGGTAAAGATAAATTTTCAATCCCCTTCTAAATAAATAAATATAAATAAATAAATATGAACCCGATACATAAATCCTCGAAGCAAATCACATGATTCATGATTGCATGCGTGTTATGTACTTCAAACTTCAAAAGTTATCCTTCAAACCGACATGTTGTAACCAGCGCGTGCATGTCAGTCTAAATAAAATGCGATGCGTACCTTGATTGGATTTCAGATTAAATTATGTACCAGGTTTTTGGTATCATATTTTCACCTACGTAGTACATATTTACGAAGTTGGAGTAAATCGTCATGTACAATCCTTCGCGTCATCATCATACATTGTACCTTGTTTGGAATCCGATTTTTTGATTGGTCGAAATTTTTAATGGTGATAAGTAATTTCGAAAGTCTGGGGCCAGCTCAAGTATGTATATACAGATGTATGCATACAAATGTGGCATAGATATATGTACATGTGTGTGGGTAAATGTGTAAATATGTATGACTGACGGCTACACAAGTCTTAGTTTTGAGAATTGAAATTTTTATTAAATTGCGAAAATTATTACATGCGCATTTGCCATAATTTCCGCTCAAGATACATACCATCCTTCCTGCATAATGCATAAGTTAAATCGGAAACCCCATTACTAACGACGCCGTGCTATCCAGCACTTTGTCGAGATATGTCATCTTGAAGTGGCGTGTTATGGGGGAGGTCGTGTTACAAAGAGACACGTGAAACGCGAGGATCGGCATGGCTCGAATTTTCTTTAATAATTCTTTCCTTCTGTTCTTAATATTTTTCATGGCACACTTTCTCTTCATTAGATCCAGCCTCGTTTTGCAGATGGAATTCACCTCGGCGAGAAAATAAACAATCACCGCCATCGTCACCCCAGAGGCGAACGCGACGTATGGAATGGACACGTAGGCGTTAAGTGGTACCAGTCCCGCCAGAACGATACTCGCGTAGTTGAATGACACCTGAAATAGGACAACGTCTTGTTTAGAATCGCAAATTATTTAGCAAACTTGCTTGTCACGCTCAAACAATTTGTGTCGTGAGAAAGAGAATTTGCAAAATATGAGTTCGAAAATTAATAGAGACAGTTTTGCTATCGGTTGCCATGAATTATTTGGAATTTCTGAAGCATTTTATAGAAAGACGAGGTTACGAAATGATCTTGCGAAATAAAAACATGCCCAATTTCTGCGTAGATTTACGGAAAAATCGTAGGGTTTTCCATCAAATGTTTTGCGGAATCTCGCAAATTCCGTCAAAACCTTGCGAAGTTATGTTGCTATTGCTATTATTAATATGCTCAATTTATTTATGGGTGACGGGATATACGAGATTTGGCAAGGTTGACGTGCATACGCTCATCGAAAATTTTCAAAAAAATTCCCAGGTTTTTAATAATTTTATCTACCTGTAATGCGAATCCGATTGTGATCGCAACCGTCGTCATGAAAGTGGCAGGACCACGACGAAGTATGTACAAAGCGATTAGTTGTCGATAAAAGTATAATCCAACGTGAATTTTTCTGTCACAAATGGCCCCCCACATGTGCAGCTGACGCCACGTGGCATTAATGAAGAACAATATTAGTCCGGCTAGCAGGGCGATGAGACGGCCAACTTCTGCTGCCGTGGCGACAAGGGCGGCGGCGCGAAGAAGGACGACGAGCGGGTGCAGGGGCGAGATTCCCAACTGGAGGAGGATAAAGTAGGCCGGTTCCTGGCTGAAGATCAGGCAGCTCAGGGCCGCAAGATATGGACAATTTCGATACATGCGAAATATGGAGGATGCTATCGAGTGAATTTTTACAGTGACTTGTTGACCTTGTTGGACTGGGTTGCAATCTAAAATTCAATCGATTTATTTATGAAGTTAAATTGGATAATTTTTCAACCGGAGGTACCCGAAGGGGTGACCCATACCGATTTTTCAAAATAATCTAATCACGCTGAAATTTGGTATAGAGGCTGCTAAAGGCCCCTAATGGAAGAATATGAAGCCAAATTGGTAAAATTTTCATATCCGGGACCCGTTGGGGTGACCCATACCGATTTTCATAACTTGTCCCAAAAACCTGAAATTCGGAACGGTGATACTTAATGGCTTCGCATGAAATTATATGAAGTCAAAGATAAACAAAGAGTAACCAGAGGGGCACTAAGGGGTACCCATACCGATTTCTAAGAGTTTATATATTTAGCTAAAAATTTAGCGTGGAGTCGAAAAAATAACTTAGGATTAGAGTTTTGGAGGGTTGAATTTTGAAATTTTAGAATTGAAAATTCTGACAAACATTGAGTTTACTAATCAACCCTGGTTCGGGCTAAGCAAAGCTGTACTGATAGGTTGTTAATATTAGAATAAGTATGTATATATTTGTATATTTATTTTTCCCAGGAAAAGCTCTGGCAAAATTGGCATTATGCGTTATGAAATCAGTACATAGATATGTAAATATTTATTTAAATGAAATTGAGGAGATTATATATTTGGTACTTATTTTCGGGATTTATATTTTTGAGACTATCAGTGTTTTATGCCATTGTAAAATTCTAATAAACCATGCAAAGGTCTGTTCGAAATCTGGTATAGTACGGCAGGTATTGATTTCTCGGTATTAAAGTTGCTGCCCCTTGATATTAAAATTATAGATAATGATTTATAAAAGTTTTCTACCGATACAGTACAACTTTAACCACTTCGCCCCTATAATGACTATGTGGCGTATTTGACCTTTACACCGAATACGACCATGTGGCGTAAGTTCCCTTGGCACCGGAATACGACGATGTGTCGTATTGACCCTTGACAACGGATACGACTATGTGGCGTATTTTCCGTTCACACCGGCCTACGACTATGTGTCGTATCCGGAAAAAATTAGGTCATTGCCTCTCCAAGCAAAGCAAAGCAAGAGTTATGAGTCAACAACCCGCCCTTTAGGCGGGAAGATAAATTGTCTCTTAGGAAATAATATTAGAAATGGATGCAAAATAAATTTATAGCCAAGTGGCTATATCTAGCCAAGACGCCGAGTTGTGAAAACTGTTTTTTGCAAGGAAATTTCGACGCCGATTTATTTCAACAACGCTTTACGATAAGATTAGAGAAATTGTTTTGCTCGCATGTAGCACAAATGGGCGTTTTGGGCGAGAAAACTAAAAGTTTGATGAATTGCATCATTGCATGGATTTAATTATATACCACAAATAATCTTGCCGGTAGGGTAAACTACGTCAAAATTAATGATTACGTACCGGGTGCCGCTGAAATATCTTTTGGGCGGGAAAATTAAAAATTGAGAGATTGCCAGGAATTAGTAGAATTTAATTTTCCCGCTTAAAATTGATTTCTATTCACCAGATGCGCCATAGTCTATGTTCGAGCAATTTCCTCTCACGGGATAATTATTCATTGTCATTGCTGTCTATTTAAAATCATTGTAAGGATTTTTGGTTTTCCCGCCCAAAATCGGCTCCTAAGGCGCTTTATGCGCTATAATCAATATTTGCGAGTTTACGTACTATTATGCAAGTATTACTCTATGCTTGTTTAACTTTTCATGCAATTACAATCATTTTTAAAATTCGGCGTGTTGGCTATTTTCGGCTATAAACATTGGTGGTTCGCCACAACTCAAAAATGCAAACTACAACTCAAAATACCTTCTTGAAAGGTTATTCATACCAATTTTCACAAAAAAGTGTCCAGAATAATTCCGGTGGGAACACCATTTTTTAATTCATGGCCCAGGAATTAACGTCATGCAGTAGATAAAAATTTCGGGGTCAAGGGAGGTAAAAATTCGCGGTTACTAGGGGTGAAAGGTATGAAAAAACTCGTCTCCTAGGGTTGAAGTGGTTAATGTCAAGCCATGACTACATGATAAGAATTATTTATCAATACCACTTTAGTTGTGTGAGAAATATGTATACCGCTCGGTATTATTTTAATACTGGATTTCTATATAAGAGTGAGTACCATGCGTTACCTGCAATCAACGTCTCAAACACCTCAAAAGTCTGTCTCTGTACTAAAATCCCGTACTTATTCCAGAAAATTACCAACGGAGCGAACACAAGGACCAGACAGGTCACCACCGTCAACATGGCAACGTTTACACCGATCACGTTCAAAGGAATGTTATCCTCCCAATTAGTGACCCCAGTTTGATTGCAGAAATACCGGATCACCACGACCCATCCCGGTATGAAGTACGTGATCATACTGAAAATGACTTTCACCCAGTAGAAACTATACCCGAAAAAAAGGGTGTCTAAATATAATTCGCCTCGTTTCTTGTCCCACGTGAAGGGACATTTCCCAAAGAGATGAGAGGATTCTAAGATATTGCAATATGCTTCGAAAATACCAAATACTTGAAATTGTGAAGTCATTGTGGAAAATAAAAATAAGATTTTTTTCAGTCCGTGTATATTGGTGGATTGAATTTGATGATGCATGTTGATTTATGTACACATGCTTATTTAGGTATGTTTCCTCTCGATATTTAATTCTATAATTTAACTATCTTTGATCAATATGTAATAGAATATTCTAAATATATACAAATAAATATATGCACATATATACATATGCAGCATTATACCAATTCTTATAATACATATACATACATATGCAAACTAAGGTCACGTACGTATGTACATATCCTTCGCAAAAATACATATGTGGAACGACTCGATAATAAAATTAAAAGTGATGTCGTCAAATGTAGATAAGAATATTTGATTCGCGAAGAAATATCGCAGTAATTTAAATTTTGTGCCTACGTACTACGTACGGAAGTTAACAACTATGTACATATATGTATGTATACGTAAAACTTTTCAATGTTCAAGCGTTACAAAGTAGATAAATACGTATAGTTGTTAATTTCTGTATGTATGTAGGCATACAATTACTCAATATTTCTTCACGAATCAAATATTTTTATCCAGTGTTCTGCTTAAACTTAAAAATTTTGGTACATAATTTGATTTTTGCATTATTCAACCTAAGTTTATAAATATTTACGAATATGTAAATATGTAGGAACATGTGTATGCATAAATAGAATAAGTTCGATAAGCACATGATAGATATTTACATCAGACTACCATAAAAATGCAACCATAAAAATGTGCTCATTATCAGAATTAAAATTATGGTTTAGGAATTTCATTTTTGTACTCATGAATGCATTAATTTGACATTTTTTTTACCATGAGACCATGCTCATTTCGTGGAGTACTGTGTCCGTGCTACTTTTTTGCCAGGAAACCTCTCGCTTACAATTCAAGCAATTCTCGACGACGGGTAGGCAGAGGGGAACATGATTAGCGAGAGGGCATCAAGTCTGGGAAGGTGCCTCTCATAGTCGAGGACATCATCGTCCTCGTTATTTTGCTCAGAAGGGAAACGAATTTCCATGCCAGAAAATTGCATCCATCCGACAGAAAGCGTTAGCATCCGGGGAAGAATCGGGAGGTGGAGAGTTTCGTCATTGCGCCAGACGTCATAAGTGAAATGCAACTCTTCCAATGTGTTGGCGTGCTTCTGGAGTAATTTTTCGAATTTGGCATAATCTTCTCCTTGTTCAAATCGCAACCGGTCCAGTTTCAATTTCTTCAAGGGATTAGTCAACTTCAGGAGTAAGTCAAGAGAGATTTGCTGAATTAACGTGTCAACTAGATCAACTAGGTACGCGGGAAGCGTTGTTATTCTAGTTAGCAGTCCTAGCTAGCAATCCTAGCTAGCAGTCCTAGCTAGCAATCCTAGCTAGAAATCCTAGCTAGCAGTCCTAGCTAGCAATCCTAGCTAGCAATCCTAGCTAGCAGTCCTAGCTAGCAGTCCTAGCTAGCAGTCCTAGCTAGCAGTCCTAGCTAGCAGTCCTAGCTAGAAATCCTAGCTAGCAGTCCTAGCTAGCAATCCTAGCTAGCAGTCCTAGGAAACATTGTGAGGAAACATGATGAGGAAACATGGGGGCAACATGTGAGGAAACACGGGAGGCAACATGGGAGGAAACATAACGTTGTGAGGCAACATTACAATGGGAGGCAACATCGCGCAACATCTGCCTTACTCTGCCCCAAGTTAGTGCTTCCGCGTGAGGAGAACTTTTGTAAACAGTTTATGGTTGTGGGTGCAATGTCGGGTCGTGGTGTCCTCCCACTTATCAAATTCCCCCAAAAAGTGAAGATATCTGTAAGGTATGATGTGGACCGTGTATTGAAACCACTTTTAGAATAACACTTTCCTAAATTGCACGGTAAAAAAATAAATAAGGTGATTTTTCATGATGACGCAGCGTCTTCCCAGACGGCAAAGTTAACCCAAGATAATGAAAAGGACCTTGAAGCTAGACTGGGGATAAAAAAGCATTTCGAATAGTGAAATACCTGTATAATTCCCTGATATAAGTCAAATGGACTTGTTTGGGTTCGGATACTGGAAAAGAAAATCTTTTCTGTGGAGACCGAATTTTTTAGACTGAGTTTGGAAAAAGTTGGAATTAGTGTCTCAACTTCTGGGGGCTGTGGGGGAGGCATTTTTGAAAGTAGGGAGTTGAATTTTTGCACACCTCTATCTGAGAATAACATGCTCGTCGGTTCAAAATTTTGACCCGCTACGACAAACCGTTCCGGGGTTATTCAACGACAAATTCGTCACCACCAGCGAAAGCGCCCTTTGGTAATAGTCGAAAAATTCACTCACCTTTTGATTCTCGATATAGGGCAAGATTGCATATGCATGTTGTTCCCATTCCACGTCCGTATAACCTTTACCATGGACACACCCACAACTTGAACCCCACATATACGCTCGACATGAAGGGCAATGTCGACATTTTGGTACAAGAAGAGTTGCGTCTTCACTTTCCATTTTATTGGCTCCTCAATTAAAAAAATGTGGTCGGAAATATTTAAAAATTCCAAGAATTGGAATGCACGGAATATTCTGTTTGTTGATCGTTGAGCAAAATTTGTTGACTCACTTACAACTGTTCCATTAATAGTTTTGAACGTCCCGCTGGACAAAATTGCAAAATTCAATGGAGTTTTGAGTCTTATGAATTGAAAGGGCCCATTCATATATTAAGTCATAAAAAATCCGGTTTTTCTACCTACACCCCCGTTTGATAAGGGCAACATAAGCATGATATGATTAGAGCTTGGACCCCCCCCTCCCCTCTCTTGTATACGTAACGTAATATATAACGGGGATATTCATAAAGCATTTTTTGTTAAAATGGCGAAATTTAATGGAAAACCCATTTTTATTAATCTCATCTATAATCAAAGTCAAATCAATACTACACATCGAATAAGTAATATAAAAAGCGTGACCGTCATATAACAGAAAATCCAAAGGTACAAAATGGTTTTTAATGAGAACGTCACAAAAATCAATGATCAATAAATAAATGAATAAGTAAATTGAGGTTCATCTTTTTTAATTATTCTTGTCCTGGCTCGGAGATTACTTCCATGTCGTCCCTGGTCGCAGATAAGGATTCCTCTCGTGACTTCTCACTCCTTTGTCTCGTCATCCAATCATTCCAGACGTTTGGGAACATCGGTGAGTGAGAGGTCGGAAGGGAACTCAATTTCCGACCAATCACGTCCTCTACACAGGTCGTACATACGTGGCTCAAGTTTCCTCAATGTGACGCATCTTATCTCAATCGGCTCTCCATTTCTGTCCCGCGTGGGGAAAAAATTATCCAGTTGGTCTCGTTGATGTTCCCACGTATAATTGAACTCATAGTCGTAGGGAAACATGGATAACGAGAGGGCATCAAGGCTGGGAAGGTGCCTCTCATAATCGACGACATCGTTGTTATCATGCCCAGAAGGGAAACGAATATTCAGGTCGGTCCGTGGCATCCATCCAACGGTAAACTTTTTCAACCGGGGAAGAATCGGGAGATGGAGTCGATGGAAAGTTGCGTTTCCGAAAGAAATAAAGTTCACCCCGTTATAAATGAACTTAAACTCTTCCAATGTGCCGGCATGCTTCTGGATTAAGGTTTCGAATTTGGAGATATCTTCACGTTCACAAAATAGCAACGCGTTCAGATTCAACTTCTTCAAGGGATTCGTCAACTTCAAGAGTAAGTCAAGAACACCCTGTCCTGTTAAATCCGAATTGATAAAAGCCTCCAATTGTGGAAAAGGGAGCTCGCACTTCCGCAAACATTCGAAGAATTTGTAATCCTCGAGACAATTGCAATTTAGTTGCATGGTTTTTACGCCTTGAATTGCTGCCGCCCAGGAGGACATGATGGTCCGGCGGGGTTTGGCAGGGATGCGATCAAAATTCACGGAGTAAGTGAATACTTCTAGATTCTTGAGATGAAGGGCATCCGTTGGAAATGCGTAGTCTTCACTGGATTGAAATATTCTTACTGTTCTTACGTCAAAAAGCCAAGATAACTCTAGGTCGCGAAGGGTTCCTTGCATTTTAATGAGAATATCGAGATGCATCTTATAATCGGATCTTGAACAAATTTCTCCACCCAAATTTAATCGTGTGATGTGACGACATCGATCTAGTAGAAACCAGTTCAGATCGTCGACCCGTTTCATGGCTAATTGTCCTTCTACCGAGTTTGGATCCGCTGGCGGGCGAAAGGCGGGACCTTCAAGTTCGAATCCATGTCAAATTGACCCCGTCAGATTTCCCCGGTCATATTGACCCCATGTCATATTGACCCCGCGACAGATTGACCCCACGCCATATTGACCCCGCGACAGATTGACCCCAAGTCATATTGACCCCGCGACAGATTGACCCCAAGTCATATTGACCCCGCGACAGATTGACCCCCGGCAACTATTAGTTAATACACAAATAAATAGGTATGTCCTATGGACATTGTCCACTAGCGTACCATACACATGTTCAATCATAATTTTGTTGACAAATTGTTATATTTTTAGCCCGAGTCAGGGCTTATGGAACCGTCATGTCCGTCCGTCTGTCTGTCTGTCTGTCCGACACGATAGAGCCAAAACGGCTGAACCGATTGACTTGAAATTTTTACTATATGCATATTGGGCAAAGTTAGGAAACGAGTTCGAAGATGGGCGAAATCGGTCCAGTGGTTGACCGGTGGGGGTCATCGGAGTGGGTGGGGTATAATGCACCAAAGTTTCAAAATTATTGTAGAGAGCTGAAATTTAGTACAGAGGTTGCTAATGGCTTATAATGCACAAAACTCAAGTTGGAAAAATTCAAGTTGGAAAAATTGTTATCTTGAGGGACCGTAGGAGGTGACCCATAGGTAGCGTCCATAAATCACGTGATCGATTAGAGGGGGGGAGGGGGTCTGAAATTTGTCACCAATTATCACGGGGGGGGGGTAGATGGTCAGATGTCACGTGACATGAGTGATTACTTTTGTATATGCCAATGTCATAAGAGTTATGTATAAACTCTCTTGGCATACCACACGCACGTTATATAAATTTGATTTTCATTTTGCATATTTAGAAACTTGCTTCTTATGTTAGACTTAAATTCTTATGTTTGACTGGCGTATTAAATAGTTATTTACACATATGTGTGTAGTGTAGCTCTAATTTGATTAATGATTTTAAAAATATTGTTATTCCGGACAAAATGATTGAATTTGAGCATCATCTCCTGTCACGTGACCGGTGGGGTGGGGGGTAGCGGTCACCAACCAACGGTCACCAACGGTCACCAACGGTCACCAAGGGGGGAGGGGGTCAAAATTGTCCAAAAATCGATCACGTGATTTATGGACGCTCCCATACTGATTTTTCAAAAATCATCATATCAAACTGAAATTTGGTAGAGATCTTGCTTATAGGTCCCATTAGAAGAATATGAAAATAAATTGGTAAAATTTGTATCTGGAGCGACCCTATGGGCGTGGGGTCAATCTGTCGCGGGGTCAATATGACATGGGGTCAATCTGTCGCGGGGTCAATATGACGTGGGGTCAATCTGTCGCGGGGTCAATATGACGTGGGGTCAATCTGTCGCGGGGTCAATATGACCGGGTAAATCTGTCGCGGGGAAATCTGACGGGGTCAATTTGACGCCCTACCTTCAAGTTCAACCTCATAGGTTGCACGTTTTCCATTTCTTTAACGTATCGAAGCAACCTCATCGACCCCATCGGGTGCTCGTAATAATTGTCCCGGGAACAAAAGTCCAAGGTAAGGGTGGATTTTTTCTTTACAATCCGAGCAGCTTCCTCGTCCCATTTGCTGCATACTAATCGTGCCGTTTTGAGAGTGTTGAAGGGCAGGCAGGAGAAAATGTGGGACAAGACCTGCCAAAATTAAGAACAGTTAGTTAGCGCATGTGTTCAGAATGACCACGAAAATATAACTCACGACGTGATCTTGTCCTGCCGTGAAGTCGACCATGTCCTCGTTATCTGGAATGGTCGGATCCTCTCCTTCCTCTCCTTCTCGATGGCACGACCCTAATGATTACAATTAGTCTACGCATCATTATCAACAATAAACAAAATCGATAATAAATTAAAACTCTTACCCTAAATTGGAAGAATCCATTTAGGGATTCGTGATTAATCACTTGATCAAATCCACGTCTCGGTCGAACTTTTCCGAGTAAAGCAATCTTGTCGCCATCGTTGAGTTTCGTGCGGCAGTTTTTCTCCAACTGGTAATCATTGACCAAGACAATACGTTTCTATATATTTTTAAAATAAAACAATAAATAATATAACAGACTTATAAATAAACCAAATCCATTACTTTTTACACTAAAACTAATCAATTATCTCGTAAAACTAACCCCGGCCGGTTTGACCCAATAATTTCCACCTGAACAAGTAATTTCGGCCAGATTTCCGGGATTTTGTTCAGTTTGCACAAAGATGAACTCGCCTTGGTCGTCCCTCGAGATGTACTTGCTTCCGAAAGTGTACTGTAAATAAGGAAGTGTGATGTGTGAAGTGTTACAAAATTTTGCCCACATACCAGCCATCGGCAGAATTAGTCGAAAAATTCGCTCACCTTTTGATCTTCGATGTAGGGCAAGGTGGAATATTGTTGCCACATGTCGGCCTCACTTTCAGCAGTGACACACCCACAACGTGTCCCCCACAAAAATTCCCGACATGAATCGCAGAATCGCCATACTGGTTTAAGAAGAATTGCGTCGTCCCCTGCCATCTTATTGGCTTCTCACAATAACAATATGGTCAAAAATGTTTAAAAAATTCCAATAATTGGAATGCACAGGAAATTTAAAATGTTTAAAATTTCGGAATTTGTTGACACACCTGTCGACTTCTGGCTTTGAACGTCCCGCTGCACAAAATCTAATGAGAGCCCCACTGCGAGAAATGCTCCTTCCAAAAAGGCGAGATAATATTTAGGATTAATTAGTGATCCCAATACCCTCGTACCGGACATGAATAAAAAAAATTGCAAAATTTCAATTACCCTCAAGACAAATTTACGGTGGGTTTCTTTATTTCCCGTAATATGAGGCATGGTGAAGTGAGGCGAATCTTGAGGCCGGTGAGAGGTAGGCTGCATAGAGTAATAAATTAAAATTATCTATGTAAGTTTTCGTTATAAAATTATTTTGCATCTTTGCCAAGATCTCTTTGCACGGAGCGTTAGGCCCCCAGAATCGCACATCCATGTCACATGTTTTTATGTTTCTCCAGTAATGTTGATTTATAAATCTCGTGTTTATCTATTTCAAATATTTTGATTCGTATTCGCACTTATGTATTTGCATGGAAAACTAATGAGTGAATACGGACGTATGTATGTAGATACAGAGTAAATTATGGGAAACTGATTTTTATTAATCTCATCTAATCAAAGTAAAATCACAACGATGTACCAATCAAATAAACAAGTAATATAAAAAGCATGACCCTGGTAACAACGAAAATTCAAGGTACAAATGGTTTTTTCATAAAAAAAGTTAAACCCAGCAACAAATTAGCCTGTACATATGTAAATAAATTGAAGTTCATCATTTTAATTGGGCGGCACCCTAAGGATGCGTTATCGTTCTACTGCTTCGGAATTTGCTTCTCACTCCGAAATGTCGCAGATAACGATTCCTCTGCCTCCTCCATCCTTCTCCTCGTCATCCAATCATTCCACACGTTTGGGAACATGCTGGTGAGTGGGGGGTCGGAAGGGGACCTGAAAAAGCAATCCGATATCCACCCATATCCTGTGTAGATACGTAGATCAAGTTTTCTCAACGTGACACATCTCGTCTCAATCGGCTCCCCATTTCTGTTGCGTGTGGGGACAAAAACCTCCAGTTTATCTCGATGATGTTCCCACGAGTAATTCGGACGCCCCGACGGAAACATGGATAGCGAGAGGGCGGCAAGTCTGGGAAGGTGCCTTTCATAGTCGAGCACATCGTTGTTATCATGCGCAGAAGGGAAACGAATATTCAGGCCGAACAATTGCATGCATCCGACGGAAAGCGTTCTCAGCCGGGGAAGAGTCGGGAGGTGGAGAGCTTCGTCTCGGTCATAAACGAAGTGCAATTCTTCCAATGTGTCGGCGTGCTTCTGGAGTAACTTTTCGAATTTGGCATAATACTGTCCTGGTCCTTGTCGCAACCTGTGCACTTTCAGCATCTTCAAGGGATTAGTCAACTTCAGGAGTAAATCCAGAACGATTTGTTGTGTCAGAGGGGTAATAATGAAAGCTTCCAATTGTGGAAAGGGCTGTTCGTAGTGTAGCAAACAATTGAAGAATTTCCATTCGTAGAAAACATCGCGTTTCAGTTGTATCCTTTTTACGCGTTGGACTGCTGCCGCCCAGTAGGATAAGACGGCTTCGTTGGCTAGAACATCCTCCTCGTGACCTGTTGTAATCGAGTAGGTGAATACTTCGAGCTTGTTAAGATTGAGGTCCTTCGTCAGAAATGCGTGGTCACCACTGGATTCATCTCTTAAGTAGAGTTGCCAAGATAACTCTAGGTCGCAAAGGGTTGCTTGAAGTTTCGTGAGAATGCCGAGGTGCATCTTGTAATCAGATCCTGAAAAGATTGCTCCACCCAAATTCAACCGTGTAATGTGACGACATCTATCTAATAGCAGAAACCAGTTCAGATCGTCGACCAGTTTCAAGCTTCGATAATTTGATGATGTGAAACGCGGGAGATTCAAGTGCAAACTGGTTGGATGCAGGTTTTCCATTTCTTTAGCGTATCGAAGCAACGTCATCGACCCCATAGGGTATTGATAATTGTATCGGGAATACAAGTCCATGGCAACGGTGGATTTTTTCTTTAGAATCCGAGCAGCTTCCTCATCCCATTTGCTGCATACTAAGCGTGCCGTTTTGAGATTGTCGAAGGGCAGGTAGGAAAAAATGTGAGACAAGATCTGCCAAAAGTTATGAATAGTTAATCAGTGCTTATTATGAATTATGGCCAATTTACAACTTACGAGGTAATTTTGTCCTGGTGTGAAGTTAACTTTGTCCTCGTCATCTGACATGCTTGGATCCTCTCCTTCTTGTCGTTCGATGGCGCGACGACCTTCCTAATAATTGCAATAATTAATAATAATTTTGCAATCAGTGCACTAATCATTAACAAAATCGAATAATTTGAAACCTTACTTTAAATAGGAAAAATCCATGCAGAGATTCGTGTTTAATCCATGGATAAAGTCCACGTCTCGGTCGAACTTTTCCGAGTAAAGCAATCTTGTCGCCATCGTTGAGTTTCGTGCGACAGTTTTTCTCCAACCGGGCATCATTGACCAAAACAACTCTTTTCTATACATTCAAATAATAAAAGAACAAATAAAATAATGATAAATTGATTTATTAGTCCATTACTTGGCAATGAAGCTAATCAATTATCTCGTAAGACTTACCCCGGCCGGTGTGATCCAATAATTTCCACCTGAACAATTAATTTCGGCCAGATTTCCGGGATTTTTTTCAGTTTGCACAAAGATGAACTCGCCTTGGTGGTCCCTCGAGGTGTACTTGGTTCCGAACGTGTACTGAAAAAGGCAATTATGTAGTTACGTAAAAGATTTATAAAATGTCGCCCAGATGAGATATTCTCATTGAGAATTAATCGACATATTCACTAACCTTTTGATTTTCGATGTAGGGCAAGATAGAATATTGTTTCCATTCCTTACCGGCATAATTTTCTGCAGTGGCACACCCACAACTACTTGGCCCCCACATATGCTTCCGACATGAATGGCAGTATCGATAATTTGGTTCAAGAAGAATTGCGTCTTCCCCTTCCATTTTATTGGCTCCTCAAAGAACAATGTGGTCTCAAATGTTTAAAAATTCTAATAATTGGTATAGACCGAAATTTAAAATATTTAAAATTCGGAATTTATATTCTGCTTGTTGACTGTTGAACGGAATTTGTTGACTCACACCTGCTCGACGATTGCTTTGAAAGTCCCGCCGGAAAAAATTACAAAATTCAATGGTTGTTCGTTCGACCCATAACTCTATGTGCTATTATGAATTTAAAACGTAAAATTATTGGAAATGTTGCACAAACTGCAATTTTCAGTCTGCAAAACATCAACATCTCTGAATTCGCATGAAGTCACAGGCTGCAAAATTAAAATTTCATATCAAACTTTACCTGCAATCGATGGAACTTGAAAATGTATGAGAATGTGACCAAAGTGTGACCGTGACCATATGTATCGTTAAATTAGTGAAGCACAAGTGAAAGGTGTATTAATCTTCAGAAATTTTAAAGTTGCCTTTGCCTGCTAAAATTATTCGCAAAAAAATTACGCGCTCATAATACGGGCCCAATATGTTGACAAGTTATTTATTAAGTAGCGCAAGCTACTTTATGCGATGACTTAGTTAGTCTGTCCGTCCGTCCGTCCGTCCGTCCATCCGTCCGTCCGTCCGTCTGTCAACACGATAACAGGAGAACGGATCGAGATAATCGAAATCGGTTTTCGCCATCATACGTATGATCCTCCCTAGGGGGAGGATCCCCTAAGCATTTGGGGGCGGTCGGACCACACCCCCTCGGGCGCCAGTGGGTGTGGTTGGGGCGCAGTGGGTGTGGTTGGGGCAAAATGAGATTTTTACAAAAATTGAATCTATGGATGAAGTAGAGTTGAATTAAGTGTTCCCGAGTTGTGTCACACCCCTCGGGCGCCAGGGGGTGTGGTCGGGGCAAAATGAGATTTTTACAAAAATTGAATCAATGGATGAAATAGAGTCAAATTAAGTGTCTCCGAGTTGTGCCACACCCCCTCGCACCCAGGGGGTGTGGTTGGGGCAAAATGAGAATTTTCAAAAATTGAAACTAACATGTAGGACATATGAAACAATATGATTGATTAATTAATAAGGATTGATAAAACAGTAAAATATGTAAGGTGCATAATTCTTCAGAGTAGCAAGATAGAATGAGGAAATCTCAAGTATTTTGTTATTTTTTGATAATTTTTTTAACAACAATCTTTGTTTTCTTTATTTTGTATCGCATTCTCAGCACTCTTGCGCTACTTGTGTACCCTGCGTTGCCGCAGTTTATTTAAAAATATTCTAAGCAGAGAGCTGTCGATATGAATATCGGTCTGATGTTTTTAAGCTGCATACGCATACTTACGGTATGCATATTATGCAATATGCAATGCATACTTAAAGTACGATATTTTGCTATGGCGATGAATTTATGGTGCTTTTCATTTCCATGCAAAAATTGTAGCATTTTTTATTTCAAAAATGGTAAGGAGTAAGGATAGGTTTTCGAATAATGCTATTTTCCAGCATATCCTATACTGAGGGAATTCACGCCGTTATCTATTGGTAACATGTAAAATCTGTAAGTTTGGTAAAAATAATTTTACAACATAACGAGACGCCCTTGATATGAGCAAGTTTCCAAAAATGTGAAATATAATTTTCCTTCGAAATGTTTATAAAATTTTAACGGATCTTGCAATGCTTCCAAGGCTGCGTGAATTGCTCGCTAGCTTTTTTCGTGCAAAAAATATATCAAAGTTTTTAAATATATTTTTATGACTGCAATGTGATCCATTCCATTCCATTCAAGACGAGCCAGATAAAATTGCAGGCTTGAATTGAGTCTCAATTTGAGGCAATCGTTCTCATTTTGTGGAGTACGTTGTCCGTGCTTCATTCGCTTACCCCGAATCAAGTTGGAGATGGATCGAACCCAGAAAAATCGACCACAAAAACATGCCATGAAATCCACACGGAGTTCTAGCAGATCTGCATATTTGCATGTTTATTTTGCGAGGATTATTTTGCATGATTATTTTGCATGTTTGCATTTCCCATATTACAATTATCTGCCATGTAATCCACACTTTGTGAACGAGTTAAGTGTATGTAAGCGTCAAAATTGTTTGCTTCTTAGGGGATGCGGATTTCATGATAAATGATTATTTTACCCATATATTTATTCATTCCTGTGATTTTTATCACATTATCTATTCATATGTAAAGCATTTAAAATTGTGCATGCAAAATATTACCTCATTGTTAGTCAGTGAACGAGATATATACAAAATTGTCGAGATTGTCCTTAAAATTTGCAGAGAAACACATAATTTGTAGTTCTTGGTAACATTATAAAATTCGTAAATTCTTGAAACTTACAAACTTTTACAAAGATTTCTAAGGAAAATGGCTTGCAAATTTTTGTGGACTTGCTCAGGTCAAGGGCGGATTTTGATTTTTATAAAATTTTTGTTCACAAGAGATTAAAAAGAATCTTTGTCGCGTTTTTATTTTTTTTTATCTTACTCTAAACATAAGAATACATATTTAATAGTAATTTATAACTAAAGTAATAATAAGGAAGAGGAATATGCGGTTAACGTTCTCCTGTATGCAGTTCTTGAATTTGAATTTTGACCTTCTTCCGTATTTTCAAATGGCTAATTTGAATTATGGACATCTCCCTACATATTTTGGAATATAATTTTTAAACTTGAAAAGTTATGAGATTGAAATTTGTAAATGTGTTTCTTGCTTGAGGAAATATTTAATTTTCAATTAATTTTTTTTTCTTGTTTTATTCTATTTTATTATGGCGGAGAAAAATTAAAATTCTGACCTCCTAATTTTGTGAGCCTAAAAATTATCGATTTGTTAAAGCAATAAAATATCAATTTGCAAAAAACCTCAAGATGACCAGATTTAAAAATCATCATTTGAATATATGTAATTTTTTATGGAAAGTTGATATACACAAAGTTCAAAACCTGCATACAATAGAACGTTAACTTTACTTAAGATGGAAGGATTGGGAAATTCTTAGTTGAATGTGTGGGATTAGGACATTCAAATTCGCGGTGACCGGCGTTATTTGTATTGCATCTCCTGCATCGTCCTCTCTTTTGTTTTGATGCAAAACTCGATCGGTCACTTGACCCTGTGGTTCTATTTGTTGAACCTGAAGGACGAGTTGCCTGCGGTTGAGGGGTTGGTGGGTTTATGAGCTTTATCCTTTTGCTATGAGATAAGTCGTTAGATGAGCTCGAATTAGAGAGACGTTCAGATTGGTTCGAAACCAATCTCTCCGTTCGGTCCGGCTGAGCTGTAGGTGCAATTCGAAGATCACGTGTGGATGTAGCTGAGGCTAGTTGGTTTTCTAAGATAGCAATCGTATTTTGGTGGCTCTTACATCGATTTTGTAAGAATTGTATGTAAGATATAGCTTGTTCCGCGATGACATCGGTATCCCGAACCTTGCGTAGATCTTCATGTGTGTTACACGTCTCGTTCCTACAAAATAAAATATCCCTCGCTCATTATTAAGGGGTTAAACCCCTTTATAAGATTGATATGTCCGTCCGTCTGTCTGTCCGTCCGTCCGTCTGTGCGATAACTCAAGAACGGTATAACATATTGACTTTAAATTTTGAACATAAATACTTCATATGCAAACAAAGGTCAAATTCGAAGATGGACCCTGAAGGTCACCCCCTTCAAGGTCAAAAGGTCATGAAATATCGTTTAAAGGTCAAATTTCACATATATATCAATTTTACAGGAAATGTAACCCCGATTTCAATGGTCACATCCATTTTGACCTCAGAGGTCATCTAAAGGTCACTTAGAGGTCACTGAAAGGTCACTAAACGTTATATCTGATACATATATCAATCTTAACTGAAATTTAACCCCGAATTCAATGGTGACCTCCGTTTTGACTCTTAGAGGTCACTAGCTGTTAAACTTGATACATACGTCATTTTATACAGAAATTTAACCCCAAATTCAATGGTGACATTCATTTTGACCTCAAAGAACATGAATTTGTTAAATGACTGTTTGTTAACTGTTAACTGACAGCAAATGTTAATTTGATACATATGTCACCTCACAAATGTTATAAAGTTCTCGGTTTCACCCCTTCGTTACATGCGTTTAACGGTTTATTGTCTATGGGTAATTAGCGTATAAAATATCGAAGTTATTTATTTGGTTAGATATGATCTAATCCAACTGCAAAAAATATGCACGGGTTGGATAAGTTTCGCACAACCGTTGAATAAATTTTCCCTTAGTCTATAATATTATACAATTGGCGATTTTTGCCGATTGTTATGGCTACTTATCGATTGCAAACTTGACTCACCCTTGGTTTTCTGTACGGGAAGAAGTATCGGATCCTACGGCAGTGGGGTAGTTAGAGGTAAAGTTGTCCATGATATCTAAAGCAAGAGTTTAGCTATTTTATTAAATACCGGACACGAGATACGATATAAATATACAAATGTAATTAATCAATCAAATATAATTAATATAACTAATTAATCAAGACCAGTATATATCTATTTACCTTATCAATATAAAAATAATAATACTATGGTCATAAGTATTTATGAAGGAGGTAATTTGTCCACTTTTACTTTTAAAAATTTGCTATTAACAATGTTAATAGCAAATTTTTAAAAGTATCATATTTAACTAGTATCATATGTTAATTTAACATATGATACTAGTTAAATTTTAATAAGATTCTTCTAACTTGTATCAATCTGCATGTTGCCTAGAGTTTTTGTGATATAAATGGGAACCGGTCTCTCCATCCACTCGAATAAACTCATCCTCATGGTGGGTGATAGTACCCAAGCTTAACATATGTACATAGGTTTATAAAATTACATTACAATGCAAGAATTTGTACCAACTAGTAAAGAAATGTAACAATTTGGCGTAAAATTGGTAATTTATCAATTTCAAGATCAAAGCATATCTGCGTCGCGTCCCTTATTTTGAGTGCTTTTTATGAGTGCTGGTGGATATGTACATAGTTCTGCATACGAAATGCGTATGGTAACCAGGGTTTCATTTGAAAAATGGTGAACAAACGACTTTTTCAATTTTAATACCCACCCTAAACTATTCGAACAATGAGAGATATTCAAAATACAGGTGAGGTTACGAATTGGGACGATCGTACGCAGTTTTTCTCATAGTTCTCATTTTCTCCCATTTTTACCCCACAACCAAACTTGACGAGAAATGCTGCAAAATTTCATAGAGGGTGAACATCAGTGGTCAACCAGGTTTTGTCATATTTCACACCTGAGAAAAATAGTTTTGCACTGGGGAAACGAAATTCTGGATGTATGCTCAACCACCACGCATTCGCTAGGCCTCATTTTCTATTTCAAAAAAGAATAAATGAATTTCCTGGATGTTTTCTTTAAAGTTTTTAATTTTTGAAATTTTTAGGTTTTTCTTTGATTAATATCACGTTCAGTGCAAGAAATATCTTCCCTTAATCCCCTTCCAGGAATAATAATTCCAATAATAATAATAAGTTAAATAAGTTCCTCGTTATGTGATAAAATAATTTTATCACATAAAGAGGAACATAAAGAGGATAGATTTTATTAAAACCTATGTTTGCATAATATATATGTGTGTGCGTAAAAACAAAGCGCAGGTCGGTTTTACAAGTTACATATAAATGATTCATTTGAAATGAATGTGTTAGTGAATTGTCTCAATACATATATATTTATAATGAGAGAAAATCTAATACTCCAATAAATACGCACGTATGTACATACATATCTTCTAACGGTACGAATCACGTTAAATGTGTTCATACATATGTACGTAAATGACCGTTTAATACAATTTAATCCAAACACGTTTAATTTAACACGTTAAAAAATTGTATTTTAATTTAACTTATATTTTCAAATTTTCAAGATATAATACATATAAGAAATTAACTGTATTTCTGTTCATTTAATATTAAATTTTATAACAAAACTATTCGAAATTCAGTTTTACTTGGTGGTATTCATATATGACTCCACCAAAGTCTTGGTATTGATAAGTAATACGGTGCATGTATTTAATAGCTCGGTATTAAAATTTTACCATATCCTTAGCAAATTTTTCTGACCGATAATTTGAATACAAAGCGGTAGCAATTTTAATACCGAGATAATTATACCTACATGCATGGCTATACTAGATTTTTAACAATAAATACTAAATAGTTTCTTTGGTAGTGAGATCAACAAGTTATTTTTAAAATACAAATTAATCTTCCATAACGTTTTTCTATTAATCAAGTCTTAACCACTGCAATTCCTGGTGGCCATTCCGACTTAAATTTAAGATGTCCAGGAATGACCAGTGTTTCTAAATTTGGTGCAGATTTTACGATAAGCTCCGTCATTATCTTAACCAGCAAAGGTCTGCCATCCTCCCTTTGCGTGGTGTGCACATTTAATCCGGTTAACGTTCTTCTAACCAGAAGTGGTCGACTTAATACACGGTCCACCTCGTCATTAAGCGCATTTCTGACTCCCGACCTCCCATTCCACTCGCGGATCCGCAACCTTTCCAAATTTGGACAATACCTTGTCAGAATTTCATACAAAACGGGTATCATACTTAAATGTAACAAAATTTCGATGGAGTGCACGTATTCGCTAAATTTTTCGCAAACATGAAAAAATCGCGACATTGATGATTTATAGTGTTGCTCTAATCCTGCTTCTTTCCCGGTGAGATGAGCAATCGAGTGACATCCGTCCTTCCAGAGGCGGACATTCCGCGCAAGTCGGGGGTCCATGTCGGCGCAGAATAGTTGAAAGTTTAAGGGATCACAGCAACCATCCGCGCTGGAAAAATTGTGTAACTTCAGGACTAGTTTCCTCTCTGGGTGGGACAGGACGAGGTCGTTCCATTCTTTGCAAACGAGTCGTAACGTTGTTCCCCGGAGGTGAGAAGAGTTGCAGATTTTTCGGAAAATCTATAAAATACATATACGATTATTTAGGATAAATGTAAAACAATGTTTGTCAAATTAAATTAAATATATATATTTACAATTGGATTTAGTAGAGCTAAAGTTACTCGGTCCACTGGTGGGTGACCCATTATCTTGAATTTGGTAGTTTTGTACAAGTTCTTCTGTTGCTGTAATTCACACATATTTACACATATATACAAATACATGCATACGTAAATATATCAGTTATTCCGTCAAAAATTCTCATCATATGCAAACATGAAATCAATGAAATTTTTCAGATATTTTACGTACATAAGTTATGTACCTCAGTGTTACATATTAACGATACCGAGTTCACAATTCGTGTTAAAATCGCTTTTTCACTGGTTTCACTGGTCGCTCTTAGATATCTAAAATGTGGACAAAACAGAAATATGTACATAAGTTGCAATATGCTAAAGACTATTTATTATTTCTTACCCTTTGCTCAGGTTAAATCATATGTACAACGGGAAATAAACGTAATATTCAGATCAGAGCCGACTGTGTTTACAGAATCAGATGGATATGAGAATCCCGGTTGCGAATGGATATGAAGAGCATATGTTCTTCATATGTACAATGTACATAACTATGTAGTTATGTACATTGTACATATGCACATAACCAGATGTACATAACATGCATGCAATTTATGAAAATTGTATACTGTGACAAGTAACATCGAATTATTGCCTAGCAATTATTATCACATTACAAGATTGCAAAAATAAAATCAACTACAATTTGTTTGCATGCATTCATACCTAATTCATCTATTTTTCTCTGATTTTCTCCAATGTTTAACAAGTTTGTTTAAACTAAATACTTCGCAATGGCATAGATATGTTGAATACGTATCTTTTAAATTATCATTATCACCAAACTGGTAAAAGCATATATTTTTGAAAAGATTTTGAAAATCTTAATCTCAGTAGTGACGAGTTGTTTAAGGGCAAATGATACAGCTTCGTTTTGTGAAGTACGTTCTCCGTGTTTTTCTTATTCAAAATCACCATTGGTTTCACCAGTTTGGGTGCACCACAAGTGGAACTTTTGTGCCCACTCTATTTGTTTTCCATGGGCAGAGAACACGTAATCCCTGATGTACATATATGTAAGCACTTTCTCTGTATCAATATTGATCTCAATGAGAATGCAGAATATTGCACACAAAACAGACATATGTACAGGAAGTACTTTGTATGAGCTACATACATACATAATTTTAACAGAATAAGTAATCGAAATTGAAGTAGGTATGTAAGACCCTGGTGACATTCGATTCAACCGATTTTTCTAAATACATGTTGAAATACTGGGCTTACAATTGTTGATAGATCGACAAGGGCGATGTATTTTTATGTTAAATTATACGGTGAATGCGATTGTGGCCACGAGGATTGGTTCGAAATGATGGTTTAATGTGTATTTATTTTTTTCAAACTAATGTACACAGGCACGTATTTGAATTTTGTGTGTAATTGGTGGTTTGATTTGATGTGTCCAACCGAGTGAAATAAATGGATACATATTAGTACATTTATTAAGGAAAAAATGTGAGACCTCGTATTTGCTATTTTTCTTGCACTTTGTCACAAAGTGCGTACAAGAATAGGAATTGCATGGAAAATGATACAGATTCAATTGGTCAGGTATGCTGTCCGTGCTTTTCTTGTTGAAAATCACCATTGGTTTCACAGGTTTACATACATGGTTATGTACATGGTAGCTTTAAAATTAGACACGTTGGTTCGTTTTATGCACATGAACTATGTATGTACATACACACATACATGCATATGCAAATATCTATATAACCCACCATACATACATTCGTATCGAGTATCCTCTGTGACAATTGGCAATTATCCCCTCTTACATAAATATGTACCTGGTTATCACATGAACTAACTTTAATCTGAGAATAGTCAAATTAGTTATGAAAGTTTTTTTAATTTAACAAATTTAAATTGAAATTTTAAAATATCAACTTGAAAATTCATGCCGTAATGATACATAGTAATACATATCTATTTTACAATCGATTCCAATTCTATAAAATCCTCTGTCATTATTTCAATTTGTAAGTACCAGAGGTGAGATGGGTCAAGGTTTTTGAAAACCCGACCCGCCCAAGCCCGACTTTCCTGGGTACTAAAAAAACCCGACCCAACCCAACCCGACAGTTTGCAGTTCGACCCAACCCAACCCAACCCAAGTTTAGCATTTGTTTGCCCAACCCGCCCAAACCCGACTAAACCACAACAAAAAATGACCCAACCCAACCCGACTCAACCCAACCCAACCCAACTCCATCTCATTTCACCCCAATATTTTACAACAGCAACGGCAACAGCAAATGTAAATTTGAAATGTTTATTTACCTTCAACAATAATTAATTTGCTTGCTCAAAAACCGTGTTCATGATTTTGAGCAAATTGCTTCAAACATTTTGTTGTTTTGTGATAAAGTCTAAAAAAAGAAGTAGTAATACATAGAAGGAAACATCAGCGTGCTGGAATTGTGGTTATCGAAAGTAGAATATCCGAACTGCCGACGTCGACAGAAACATGAAAATTGAAATCCAGTTAGATTTCTTGATTTTGGAACCGAAATAATTTGCAAAAAAGGAACGTATTGCGTTCTGCACGCACATGGGTAAAGACAACACTAGTGCTCCATATGGAGAGAATGTGAAACTAAAATTCTCAACTCAACCCAACCCATGCTTTTCTACCGAAATGCCCAACCCTCCCAAGCCCGACTTGAAATAATAGGCCCGAGCCCAACCCGCCCGACTCCTTAATTTTTTTTGCCCAACCCGCCCAAACCCGGATGGGTTGGGTTGGGTTGAACCCGACTTAGTCGGGCGCCCATCTCACCTCTGGTAAGTACTTAATTAAAGAAAGTATTTAGGTGTATGAGTACTATTATTAACCAAGATTGGTAAGTGGATTGAACGAGGGTTAAGGTTCTAAAAACAATTTCAAAAAATATTGTATGTAGATGAATATTTCTCAAATTCTATACTTTTAACAATTTCTAATTTCTTGTCTCAGGCATGCAAAATTTTGAATGAAATGTACGAGAATCTATACAATGTAATAAATTCTGACATGCGATATTATAATCACGATTAACATTTCTTTATAAAATGCAGCCAAAACATTTGACATCTTTGGAACTCATGAAGTTCTATAGTAGATGGTAGCAACGTGTCAAATGTTAGATATTTTTGCGACTGGAAAAGTATGTCAGATCGTACATATTTATAATATTATATACTCGTCTAATTTTATGTGTCATACTAACTACTTACTTAAATTCATGCTAAATTTAACTAATAATGAGACGAGGTTCGTTTTGCGGAGTACTTTATCCGTGTCCACTTTCAGCTCGGGAGACCTCGCGTTTACTCCAGATCAAGTAAGTTGGATGCATGGGTTGAAAGCCTGCAAAATGTTCGTTCCACAAGTGACAAGTGCAATAAGCATTAAAATATGTGCATTTAGTGCTTGCTTATGTGAGTACGTCCATGTATTTGAAACTATTGGAACTTCTGAAAAATCCGTACAGTGTGCATACCTCTATGTATATGTATATGTAATACTTGCGTGTATATAAGTAATATGTACACACATTGTTCAGTTAACTTATTAAAAAATATATTAAATAACTTAGTACTCATGCAATCAGGGCCGTAGGAGCACTGGTTTTAGGTGGAGAGCACTCTCCAGGCCGGACGGCCCGAAGGGCCGTACCGGCTGGGTGATGCAGACACTAGATATTATTGTCCCTCCGAAGTACATCTCACAAGTCAACTTATACATAGAACCTAACTTCCCAAACCAACGCTTACATAGTTATAAATTGAATCCTGATTTTGTTCACTTCTGAAAAGTTTCAATGATCTCACAAAAAGATACAATACTCAAACTTAAGCCTTCTGGGACGATTTCTGCAAATCGGTTGAGGTAACATACCTGCAGTTGAAAAATTTTAAAGTTTGAGTTAATTACCTTATCAAACAATTTTTCATATGTAATTGAAAAGGCCGTGGCACTATTAATCGAGCATTAATAACTTAACCATTCTATCTGTGTCGGCCCACTCATGCAAAATGTTGGTGTCCTATGACTATTTCGAATATTTTGTATTAAATACTTAACCCATAGCACTAAATAAAATATCCCTACTTCACCAACTATTTTTTGGTCTAAACGACCTTTAAAGTCTTTCATAACAATGGCGAGGAGCATGTTCCCCTTTAATTTTCTCAAAATCTATGAATGTGTTCTAGCATTTCCGAGCGAAAAAAACTGATTTGCATGCGTTACCTTTTTTCTAGGAGCTTTAATTCACGAAAGTGGGGTGTTACAAATGCTAATACACATCTGTCAAACAGTGGACAAGTAGAAATTGAATTCTGAAAACGATAACCAAAATTGGCTTGATGTACATAACTTATTCAATAATTTCTGTTTCGTGAAATTTGGCAATCAAGTCTCATCTCTGCGACATCCAAAATCTGAAGATTTTGAAAACCGGTTTGAAATTGAGTTTTTGCAAATTTAAGTAACCCGATTATCTATTCTGTGAAAAACGGTTCCAAACCGTTTTTAAAGGCCCTGTATTAGTTAGAATTTAAAAAACTTTCTCAGTACAGTAATAAGCTATAATTTAATTTAAAATCAAGTTTAAATATGAACTTGAGATTTTCGGGAATTTTAAATTTATGTATATCAGAAATTAAGAATATTTGTGGCCAGATAAAGGTACAATTTTTACAAAAATATAGACTTAAAATTCTGAATCGATTTACGAATTTTCACGCACGATGGAACGCTTAAAATAATGGCTGGAAGATATACGAAATAAGAAAAGTCCTTGAAAGTTTTTTTATCGGATAAAAATAGATGCATTTTTAAAGTTAAAAACAAGGGCCGTCATACGGCACAAGTTTCGCCTTAGGAAAATACGCTTGTGATGTAAAAAAATTATTAAACCTTTACACGAATATATGGGACACCCTCTGTATTTGTAACGATAGCCGTAGATAAGAAATAAGCGACAGAAATCCGCTGTATCAATTTTAATAATTTTGCACATAAAAGGCCGGACCAGAATTTTACTCTCCAGGCCGGACCAAGGACACATACGGCACTGCATGCAATATATGTCTTGCTACGTGTTTTCGATACGTATGTACCTGTATATGCATGCATGCGTAAATATGGTGATAATTATACATGCAATTTAAACTTCAACCCTTCCTGCGTACGAATTTTCTCGATTTTCGTATAATCCATCGAACTGGGTAAAGCAATATCGCTCAATAGAAAAGTAACCTACATAAATGAATAATTTATGATTTTTGCATGATTAAATTTGAGTTATATTTATAATCCCCTTTAAGTATTATAAATTCACTAAATTTCAAACTAATTGTCTTGTCATGATATGTCTATGTTAAAAAACCAAAGTTCTAACGATGTCAGGTGATGCAATCTAACCTAATCTAATCTGACTAACTTTTTTTGTTAACTGGTAAAAACTTGGCTATATGG